TGAGCAGTGCAGCACCTAAAATCATGATGTACAAAATAATGTACCCTAAGGGGTTTATCTTTTTGAAATTTTGAAAGCAGGCTGATGGAGCATCCTATTCACAAAATGTTGGGCACTATGAAGCATAAAATATCTACTTACTAGAAAATACTCTCTGCCACTTTGTTAGAGAATCCTTGATAATCATCAGCCTATCTTTTCTATCCATATTTTTATAGATACATTTCCAGATCAACTGTGGCCTAAATCACCCAACATTTTCACATTTCACAAAAGCCTATTAGGCACTATTCTTGAAAGAAATATAGAGGAAGTAGGTGGATGCTTTGCTTTTATTTATTTATGTCAAACAGGACAAAGAGCCTGATACAAACTATCTTTTCCTGAACTGTCTTTTATGCCCAATTATTTTCTCACTTTCAGCTGTGCATCCGTCATCTTTGGAAGATTGCAGTAACAATTTTGATCTTTCATACCTATATATTTTGAGGACAAAGGTAAAATTTATAAACTTTTGAAATCTGAAACCCACCACTTAAAATTTTTAAGTATCAACCCAATATTTTACAAATGTTCACCTCATATCAAAGGGATAACAAAAGGAAGTTGTTTCAACTTAAAATGCCTTGAAATAAAGCAGTATATCTATATTGCACAGTTTACACAGATGAAAGTGTGGAAAAGATGTTAGAAGAGTCTGCAATTTGGGATTTTTTCCTGAATTCTGCATTAACCAAGTAAATTCAACAGTGAAAATTTTAACATTTAAACCAGCTGGCCAATTATAGTTATGAACTAGACCTTGCCTCCTATATCTACAATTTCTTTAGTTATTTTGAATTTATAAGCCATTCAACTCCAATGGGTTCTTAATTATATTTCAGATCACTACAGATCACTGATGAGATGTAAAAACCCGTAAAGACAATTTACAAAATTGCAACTGGCACAGAAAACTGCTGCCCACAAGTGTAACACAACTGGTGAGGTGCTGGATGACAACAGGGAAACCCAGCTTCCACTCCATCCTCAGCCATGGAAATTCACTGAGGGCCTAGGAACCAGCCATTCTCTCTTAGGAGACAGCACTGCATATACTGTGTATCTTGAGTACCCTATATAGATACTTAGAGATAGGACCATAATGCAGCCTGCCCATTATGGTCACATGTTGTGAAGGCCGTTAAGCAAGACAGCCTCATTTAACCCCTACCCCCTGCTCTTTAAATGAACATGAACATTAAATGGAGCAGGGGGTTCATCAGAGGTGGGGAAGGTCCTTGAAGGCCTACTGCAGACCAGGACAAATGACCACAATGAAGACTAAAACCTAGGTCTCTATTCATATCCATTATACTGCAGTTATATAATAATAATAAACTTATTTTTCAGCATTCATCTACTGCCATCCAGTGGAGGTTTATTGAAAGAAAATCCTACAAGTTTCTCTCCATTTAAACAAAATTGCTATTTTAACAGGGTTGTTCCCAAAATCTAGAATTTTTTTTACACAGCAGAAAAGAGGTATCTAACCCAGGGCTGGATTTTTTTGGAAATTTTGGAAGATATACACAGAAGATATAGTCATTGTAGAAGAAACGTCAGAGCTTTCAGTGTATATAAGCCAGGGTTTCAGGGTTTTAGTTCTAGAATTTTTCCTCTACCTTTACATCATGTTTTCACCTTAACAACAAATTGGCAAAAAGAGAACTCAATGTATACCTAAACAACAAACTGCTCCCATATGAGGCAACACCAAAATATCTGGGGGTCACCTTAGACAGGACTCTGCCTTTTAAAAAACATATTCAGAATATAGCTGCCAAGGTTAACAGCAGAAATAACATTCTACAAAAACTATGTGGAACAACTTGGGGAACTTCAGCCCCAACTCTTCGATGTGCAGCCCTCAGGCTTTGCTACTCTGCAGCGGAATACTGCGCACCTGTATGGATAAACAGCTCACATTCAGGACTTATTGATGTTCAACTCAACCATACAATGAGGCTAATTATTGGGTGCATAAAATCTACACCTAGTTACTGGTTACCAGTTCTTAGTCACATACTTCCCCCGCACTTACAACGACAAGAAGCTCTCATCCGGGAGTATAGTAAGATCCTGTTAAATTCCTCTCTACCTATTCATGGCTACATTCCTGATCTCTTAAAATGCCGATTAAAGTCAAGAAACCCACCACTCTTGACAGCACTTAAGCTGCTGGCCAATCATCAGAATACCACACAAAAGTGGATGGAAGCGTGGAGTAGCTATTCCCCCCAAGATATTTCTGAGCATATATATCCTAATAGTATACCTCCAGGATTTAATCTACCCCAACACATATAGGTGACATACAATAGAATTAGAACGACTCATGGGGTGTGTGCTGACTCCTTGTATAAATGGGGAAAGACACCTTCAGCACAATGCGATTGTGGGCCCCCCCGACAGACTATCCAACATATAGTGAGGGAATGCTCTAACAGAAGATATCCAAGAAATTTTAGGGACTTCCTCTGCGTAACAACGACAGCTACTGACTAGATCTCCAAACTCAACATTAAACTCTGAAATGTTGTTTCTGTTTTCCTCTTAGGTTTTCTTACTGCTCTTTTTTTAATTGTTTTAACCTGTAAAAATGAAGTGTTTTAATATTGTGTGTGACCAGCCATACGCTAAATAAATAAATCCTCTACCTTGTTATCTTAGCAGAGCTATTCTCTTGGTGGCATTGGGAAACACCTGGTCTGTGTTAATGTAATAGTTCTCTTTTTTCTGAGAACTGATGTTTCCTACATCATCTTCATTCCTTACAATTATTACATCTCAGGAATGTTATCTTCTAGGACTAATATTGTAACCTTCTAAGACTATTTTCCCCTTCTTTTTTCTTTCTTTCTTTTTTTTTTGCCACCCTGCAACTCTCAAGTGATCTCCACTGTCTTCTTCCTCCAATACTTCTTCCCACCTTGTCTAAATTGTGAGTGGCCTTCTTGAAGCTTTGAAGTTTTGCAAGAAAGCCTAGGTAAGGGCCTGAATTTTTAATGCATGATCATGAGGGCACTGCAATGGCCATAACTTCAGGAACTGGGCCTACTTCACCGAATGAATGGTAGATTCATTCAGTGCCACCATTAACTCCTAATGCACACTAAACATAGTTAACTGAGGACTACCTATACCCGTGATGGCAAACCTATGGCACGCGTGCCACAGGTGACACACAGAGCTCTCTCTGCGGGCACGCGAGCCATCGCCCCAGCTCAGCTCCACCGCGCATGTGGCCACGGCTTCCACCAGCCAGCTGATTTTTGGGTCTCTGCCATGCATACAGGGAGGACTGCTAGGCCGAAAATGGGGCATGGGGGTGCAGCACACCCCCCCCCACAGCCCGTTTTTGGTCCCAGGAGGCTGCAGGGAGGCCTGCTAGGCCCAAAACGGGGCACGGGGAGGTCATGTGCATATGCGTGGGGGTCAAGGGAGTGCCGGGGGGTCTCACGCGCATGCATGGGGGCGGGGGAGCATGGGGTGGTCGTGTGCATACGTGGGTGTGTGGGGGTGAGAGCATCATGCACGCATTGCGTTATGGGTGCCGGCACACGCGCACACACACTGTAGCATGTGCATGCACTTTCAGCACACGACAAAAAGGTTAGCTATCACTAACCTATACAGTGAATTCATAGTAGCTGAAAAGCTAAACCAGTTTTCTTAAATCAGGATTCACACAACACACTAATGTAAAATTAAACCACTTCATGGTTTAATACAGTATATGAAATTATTATCTTTGCTACAAAAAGTAATGGAAGAAAATATTTACTGAATGAAAATGTCCCTGCTATACTGGATGCATAAGCTTCCTTATCTATGTCCGGGAGATAATTACTCGTGGTTTACACCAATATTTTAGTTACAAAGTTGCATCTTTGTGATTCTGTGCATAAATCTCCATGATTGAGAGATATAGTTAGGAAACACTTGGCTTAAAGGTTGCCCCTCCCAAAGGTAAAAACACCTATTCCAGGGACTGTAGAGATTCTCAGTCATCCAGGTCATGGTTGTCCCAAAGGTGCTTTTTCAGGAGGCAAGTGGACTTTCTTGAAGATGTTGCGCTTCTCAGCCAAGAAGCTCCTTCAGCTCTGACAGGTTAGGGGGAATGGAAGGATTTATATTCCTTGCAGACAGTGGTCATTTGCATCTTTTTAGAGCAGAGGTCTTCAAACTTGGCAGCTTTGTTTTAGATCAGTGGTTCTCAACCTGTGGGTCGGGACCCCTTTGGGGGTCGAATGACCCTTTCACAGGGCTCGCCTAAGACCATCGGAAAACACATATTTTCAATGGTTTTAGGAAAAATATTATTGTTGGGGGTCACCACAACATGAGGAACTGTATTAAAGGGTCGCAGCATTAGGAAGGTTGAGAAGCACTGTTTTAGAGGGTCGCTGAAGCACTTGGAGGTTTATCTGGTGTCCTCAGGTGCACAGAAATAAACCTCCAAGTGCTTCATCGACCCTCTAAAAAGATGCAAATGACCAGCTGTCTGCAAAAAATATATAAATCCTTCCATTCCCCACCATTCTGTCAGAGCTGAAGGAGCTTCTTGGATAAGAAGCGAAACGTCTTTAAAGAAAAAAAACAAAAACAAAGTCCAGTTGCCTCCTGAAAAAGCACCTTTGGGACAACCTATTCCAGGGAGTTCGTGCTTGCGAACATTCTTCCGTATCCTGCCATAGGCCACTTCCCAGATTTAAAGATAGCAGAAACTCAACCGATGAGGCTTCCTCCACCCCGCGAAAATGCAATGCAGAATTATCCTGTTCCTGTCTAAGGTTACTGCCTTGCTGAGTCGTGCTATCTAAAGTGTTAACGGCTCAGAACTATATGGTGACTCAAAGGGACGAGAACCCGGCCGGCTTTTTTTCGCGGCCAGGAGGCAGAAACGGAAGGGGAAAGCGCCGCGTTTAAGAGTCCCAGCAAGGAGGCTCAGCCAATACCTGCGCAGACAATGTTCGCACACGCCTCCGAGGCGCTTCTTGCTGACGATGTAAGCGAAGGGCGCCGCCCGGTACAACAACTCGCCCGGTTTCACCGCTTTCAAGAGGCGCAAGCCGTTGCCTTTGCCCGGGCTTGCAAACTTTTCCATTGCCGCTCCGCGCGCAGAGCAGGGAATAAACGGAACGGCCTGCAGACCAGCACGCTTCCCGCCTCCATCCCCACGTGACGCTGCTCTGCCCGCCACCGGAATCATCTTTCCTTCGAGCAAAAAAAAAAAAAAAAAAGGAAAAGAAAAGAGCCCGCCTTCGTTACGTTCCCCGGTGTAGCCTTTCCTCACCCCGTTATTAAAAACTCAGAAAAGGATTGTTATGAATAGTATTTAAATAGCGCTACGTGGAGTGTACATGACTGCGGATGACAAACTGTTAAGGACGAAGATATTTATGTATTAAGTGTTGTGTGTTCCTGAAATTAATGTGGATAAGAGTTAATTCGGCTTTAACGATTTCAATTTTGTCTCTTGCTTTTAAACGTGTTTACTTTTCAAACAAACAAACAAAAAACCCTAATTCCACTCCGATAGCCAATTATACAATGCATGTCTCGCTGAAGTGATAGGAAGTCTAAAACACTAAATTAAGATTGTTAGGTTAAAAAAACTCCAGGTATTAATATAAATCCCTGTAGTTTTTGAGATAGCCAGTTCAGTGAAGTGATTCATTAAAGCATTTAGCTAGAAACTGGGAGAGTGTAAATTCTGGTCCTGCCTTAGACACAAAGCCAGCTGGTTGACCTTGGGCCAGTCACCCTTTCTCATCCCTAACAAGCAGGCAATGGCAAACTACTTTTTAAATTTTGTCAAGAAAGCTGTAGACTTGGCAATTGTTAGGAGACAACATCGGCTCAAAAGGATTTTTAAAAAACAACCCTTTTTGATACAAATGTATTGCTAAATATCAGTGCCTAGAAAGAGATTTTAAAATCTACTTTTCACTGGGTTCTTGTATACTTCTTACTAGAACTTATTGTTTTTAGAATTGTCTTTAAGATCACACACTATAATTGGAACAATTCAACCCTAATCGTAACCTTAACCCTGGCAGGGTTCCAAGTTCAATATGCCAAATGGAAAGCTCTCTAACCTTCATTTGAATATGGAAAGAAGAGTCCCCTGTTTCTCTTGATAAATGTTTCCAATGTTGAACTGTTCTCAGAGTCTATCATTCAGTTGAAATCTGCCCTCTTGTAGCTTTAAATCCTTTATTAACTTGCTATCTGGAACAAGAAAAAAATGTCGATTTTCTTTTCCTAAGTGGCATCTTTTCAGATACTTGAAGATTGCTATCATTTGATCTCAATCATGGCCACTGAAAATATTGCCTTTTATTTTGGACTTTCAATTTTTAAAAACACACTCCTTTTACAAGTAGTTTGATTTCAATTATATCTGTCAGGTAGTCTGCTTAGGTAGCTTTTGAAGGCTGTTCATCACCCTCACCAATGGCTCACATTGCGGGACTGGATAAACAATCCTTGCTCCCAACAGGAGGTTCCATAGGAGGGGTGAGCTAAAAGGTCAAAATGGTGACTATTACATAACCATATTTCTCTTTGTTTTGCATGCAAAGAATGGAAAAGGAGTGAAGTTTCAATCATTCCATCATGGGTGCCATCTTTTTTTTTAACCTCCCATGTCCCTAATTAATATCAACTGAATTCATTCTCATTATTTAAGTGTGTGCTCTATTGTGAAAAGCAATGCATGGATTGTCCATGTATACTTTTTTTCCTTTTATCAATTCTTGCCTTGCAGATAAACATTTCAGGGGTCATTGGCTGCTTATAACGGATATGGACTTTGTCTTAACTTTTTCCCTACTTTGTGTGCTTAGTCATAAAAGAAAAGGATGAAGAGGGGGACCTTTGCACAGGTTCGCCTGGTGCACCAATTGCGACCCTACTTGGATCAGGAGGCTCTCCTCACAGTCACTCATGCCCTTGTCACCTCACGGTTAGATTATTGCAACGCACTCTACATGGGGCTACCCTTGAAAAGTGTTCGGAGACTATAGTTGGTCCAGAACGCAGCTGCGTGAGCTGTCGTGGGTGCACCTAGATACATCCACATTACACCAATTCTCTGCGAGCTGCACTGGCTCCCTATTGATCTCCGGTCACAATTCAAGGTGTTGGTTATTACCTTTAAAGCCCTACATGGCTCAGGGCCAGGTTATCTTTGAGACCGCCTTCTGTCGCATAGCTCCCAGTGACCGGTAAGATCCCACAGAGTTGGTCTCCTCTGGGTCCCGTCAGCTAAACAATGCCGGCTGGTGGGCCTGCCAGGGGGGGGCCGGGGGGGGCTTCTCTGTGGCTGCCCCAGCTCTCTGGAACCAGTTACCTCCTGAGGTCCGGACCATCCCTACCCTATTGGCCTTCTGAAAAGCGGTGAAGACCTGGCTTTTCTGGCAGGCCTAGGGCCGTTGGATCTCGCTGTTGTGATCTGGCAAGATCCGGCCATGAATGGCGTGAATGAGTTTTTAATGTTTTTAATTTTTAAATGTTTTTTTATAATGATTTTTTGGAATGTATTGTGAGCCGCTCTGAGTCTTCAGAGAGGGGCGGCATATAAATTAAATTAATTAAATTAATTAAATTAAAGAAGTGTTTCATCAATAAGGAATAACTTAAAAAGTATTTTATTAAAAATGAAAACATTAACAATCAAATTATGAAGGTCTCGAAAAGGGAATCTCAGTTGTAAAAAGTTTTCTTCAAACATGAAAGTAAGTATTAAAATAGCAACTAATTCAGAATAAGCAAAGAGAAATGAAACATTGGAACTAAATGTACGTAAGAGTTTGGATTATAAGCAATAGCAAAACCCAATTACCTTTTTGTTTTAGTTAATGGTTGCCTTATTTGCATCTGTCCTGAAAAAAATCCAAATTTTAATTATTTTTATTTTAATTGCTTACGTTTTAAGGAAACTAACGGAAGAGCCAAAAAAATTGGAGGCGTCATTTGGATGACCTATTTTAAGAGTCATCCAAATGACTCAAATAGTTATCAGCATTTAATTTAAATCAGAGCTAAAGAAACCTAAGAATCTCAAGGTATGCATGTCTCCCTAAGACACTCATTTTTTTGGCCCCAAAACTCACTCTGATGCTTCCTGGAAATAGCAACATTGGTTTTCTCCCAATCGCACAAATAAATCCCAATTAGAATTAAGGAGAAAAAGAATTTTCTCCCAGAGCCAGGAAAATACAGAAATCCCATCCATTATATATCACCTACTTCAGCCTTTACATTCTCAAAAGCACAGACTGTAGCTAGCAAATGTGGCCATCTCTAAATAAAATATTAACGGTATTCATTGATAAACTTGAGATAGTATGGCCTTATTCTTAAGTAAGCTAGAATTACAGTAGCAGTTTAATATACTAAACCAAAAGGGATCTTGAAGCTGGAACTTCAAGTTTTCAACTTAATTTTCTTAGTTTATTCAAAAAAGTTTATATTATTCTGGTATGGGGAAACACACTGATCATGACAAATCAACATAATTGTCTTTTTTGATACAATGACAATTTAATTAACTAGAAACAGACAGTGGACAGTTTAACTTGTATTCAACGAAGTCTCCAATAAAATACTAGAAGAAAACATGGCAAAAGATGAACTCGATTATTATATCATTGGATGAATATTGAGTTGAACAAACATACCCAGCAAATCACATTAAGTTGGAAAGAAGAACTGAGTGCTTACACAAGGGCTCCATTCTAGGCTTGTGCCCCTGAACATATAACTTGGATGAAGGGTTAGGAAATAAAATCAATCTAGATGACACAAAGGCAAAAAGGGAAAATAAACAGAGGACAATATCAAGTTTAGGAGATAATTTATCAAATCGGAATAAATGGGTAGAAACCAGCAAGATAAATTTCAACAGTGACAAATGCCAAGTCTTATATTATATAATAATATATAATATACAGTGGGGCAAAAAAGTATTTAGTCAACCACCAATTGTGCAAGTTCTCCCACTTAAAAAGATGAGAGGCCTGTAGTGCCAGACGTGTCCCCTTACTTATGCCAGTACATGTCCAGGCCTGTCTGAAGTTTGCTAGAGAGCATTTGGATGATCCAGAAGAGAATTGGGAGAATGTCATATGGTCAGATGAAAGGAGTGGCTTTGTAAGAAGCATTTCAAGGTCCTGGAGTGGCCTAGCCAGTCTCCAGATCTCAACTCCATAGAAAACCTTTGGAGGGAGTTGAAAGTCCGTGTTGCCCAGCGACAGCCCCAAAACATCACTGCTCTAGAGGAGATCTGCATGGAGGAATGGGCCAACATACCAGCAACAGTGTGTGCCAACCTTGTGAAGACTTACAGAAAACGTTTGACCTCTCATTGCCAACAAAGGATATATAACAAAGTATTGAGATGAACTTTTAATATTGACCAAATACCTATTTTCCACCATAATTTGCAATTAAATTCTTTCCAAATCAGACAATGTGATTGTCTGGATTTGTTTTCTCATTTTGTCTCTCATAGTTGAGGTCTACCTATGATGTCAATTACAGGCCTCTCTTATCTTTTTAAGTGGGAGAACTTGCACAATTGGTGGCTGACTAAATATTTTTTTGCCCCACTGTATATGTTTTACACAGAACTGATGATGTACATATTGTTTTCCAATCTTTGTAGTTTCCAAGATACAGCAACTTCAGAGTTGATCATTTGGGATCCATTATACTTTCCTTGTTTGCATAATTTAAATTTTCTAGAATTGTCATCCTCATACACATAGGGGTTATCTTCTTTGTAAAATTCCAAGGGATGTGGTCCTCTGTATTGTATTTCAGTTTTAAAAAAAAACATAAATTAAATAGTCTTAATTTTAAAGAATTACATTGTCATCTGCCAATAAATCAATGTCACAGAACAAACTCCGATCAATTCGATTAGATTGTTCCATAAGTTCAAAGAGAGATTTGTATGCCTCTGGGTATAAACCACCAGCTGTAACATCTTCTGGAATCCCCAATTCTCTCAGCAAGTTCTTTGCATTCTCATAAGTCCATAAACTGAAACAAAAATCATTGAAAATTAGATATAATTTAATTGTTAACAATCAAGTGGGCTCAATATGTTCTTAAAACCTTGCCTCCCAATGATACCTGTTGTGGTCTGCCAGTAGGCTGCAGAGCTGGCAGCAGAGTCGGACAGTGATGAGTCTGAGGAACAACATGGGCCAGTCCTGGAGGCTGGGGAAGGCCCGGATGAGGACTCTGCGTCGGAGGCAGAGATGGGGCCAGGGCCATCGGGGAGTGAGGTGCAGGCTCCAGAGCTTCCAGAGACTGATAGTAGTGAAGCATAGGAACGGGGAGCCTGTTCCTAATGCACACATGAGAAGAGCTGCCAGAAGGCAAGAGCAGCTCAAGCAAAAAGGACAACTTGGGAGTAGGGCCAAGAGATGATTGGTCCCTCCCATAAGGCTTAAAACAGACCAGCAATGGCGTTTGGGCTTTGCCGGAAAACAACGTTGGTAGCTTCGTCTTCTTCATCTACATCTTGCATTTATTTTTGTATCTGTGACTTCTGAATGTTTGCCAAGAAAGGCCTTTGGCAGTTTGCCTAATTGGATCAAGGTTTGCGATAGAACTGAGCAATTTGTGTTGGGAGGAATTTGCTTTAATTTAGTTGAACAACGCTGGGAATAAAATAATTCAAATAAAGTTTGTTTTTTCACTGACTGATTTTCCTACTACTTATTTGGGCCTGTGTCACAACAATACCTGAAAGTATCAGTATGCTTACAAACATCTGCCTTAGCAATTGCCTAAATGGCTCACCTAATTTTATTTAGTTTATTTTAATTTCTAAAATGGAAGCCAACTTGAGGTTAAACAAAACATCAGTTTCATGTATCCTACTTACTGGCAAGAATTTTTTTGAAATCCACCATAGATCCAGATACAATTTTTGACAATAAAAATTTCAGCCAATGCTTGTTCCCTCCCCTCCCCCCCCAGAGCAGATGAGCACATTTCCAAAAGTTAGGGGGATGGTAGGGGAAAAATTAAATTTACTTTATCATCAGCATACTGTCAGGCAGACAGGTAATCCCGAATTATGATCACAATGGAACCTGGAATTCCACAAGTGGCCATTTTTCTAGCAACTTAGAAGGGAACGAAAACCGAGAGGATTTCTCCTTGCATGCAATTACCCCCCCACCCCCTCCAAGCTTTAGCAGTCTATGCTAATACCTTGGGAAGGAAAGGAAAGCCAAAAGCTTCATTAGCACCTCAGAAAAAGACATCTGCTTGTGAAATTCTGTCACATGGCCAGCAATGAAATGACCTGTCCTCCTTCCATAACCCAACCTCTTGAGCTCTAGGCAAGGTAGTGATGGGGGTGGAAACATGGAACCCAGTGGACTGGCAAAGCCTGTGGGGACCTAATAGGACAGGATGGGAGAGAAATAGATGGAGGGTGTTTCAGCAACTCTTTGGTTGGTTGTAAGGGTGAATGAACCTAGATACAACTTTGGAAATGGGTTGTAAATTGGGAGGGGGGTGTCATAACTTTGAATCATCACTAAGTGACATGTCATAAATTGAGAATTACCTGTACTCTAAAATGTTTGTTTGTCTGGTATTAATGCCTCCTTAATCTAGACAGCATACTAAAAAGCAGAGACACCACCCTGCCAACGAATGTGTGTACAGTCAAGGCTATGGTTTTCCCAGTTACAATGTATGGCTGTGAAAGTTGGACCATAAGGAAGGCTGAACACCAAAGAATTGAGGCCTTTGAACTATGGTGCTGGAGAAGACTCCTTGGACTGCAAGGCAATCAAACCAGTCAGTCCTAGAGATCAACCCTGACTGCTCCTTAGCAGGCCAGATCCTGAAGATGAAACTCAAATACTTTGGCCACTTAATGAGAAGGAAGGACTCACTGGAGAAGAGCCTAATGCTGGGAACGATTGAGGGCAAAAAAAGAAGGGGACGGCAGAGAATGAGGTGGCTGGATGGAGTCACTGAAGCAGTCAGTATGAGCTTATTAAATGGACTCCGGGGGATGGTAGAGGACAGGAAGGCCTCAAGGAACATTGTCCATGGGGTCACGATGGGTCAGACATGACTTTGTGACTAACAACAACAACAACAACAACAATCCCTCCTTATGTTGGCTGCTGGAGAGGATTATCATTAACATGTATAATATATACATGCACATATGTAATGGTAACTACATACCATTATACATACTGTATTTCTGACACATGTCACATTGTATTAAAAATTAGTCTGTGCTGTTTTTTAATTGAAGAAATTTAATTTTACTTACTTCAATTTGTTATGTAGCTTAATTGAGGCTTTACCAAAACACTGCTTTACCATCATAATAAATGTTTTTGAATTAGCAGTTGTCAAGAAGTCTGTAAATAAATCTTTGCGTGGTGTTAGTTGTACTAAATATAAGAGTTCATTCTGCAGAAGGTAGAAGAATAAAAAACATCTCAATTTAACAATTAACTCAAATACATTTTAGTCAAGTTAATTTTTTTTATGAACTTGTAGATCAGATTAAACTTTTCTGAGAACTTCATTATCAATTTGTTAAAAAGAATGCCTATGCACATATATTTTATTAAATTATTATTATATACAGAAAAATGTGAAATAACAGTTCTTTAGTGTAAGCTATGTTTGTTGGCCTTCATACACATTCAATTCTTCCCAAAAAGCTAGTACTTCATAACATATCAGTATAATGATATACTGAACAAATCCAAGCAGTCTGGCCTTTTGCAATTGACAGATGGAAATGTTCTCAATGCATAGATTTTCTAACTGCCATCCAAGATTTGCCGATAACCTAGTGTGCCAATAACCATTGGGACCACCACAGCCAATTTATGCCATAAATTTTCAATTTCGATTTTCAAATCTTGATATTTTGTGATTTTCTCCAATTCTTTGTCTTCTACTGTACTATCTCCTGATATTGCCACATCAATTATCTACCATTTCTTTCAACCATAGTTAAATCTGGTGTGTTATGACCAAGAGTTTGCATTCGGAAATGCCAAAAACTACTTATTATGTTTCATTATAAAATCAGGCAGATGTTTTAACTGGATTTGATATTTTTATCCACCTACTATTATCATAATGGTTTGTCACACAGCCAGATGTTCAGACTAGATTTCTATTTTTATATACCTTTCAAGTTCATCCTGAGAACCTGTGATAGGTAGATGTTAAAAATATTATCGCAGGATGTAAGGATTCTGAATAAAGCTGCCTTTTGCAATTGACTGGTGGTCATTTTGTCAATGCCGATGGTAACATGATTATCACTTATTTGCCACCCATCTCGTGGTTCAAGGTGACTCTGAGCATTATGTTACCTAATTAACAGAATAACTGAATAACAGAATTGGAAGGAACTTTGGAGGTCTTCTACCTCAACCCCCTGTTCAAGCAAGACACTCTGTACCATACCAAACAAGAGGCTGTCCAGTAATGGAGCAACTTCTGAAGGCAAGCCATTCCACTGGTTAATTTTTCTCACTGTTAGGAAATTTCTCCTTAGTTCTAGGTTGCTTCTTTTCTTGATTAGTTTCCATCCATTGTTTCTTGTCTTGCTCTGATGCTTTGGAAAATAGATTGACCCTCCCTCTTCTTTATGTCAGCTCCTCAAATATTGAAACACTGTTATCATGTCTCCCTAGTCCTTCTTTTCACTAGACTAGACATACCCAATTCCTACAACCATTCTTCATGTTTTAGCCATCCTAATCATATTTGTTGGTCTTCTCTGCAGTCTTTCAAGAGTCTCAAAATCTTTTTTATAATGTGACCAAAATTGGATGCAGTATTCAAAGTGTGTCTTACTAAGGCTTTATAAAAAGCGATATTAATACTTCACATGATCTTTTTTTTTCTTTTTTTTAAATTTGATTTATATGCCGCCCTTCTCCGGAGACTCAGGGCGGCTTACAGTGCGTTAAGCAATAGCCTTCATACTTTTGTATATTTATATAAAGTCAGCTTATTGCCCCCACAAACTGGGTCCTCATTTAACCTACCTTAGAAAGGATGGAAGGCTGAGTCAACCTTGAGCCTTGGAGAGATTCGAACCAGCAGTAAATTGCAGGCAGCTGTGTTAATAACAGGGTGCTTTAAACCACTGTAGTACCAAGGCTCTTATTCAATCTCTTGATTCAATCTCTCCGTTAATGAAACCTAGGACTGCATTGGCTTTTTTGGCTGCAACCACATGCTGCTGGCTCATATTTAAGTGACTGTCCACTAGGACTTCAAGATTTCTCTCACAATTACTACTAATGATCCAGGTTTCACCTAATCTATACTTGTTTGGCTTTTCTTGTCTGTGAAAAACCTTTCAGTCTTGAAATCCATCTGGATCTTGAGCCTATTTTCTGCAGTAATTCCCAGAATATGTATTGAAATGTACATGTGGTATCTCTTGGACTATGAATATCTTCATTCCCCTCTCCATGGCAATGAATATGACGTTTATGGTTAAAGTATAGCAAACCATGGAAAGATTGCAATAACAATTCCTAGTAGGAACCCTCCTAACATGGGTAGTCTCAACTTATGATTGTAACTGAGCCCGGAATTATAGTCGAAAATAGTTGTGGTCATATGTCATGGTACCCGTGTGACTAGAAATAATTTTTTGGCCTTCTTGCAGCAAACATTAAGAAAATACCAAAATTGTTAAGCAAACCCATTCATTTGAATGACCATTTTTTTGCTGACTTCCATGTAAATAGCAGTTGTTACTGTAGAATGTCATGACCAATTGTAAAGCTGACCTGCCTGACAATTGTGGGGGTGTGGCAGAACTATTTATGATGGTTGGGGTGGTTTATGGGCCATAAAGCATCTATTCCATGGCTATCATATCTTCCAACAGTTGTAAAATGATTGGTTGTTAAGTGAGGACTACCTATATAGGTTTTGACTCATGCAAAAAATACTTTTGAAAACTGAAATTTGATAATTAAGTGCAAATAAAAACTATCTCTTTTTCTCTGGAATAGAGAACTAGGTAATTTAAATAGACATTCAAATCCATTATTTGATCTTTAACATACAACTTCTTAAAACAAATTGGACATTTACTTTTGAAGCCTCTCAATTATATGTGTCTGCAGAGGCAGAATTTACTGCATCTTGAACATCCACAATCAAATTAACCTGTGGAGTCCCTGGTGCTCTCTGAGCTTCATTGTTTTCTTGCAAATGTTTCATTATCCAAACTAGGTAAATCATCAGTGCTAGCTCTGATACATAAAAGTAATCACCCAGACATTCACACTGCATTTATTTTAGGACTGACAAATATTAAAATCTCACCACACTATTTGATCCCGATGACTTTTTTCTTGACGTAGTTAAAAATGAAGAGCAAGGTATCTAGAAGAGAGGAAACAATGAAAGTTAGCATAGCTTTAAAATATTAGGGCCAAGATATGAAAGAATGAAGAAGCACTAAAATCAATTATATATTCAGCATTCTGAATGTTGGTGTCCTAAAAAGAGATTTTGACAATAGGTTTATACACAGAATTGAAGTCTATTTTTTATTATCTTGCTTCCCATAGATTTCAGCGGTTAATTTTCAGTGTACAGTGTACAGAAATCCCCCATCATAAATAAAACATAGTGTAAGACTAAGAAGTTAAGTATTTTGTTATTAACAAAAACAGTTTCAGAATGTACAGCAACTTGCCAAATGCAGGGAGTGATAGCTAAAGTGCTACATGTGAGTTTCTCTTATATGGGATGTTCTCACTGCATAGCTCACTGCATTTGAAAACACTAACTAGGTTAAGAGACTTTCCTGAGCCACATCTTACTGTAGCATCTCCACACATGAGCACACAAAAAAGAAGATGGGGTAAGGTGGATATTATAATTTTGTCAAGTTCCACATTACTATATAACACTTGAGATAATAAAAATACTGTCTTCCCACATCTCATTCATTTCAATAACCTGTCCCAAATTTTTAGTATCAAGTTAGTAATAAATGTGTAAGACAAGCAGGTTTCTATTATTAATCGCTGCATATACAAAATGCTCACCTTGTGTAGAAGATGAATATCACAAGCTGTTTGCCAAAGTACACTTAGTGGCTGGTAACATTTTTTATCTGGAGGTTTTGCAACAAAAACCTGGCAAAGGCAGAAGCAGTAATTTTACATTATATTTCTGATTTTATTATGAAAATCCTGAATTTCCTGAACTTGAAAACCTCAGTGAGGCAAGAAAAGCTAAAAAATGAATCAAGGTATACAAGACAACTTGTTGGAGATTATGTCAGATGTAACATATGTTGTTTTTGTGTGGGTGGGTGTGCCTTAAAGTCATTAGACTCTTTGCAATTGTCCATACAAGTCCTGCAGTATTCTTGGCAATAGGTGATAAATGAACTTTATTTTTTGGTAATATTTTCCTAGCTTCTTTCTTATAGAAATCAATTACAGTTCCAAAGATACAAAAACTTGTGTAGAGTATAATAGTCTAATTATTTCTATATTAATTATGTAACTGAATTAGCTGAAAATGCAAATGATCTGCAAGCTCTAGCAGTAAAAATCAAGCGACATAGTGAAAAATTGAGACTAAGATTAAATTTAAAGAAGAACTAACTAACAACAACAGGTACAGCAACCAACCTTAGAACTGACCATTCAATATATCAATGAAGATTCTCAGTCATGCAGGTCATATGGGGTGTTTTTTTCAAAAGGACTTTTTATCCTTGAGAAAAAAAGTTTCACTTCTCACTTGGATAAGAAGCAAAACGTCTTCCTCAAGGAAAAAATAAAGTCCAGTTGCCTTTTGAAAAAGCACCTTTGAGATGACCATTCAGTATCTTCATTATTGAACTCATGAATACTTTCTGCCTTTTAGAATTTATATCAACTCAGCAGTCAAGAACTACACTGCTACTCTGGCAACTATTAGATTAGCAGTGAACACTCTGGAAAAGATGTTCCAAGAAAGATAAAATCTAGCAAGATTTGATGGCACATAATCAATCTACCAATCAATTGAATTACCTACTTTCAGGTGAAATATAGGAAGTTTATTTCAGTGTTTCCTTGTCTTGTCATATTTTGCCTTTTATTAAACAAATTTTTTTTTAAAAAGCTGTGTATATGCATATATAATTTTGCTACAAAAGTTTCAATAAAGGATGACTGTATTTCATTATAATAATCAATACACTCAACATCTGTAAGGGATTCATTCATAAATCACAAATATCGAGTGTCCAGTTTGTTGCATAATTGGTGGCAAAAAACAAAATGTCATAGCTATAATTGCACAATAAGTGACTACAAATACTAAAAGCAGTATTCAGCAAATCAAACTCTTAGAAATAAGAGTTACAGTTCTAGAATAACTTAAACGAGAACATGAGAATCATTAGATTTTTAAAATTTTAAATATCTTTTAGTATTTTATATATTCAATTTTAAATTGGTTTTAAAAGTTTGGGGTTTTAAATTTGTCGGGGCCAAAATTATTTAATTTGATTTTATTCTATTTTTAAATTTTGTATGTATGTGTTTTTATTATTTGGCTGTGCACCGCCCTGAGTCCTTCGGGAGTAGGGCGGTATAGAAATCTAATAAAATAAATAAATAAATAAATAAATAAATTTGGAATAGAACTAGAAATGATAGCTTATTTTCCAGTTCATTATTTAAACATTAACTTGAACAGACTATCTTTGAATTGATAGGAGTTTGAACTGACTAATTATCTTTCAGAAATCTGCCATAGCTTAATAGTGTCATTTAATTTCTTATAGTCTGGATTCAGTATCAGAGCTTGGCTCTAAAATACCTCCAGTTATTTGCAGAATACATTTTCCTGTATTTGCCTATTTCAGCGCAGAAACAACCCAGTAAAATAAGTTGATTATGAAAAATATTGCCTTTTTTTATTTGAATAACACTGAAAATACAATAGTTTTCATTCAGTATCTCACAAAGAGATTTTCCTTTTTCTCATTCCACATGGCAGAAACTGCAGTGAATAAATGGATTTTGCAATTCAAATGGTTATACTGGCCAGTGAATATTGCTAGATCCTTCTAAATGTTTCTTAAATATGAAAAATCAACATTTGATTTACACCCCTTGACTATAAACCATAGTTTCTATTGCCAATGTAAAATAGATTATGTATGGTTGTACCTTATCTCTATATCATTTCTTATCTCAGAATATCTCTAAGATAACTCATAAAAAGTTACTTATTCCTTGTTTAACCACCTGTTCAGTTATCATTTGAAGCTATGACAGCAGTGAATAATGGATACCAATGACCAGTCCTCATAGTTGCAGTGTTCCCATGGTCATGTGATTGAGATTTAGGTGCTTGGCAACTGTCTTGCAATTATGACATCATAGAATCCTGCACACGATCACCATTTGTGTCCTTCACTGCCAGCTTCCAACAAGCAAAGTCAATGGGAAAGATGGCACGAGGGTGCAAATGGTGATCACATGAAAATCACATGTAGTTTGCTTTAATGACAGCAACTGGAATTGTTGCAACTCCTGTTGTAAGCCAACACTTTGTGACATTGCATTTTATGATCACGTGGCTTAGCAACAGAGTTGTAAGTCCCAGTTACGGTTGTCAAGCAATAGCTACCTGTATAACAATATGTTTTTTAATGCTATAGTAAAGACAACATATTGCAACAAATCCTAAATTCAAAATTCAAAACAAACATTATAAATCCATCAATATATTTTAGAATTGTTTTTAAAATGTCATTTTGTTTAAAAATTTGGTCTAGTAGATAAGGCACCACTAGAAACCAGGAGACTGTGAGTTCTAATCCTGCTTTAGGAATGAAAGCCGGCTGGATGACTTTGAGCCAGTCACTCTCTCTCAGCCCAACACATCTCACAGGAGTGTTGTGGGGAAAATAGGAGAAAGAAGGAGTATTATATAAGTTCACCGCCTTGCGTTATTTATAAAAATAAAAAAGTGGAATATAAATAAATAAAATTTCAAAGTTGATATATTAGCAAATTTTTTATACGAACCTTGTACATTCTTTCACTGACAAACAAGTTCAATTCTATTCTTCCATAATTGTATATAGAGCTGCATTCATATAAAAAATAAGTAAATTTCCAAATAAAGGTCCGTTCATTTTTAGGGGGGACAATTCCAACCACTTTTAGAGGAACATCTGTTTTTTAAATGAATCAAGATGTTTGAAAATTAAAGCAAATACCGTGAGTCAGTAATCTAGTATTAAATTAAAAATTATTATAAGCATATAAGCATAGCTTCAGCAATATAACTATTAGCTTCGGGACTTTCATCTTGCAAGTTATGCTTTTTTTTATGAAAGCCCACCTTTTAATCAAAAGCCCTATTAGAGACTGAACTGGCAAGCAGAAATAGCATCACTTTCACTGCTTATTTTATGTTTATAGACAGCCTTCAAATTTTGTTAACTTCAAAAGAAATTATATAATCTTTCCTTAGCATGATTTTTTTATACTAAAGTCTTAATAGCTTTCTGCTTCAGAATATTTAAATATATTTGAGACTAATGTGAAGGTAATTTAACAAATGCCATATTACTCTGCATGTTATAATTTTCATATTGAAGTGATCCAATTAAACAATTCTGTCTGAATGTGAGCTACCTCAAATTCATATGATCAAGAAAAAGTGAATATACAATTTAAATTTACAATATACATACATGTATGATAATTTACCTGATGTCCAAGGAACTTCGAAGATTTTCAGGTTGTTAAAAAGTGTTTCAGAACATAATTCACCCTTCAACAATGCATATGGATTAGTATCCAACTTTACGAAGTTGGAATGCACCACTTCCAATTGGCTTTCAAATTCTTTCTTTAGAGACTAAATACAAGCATACAACTAGAGGTTAACCAAAACACCTGAAATAGCGTTTCTCTGGGATATTCTGTTCATGTTGATTACTTTCTGCTTAAACTGCTGGTGTCCCTTTAACTATCACTCACAATGACCCAGGACCAATGGATGTCATAATCCAGAAATATCAGAAGTGTTTCCCAGCCTTGCTTTAAGATAAGAATATAGGAATTTATATTAGGAATAAGATAATACCTACCTCTAAATTAGGAAGAAAAGATTTATTACTCTCCAGAGCTATGACGTGGGCTCCAGTATTAAGCAACTTTTGAGTCAATACTCCAGGACCTAAAAATAGCCATTGTTTAATACTCTAGAATTTATTTAAAAAGCTTTGTTTTTGTTTAAAAGAGAAATATCAATCAAAATATTCTAACTGAAAGTTTACATCAGGTATTGCCTAATCCTAAAAGGAGAAAACAGATAAATATTATTCAGCTACCAATAATGGTATCTACCTGGTTTGAAAAAATCAACCATGATCAAGAAAGAGTAACACTATTTAAAGTGCTATTTGCTGTTCTATTCCTCCAAGTGGTGACTCCCAATTCAATCTGCCATCAGAGAAATAGCTTTTGTGCCTGTGTTATCCCAGATACCGGTATGTGTTCATGAAACCCCAAAATTATCTTCTTTTTAAAAAGACAGTCTGACAATGACTGAAAGTCTATGAAATAGACAAATCTCGCTAGCTCTCAATTCTTTTTCATGAAAGCTAGCAAGATATAGCAGTTTCATAGTATTTCAACCACTTTTTCATTTTAATTTTTAGTGCACACAACAATATCTGAAAAGGTTGCTGGCTGTTTTTTATGTAATTAAAGGATCATTGGAAACAGCTTTTCCAATATAATTTTCTTCCTCTGTTTTACAATTTTTTACTAAATAATATTTTTATGCAAGTCAGTTCATGAGACCTGTCAGAACAGGTTTGATTTATAAAAAAGAACTTTGCCTTTTCCATAATTGTATGATGATGTAAGCCACTTAAAATACAATAAGATTAAGACAAAAATATATTGGTTAATAAATAAACTAGCTATGTATTTCTGGATGGAGATCCCTTCAACTCAATGAGAATTATGTTCAAATGAAGCTGTTATAAAATTGTAAAGTTACACAGAGGATATAATATAATATAATATAATATAATATAACAAAGTTGGAAGGAACCTTGGAGGTCTTCTAGTCCAACCCCCTGCTTAAGCAGGAAACCCTACACCACTTCAGACAAATGATTATCCAACATCTTCTTAAAAACTTCCAGTGTTGGAGCATTCACAAGTTCTAGAGGCAAGTTATTCCACTGATTAATTGTTCTAACTGTCAGGAAATTTCTCCTTAGTTCTAAGTTGCTTCTCTCCTTGATCAGTTTCCACCCATTGCTTCTTGTCCTGCCTTCAGGTGCTTTGTAGAATAGGTTGACTCTTCTTTGTGGCAACCCCTGAGATATCAGATCACTGTTATCATGTCACCCCTAGTCCTTCTTTTCATTAAACTAAACATACCCAGTTCCTGCAACCGTTCTTCATATGTTTTAGCCTCCAGTTCCCTAATCATCTTTGTTGCTCTTCTCTGCACTCTTTCTAGTCTCCACATCTTTTATACCTCATGGCGACAAAAACTGAATGCAGTATTCCAAGTGTGGCCTTACCAGGGCATTATAAAGTGGTACTTCACATGATCTTGATTCTATCTCTCTGTTTATGCAGCCTAGAATTGTGTTGGCTTTTTTGGCAGCTGCAGCACACTGCTGGCTCATATTTAAATGGTTATCCACTAGGACTCCCAAGAACCCTCTCTCAGTTACTACTATTGAGCAAGGTACCACCAATACTGTACCTGTGCATTTTGTTTTTCTTGCCTAAATGTAGAACCTTACTTTCTTCACCATTGAATTTCATTTTGTTAGATACCACCCAATGTTCAAGTCTGTCAAGATCCTTCTGTATCTTAAGCCTATCTTCTGGAGTGTTGGCTATTCCTGCCAGCTTGGTGTCATCTGCAAATTTGATGAGTTCCCCATCTATCCCCTCATCCAATCATTGATGAAGATGTTGAAGAGTACTGGGCCTAAAACAGGGGGTTATATACTTTGGGGTATATCTTATCTTATCTTATCTTATCTTATCTTATATTATATTATATTATAGGATATATAGGATATGATTCTTCAAGAAGTACACAATATGAATTTTAGTAATATAAAATTATCATTTTAAAAATTATAATCTGTGAAGTTCTTGATCTTCTCAGCTTGGTTGTTTGTGTTCATTACCCAACTAGGTAACATCAATGCTTCAGTGATCATGTTTTCTGGTTGGCTAATGAAATGACTGCAAGCCAACAAGATCAGAGAGCACCAACGACTCCACAGTCCTATTCTGAGCTACCATACATATATTTTCTTCTATTGAAAAACATAATCTGCCGCACACTGATTGCTATTGCAGCACAATGGCACAGATGCTAAACACCTAGAAGACACCCTTTCTCTAACAGGTATTGCAACAAATCTGGTGGATTCCTCCTCGCAGCTTAATGTCAACTTTATTATCATCACATCACCTTCGAGGTCACATACTTAACTTTTACCCTAAAAATAGGTCCCCTTAAGTAACTCTCACCTGCCTCAAATTCCAGCAGGAAGGTTTTGGACTTCTCAAAATTTCGCCCCCTCGTCAGCTGGGAGGCCACTTTCTGCGCTGAAAAGGGGCAGACGAGAAACCTTCGATCTGAGGTCGAATCCATGCTCGCGACCTTTTGGGCGATGTCAGCTCTCACGAAAGAGGGTTTTTTCAGGTTGTGGAGTCCGAGTCTTACACTCTGACCCTTCAGGGGCCGCACCGAGAACCGCAGGCCAGAGCGTAAAGTCGAGGCGGCCAGGGTCAACTGCCGTCCCCCGAAGAGAGGGGAAACCAACGCAACGAAAGTCATCTTCTCGCTTTAGCGCTGATTTTTATTTTTGGTTTTTTTTTCAAGGCGAGCGCCAACCCTCACGTGACGACCTTGCAGAACTCGAAAAGCGAGCGCAGTTTGCACCCGGACAATTTTAGCGTCGGAGCGCCCACCGGCGGATTCCGGTTTCCTCCGAGCGTTAACGAGCTGTCGCCGGGGTTGACGTTCTAGCCTTCCGTTTTCATGGCAAGGTCCTCTCTAGGCATCTGGTACTCGGTGGCGCACACCTTTGGCTTCTGGGCGCTGCGCTCGGGAATCCCCCCGGCGGGTGTCTCTGGTTTCTTTCCGTCCCGTTCCTTCTCTCCGGCTTCCATCCCGATCTTAATTTTTGGCTGTGCCGGAGCGAGGGGCTGCCCGGCGAGGTGGCCTCAGGCTGAGGTGAGAGGAGGAAAGCGACGAGGCTACTCTGCCGAGTTTACCGCAGCCCCGGGCGGGCGGGCGGGCGGGCGAGCCGGTTGGGTGGGTGGGCAGGAGTGAGGTCGCGTGTTAGCTGCGTGTTGCATCTGAAGTCTTGGTGAAGTAGAGCTGATCCCGGCCGTAAAGGGAGACCGAGACACCGGATCGGATCATTAATCGTGGTTGGGGATGTCACGGGAATCTCTGGGACTCTCACGGGAAAGCTGGTTATCAGCGCTACAGGACTAGGAAGAGCAGCCGGATGTTTGCATAAAGAAGAAAACATTACGGTTGAACGTGTCGGATTCCGCTCTTCTTAACCTTCTGTCCCTCCGCTCCTGCCTTGTCGGTCTGCTATTCATTGTGGTTTCAAGGCAGTCCGTGTACCTGGGACTGGCATCTGCGACCTCCTCGCATATCAACATAGATTTCCAGTTTGGGTTGGCAGGAGAGAGAGAGAAAGAGAGAGAGAGACTTTTTTTCTCTCTCTCTCCAAGTATTCGGAGTAAGGGACAATCCACTCTGAAGCCCGGATAAGGCGACTGTCTTCTTTATTATACTTGTGACTCATTCTTTCTCCAGAGGTCATAAGGACGGCTGATTGTGGGGGGTTGTTATCCCCCAGATCAGTACAGTATGTCTCCTGGGGATGGAGGGCTGGATTAGATCATTTTAGTGGTCTTTTCCAACCCTACAGTACTATGAGTCTATGATAACCCGTTAGCATACAAAATTGGATGACAAATTAATGGTTGCTTATTCTGATTATAGATCTGAGGCTTATCTAACCAATTTCCAAAAGGTACGCAGAAAATGCAGATGCCTGTTTTAATGAAAGTAAGGTATATGAAGAAGACAATGGCTTGAGGTTTGAAGGAGATACATACAAACACATAAACACATACAGTTGATATTGTTCAAATGCAGTGTGCACACACTTCATTGTACTGGGGTACTTCTGCATGAATCATTATTCGAAAACATGAACAACATAGGGAACAGTAACGGAGACTATAATTCAGTCCTGAATTATATATTCATTTCCTAGCTTTTGGCGAATGAAGTATTAATAGAGTTCACAAAAAATGTTAAGCTCGAAGGCAGTTTGCTACTTTGTAACTCAGAGTATCATGGGAACCCAGTGTTTTCGGTTTATGATGCATTATGCATTATGATGTGTTGATCCAACCAATTGATTAATTTAGTAATCCGTAGTAGATTTAATCATGGTTTAGTGCAAGGATGTCAAACTCGATTTCATTGAGGGCTGCATCAGGGTTGTGTTTGTCCTCTGGGGGGGCGGGGCGAGTGGATGTGGCCAGCTTGACATCCTGCAGCCCTCTGCCAGCAAAAACGGAGCCCAGGAGGGCCACACATGGCTCTCCTGAGCTCAGTTTTTGCTGTAAGAGGCACCGCGGGTTGGTCCTTCGCTGTTTCCAGGGCAGCCCCATGGGCCAGACCTAGCACCCCATGGGCCGGATCAAGCCCACGGGCCTTGAGTTTGACACCCCTGGTTTAGAGCATTTTGCAAAAAAGGTTTATACATGTAGACCTTCCTTTGTGCAGGCTTTCTCAAAGGTCTAGAGAAGCTCAGGCTACTTCCCATTTTTTAAATTAAAATAAGGCACCAAGAAAAAGTGAGCATAATTTGAATATTTTTGATGTAAAAAAATAGATACAAAACTGTTCAGATTTATGGAACCACAAATGGCCTTCTGCTCCCTTCTGACTGATCCTACTTTTGGGTCTAGCACAAAAACAAAAAACATTTATAGAAAAGGAAATCCCTTCCCCTTGTATCAAGCTGTACAACTGCTGTGGTTTATTGGAAGGCAGGTGAAGTTTTTAATTTTTCTTCTACTAACCTCCACTACGTTGTAAACTTTGTACTTTATTAAAAGGCTGTTTCAATTACCTTGAAAACTATTCACAATCCTGTATTACTTCCATTGAGGATTTCTTTTGTTGGCATTTTCTTCTTTGCTAGGTCAATTTTAAGGTTAATTAAAACCAGAAATGTTTGTAAGGTGGCATTGTTAAATGGATAAACCATTTGTGAACATTGTATTTGTCTTCATGGTATGTTATAAAAGTTTGGAGATTGTTGTACCATATAACTTGTATAAATGTGCCAAATATTTGACATAGATCTTGTTTTTTTAATTTGAAGCTTTCATATTTGATTAAGAAATAAGTTTAGTTTCAGAGTTGACAATAATCTTGAGGTAGAGTATGATATGTGTCTTGGTCTTGTTTGATGTATATGTATATTTAAGGTGTATTCGATGACTGGAGCTAACTGATTCATTTTGTTCATAGTTAAGATATTTGTTAAAGGAGAATCCACAAATGGATTATTACTTGTGAATGGTAGGATTTACAGTGGTTGACCTTGTGTTCCTTTTTTATTTATTCAGTCTTTACAGTGAAGCAAATTTTGTGTTCATTCTATTGCATAGGGTATATTTATTTATTTATTTATTTATTTATTTATTAGATTTTTATACCGCCCCCTCTCCCGAAGGACTCGGGGCGGTGAACAGCCAAAATTAAAAAACATACAATATAAACAATTAAAATACGTTTAAAACAGAATTAAATCTAAAATGGCTCCCCAATTTAAAACGCCTTACCCATACCCCTATAAATAAGACGAATTTAAAATTTAAAAATTTAAAATTTCCACATTTAAAAAGGGGGAAGATTTAGGCCAGGCCAGCTTGATAAAATAGAAAAGTCTTAAGCGCGCGGTGGAAGGTGCGCAGATCCGGGATCCTACGTATCTCCGGGGGGAGCTCGTTCCAAATCATAGGTGCCCCCACAGAGAAGGCTCTCCCCCTAGGGGCCGACAGCCGACATTGTTTGGCCGACGGCACCTGGAGGAGCCCCTCTCTATGGGAGCGTACTGGCCGGTGGGAGGCTATTGGTGGTAGCAGGCGGTCCCGTAAATAACCAGGTCCTAAGCCACGGAGCGCTTTAAAGGTGATAACCAGAACCTTGAAGCGCACTCGGAAGACCACCGGGAGCCAGTGCAGCTCGCGCAGGAGAGGTGTCACATGGGAACTCCATGTCGCTCCCATCACCACCCGCGCGGCCGCACTCTGCGCCAGTTGGAGCCTCCGAGTGCACCTCAAGGGGAGCCCCATGTAGAGAGCGTTGCAGTAGTCCAGACGAGAAGTAACGAGGGCATGAGTGACTGTGTGTAGGGAGTCCCGATCTAGATAGGGACGCAACTGGCGGATCAGGCGAACCTGATGAAAAATCCTCCCGGACACGGCCGTCACATGCTCTTCTAACGACAGCCGTGAATCCAGGAGGACACCCAGGTTGCGGGCCCCATCCGTGGGGGCCAATGATTCGCCCCCAATAGTCAGCGATGGCACTAGCTGACTATATCGGGACGTCGGAAACCACAGCCACTCGGTCTTGGATGGGTTGAGCCTGAGCCTGTTCCTCCCCATCCAGATCCGTACGGCCTCCAGGCACTGGGACATCACTTCAAGGGCATCATTGGGGTGGTCCGGGGTGGAGATGTACAGCTGGGTGTCATCCGCGTACTGATGGTACTTCACCCCAAAACCACGGATGATCTCGCCCAGCGGCTTTACATAAATGTTGAACAAAAGGGGCGAGAGGACCGATCCCTGCGGCACCCCACATATGAGGGGCCTCGGGGTCGACCTCTGCCCCCCTGTCAACACAGACTGCGACCGGTCGGAGAGAAAGGAGGAGAACCACCTTAGTACGGTGCCTCCCACCCCCAACTCTTCCAACCGGTGCAGCATGATACCATGGTCGATGGTATCAAAAGCCGCTGAGAGATCTAACAGGACCAGGACAGAGGAGCAGCCCCTGTCCCGAGCCCTCCAGAGATCATCAACCAACGCGACCAATGCCGTTTCCGTGCTGTACCCAGGCCTGAAACCCGACTGGAACGGATCCAGATACGACGCTTCATCCAGGTACTGGGGAAGCTGTCCCGCAACCACACTCTCAACAACCTTCGCCATAAAACGATAATTAGCCAATATTGCCGGGTCCAGGGAAGGCTTCTTGAGGAAGGGTCTCACCACCGCCTCCTTAAGGGCGGCGGGGAAGACACCCTCACCCAATGAAGCATTTATAATCCCCTGGAGCCAGCCTCGCGTCACCTCCCGGGAAGCCAGCACTAACCAGGAGGGACACGGGTCCAACAAACATGTGGTCGCGTTCAATCTATCCAGAATCCTGTCCACGTCATCTGGGGTCACAGGTTCAAACTCATCCCAGATAACAGTCTCAAGACCTGCCTCCGTCACTCTCGCTGGACCTACCCAGTCAGAGTCCAGACCTTCCCGAATCTGAGTGATTTTGTCATACAGATACTGAACAAAGTCCTCGGCTCTTCCCTCCAAGGGGTCCTCCCGCGCTTCCTGGTGGAGCAGGGAGCGGGTCACCCTAAACAGGGCGGCCGGGCGATTATCTGATGATGCAATAAGAGCAGCCAAATGCGTACATTTTGCTGCTTTTATCGCCACTAGGTAAGTCCTAATATGGGATCTAACCAGTGTCCGGTCCGATTCAGAAAGACTAGCTCTCCAACTACTCTCTAGGCGTCTTTTCTGGCGCTTCATCTCCCTCAGTTCCTCGGTAAACCAAGGAGCCAGGCGAGATCCGCGCCGGGTCAGAGGCCGCAAAGGCACGACTCGATCCAGGGCCCCAGCGGCCGCCCTATCCCAGGCGGCCACTAGGTCTCCAGTCGAGGCGTGAGCCAGAACCTCAGGAATTGGCCCAAGCTCCGTCTGGAACCTACCAGGTTCCATCAGGCGCCTGGGGCGGTACCATCTTATCGGTTCCGCCTCCCTGCAGCGGGGTGCCGCGGTACGAAGGTCAAGGCGAAGGAGAGAGTGATCCGACCATGACAAGGGCTCGATGACTACATCCCCTATCTCAAGATCACTCAACCACTGTCCAGAGACAAAAACCAAGTCCAGTGTGTTTCCCCCAGTGTGCGTAGGGCCATGAATTAGTTGGGTCAGATCCATGGCCGTCATGGAAGCCATGAACTCCTGAGCCACCTCAGACGTCTCACCCACGGACGGCAGGTTGAAATCCCCCATGACCATAAGTCTGGGGGTATCAACCGCCACCGCGGCGATAACGTTGAGTAGCTCAGGCAGGGTTGCTGCCACGCGGCAGGGAGCCAGGTACGTGATCAGCAAACCCATCTGAACCCCCTGGCCCCACTTCACAAGGAGGGACTCACAACCAGCTGTCTGAGGTACAGTGGTCTCCCTGGGCCTAAGGCCTTCTCTAATAATAACCGCTACTCCCCCGCCCCTTCCCTGTGACCTCGGCTGATGGAATGCGTGGAAGCCTGGTGGGCACATTTCTACCAGAGGGACCCCTCCCTCCGGGCCCAACCAGGTCTCGGTAATACCCGCCAGGTCCGCTCCCCCCTCCTGAACAAGATCACAGATGAGGGGGGCTTTATTTACTACGGACCTGGCGTTGCACAACATCAGACAAAGGCCCGGGCCGTGAAGATCTGTGCAACCTGGCAAACGGGTGGAGCCTTGGGGGCCGGAGCACCCTACCGCTTGGAGACAGCGGGTGCGTGCTCCCTTAACATGATATGGCCCCCTGCTCCCGCCATATCTACCCCTTCCACTCACAGTACTGCATGTTGCAGTATTTTACGGGCTATCTCATAAGTATCCTGTGGCAATAATTAAAACTGTAGTAAATAATTATTAGGCTTTATAAATATAACAGCCATATTAGCATTAAGGTGGGAAATTCAGCAAGACCTTTAAGAAAAAAGATATTAAATATCTGACATATAAGTTATACTAGAAATCTAGTAAATGGTGATTCCTTCCCCACCAGCTCAGTCCAAGAATTTGATTATATTCTTGTATCTACTTAAATCCATTTTTTCCCCAACCAGCAACATTCCTATATATTGGTTGTAATAATCTTATTCAATGCAGAATGACTATAGGTTGGGACCCAGAGAATACCAGCACTTATTTTTCCATGCAAGTTCCTTTCTTCTTCTTGAACAGCATCCTCCAGCCTAGAGCCACATGGCAAACTATTGTTGAAACAGACAAAGTTTTCCAAAGCAATGTGTGACATAGTAATTTTCCAAAGTTTCAAGTAAAAAAAATAAACTGGAAAGCTCAAATTTTGCAATCAGCCACAGTTTCTCAAACATTAATAAAATATGTATTACAGGTAGTCCTCCACTTATGACAATTGAGCCCCAAATTTCTGTTGCTACTTGAAACATTTGTTAAGTGAGTTTTGCCCCATTTTACGACCTTTCTTTCCACAATTGTTAAGTGAATCGCTGCAATTGTTAAGTTAGTAGGATGGTAAATATGGCTTCCCCATTGACTTTGCTTGTCAGAAGGTTGCAAAAGGTGATCCCATGACTCCAGGCTATTACAACCATCATAAATATGAGTTGGTTTCCAAGAGTCTGAATTTTGATCACGTCACCATGGAAATGCTGCAACGGTCATAAGTGTGAAAAACTGTCAAAAGTCACTTTTTGTAGTGCTGTTTATAACTTCGAAAGGTCGCCAAATGAACTGTTGTAAATCAACGGCTACCTGTACTTATCTAACTGCATTGATAAACAATTTTAAATTTTATATTCTGAAAAAAATGAATTTAAGTTAACTCTGCTCTACCATCAAAACAGAAATCTGTTATGTAACAAGATAGTCTCCTTAAAGGAAAGAATTTCATACCTTGGCACTTTTACAAAGACCTGCCCTTCCCACATTATGATTATGATCAAGTTATGTGTTTTCAGTTGGTGGGGAGATGAGTGATCCTTAATGCTTTGCATTCTTTCTTTCTTTTTTTTAGATAGGTTATTTATTTAGAAAGGTTTTGCTTTCTGAAGAAAGTCAATAAAGTTACAGTAATTTATGAAGACTAAAGTTTATGTCATTTTAATAAATCAAAAAGAATTGGCACTATGTTCCACTAATTCTGATCTTCTTGTGGCAGATTTCTAACAAAGGCATTTATTATTTTAATGTATTAACATTTATATTTCTTACTTTTTTGGCAGATAGAATTGAAGCTAGATAACTCTGTGCCTAAAATGATAATCTCCTTTACCCTGCAGTATGTTTGAGAAGCATTTTACTTTTACAGATATGGTAAGTGCTGCTGTTTAAAATGGAAATAAATAGAACTTAAAGCAATTGAGGACATTCAGATTATTATTTTTAATATAAAGAAGCACGAACATCTTATTTTTACAGAAGGAAATTGGAATTTGTAATAATCATAAAAATATTATCTTGTTAATTAAAAATACTGATAAATGGGTAGTGACTTATAAATCCTTTTGGCAGCAGATGAAATTGGAGGATAATTCAATATAATGTTTCATTTTAAAACAAAGTATTAACTTCTTTAAGCTATTACTAGCAAATATAGTGTTTTGTTTGTAAAATACAAAATATTAATTGAGATAGAATGTGGGAACTGTGAAGGTTGAGAAGTCTCTGAAGCCATACCTTGCCTAAATTGGAAGGTTACTTGCTGGGCATCTGTCGGTTATGAATGCACCTACTAGGATTCACAGTTGACTACATATCTGTAATAATGTTGTAGAAGATTATGTATCTTACATCAGGCCCCAGTCCACATGTTGGAAATCCAAATTGTAAAGCCATATATGTAGAATCGGAATTAGAAAGGAGAGATTTAAGCTATCAAATTCAATTTCAAACTCAGTAGGGAATCCAAATTAAACCAATCTTGGGAACATATTCTCCATCCCCTACATGATCACATTCAACAAAAGTGACTGACATCCTTTTTAGATCATTGGTTCCCCTGACAAAGTACCCTTAAAACGCCTTTTCCCAACTCTCTTAAGAATTTTTTTTAATATTCATTTGGAGTCATTTTGTAATTTAAACTTGTTACTCCATGTCCATCATTTAGATTTTAACCTTCCACTGTGCTATATTTTTTTTTCAAATAGAGTGCTACCGTATCTCCCTTTCTGCTCACCTTTCATATAGGAGTTCAAAGTGGTATACATAAGGCATCCTTTTCCAGTTTCCCCCCACAGCTACCACCCTGTGAGGTAGGCCCTTTAAAGATGCTGTCAGGAGTGGTGCCTCTGGCATGAGTATTAGGACCAGGCTATCACTTTCTTACTGTTTTGGAATTCTGTAGGGATATGGATATATATGTTTGCTTTAAATTTTGTTAGCCAATTTTAAGGTTTGCTGGAACAGTACAACAAGGTAAAAATCAAGTAAATAATTAAATACATAAATAACAATAACTTTCAAATTAGAGTAAAAAAATACAGAGAACATTTTATCCACTAAAAGATCCCATTGATAGAAGAAGAAAGGAGATATCTTTTATAATTCCACCCTCTCTTTATAGTACTCCACCTTCCTCTGAATTGTCTATGACAGATTTTATATTGAAAGGGGGGAGGGAAAAGAATAGAAGAGGAAATTAGTGTAAAGTTGTATGCATTCTTCTATTGTAGTTGCACAAGTGTTCTGTCCCCGTCTCACACACGCACACAAACAGTCAGCCAGGAGTTAATAAAACCAGCAGTCAGGAATTTCTTTGAGATAACAGCATTGGCAGCAACCCAGTAGCTGCTTGCCAAAAACTTTACTCACAAAGGGAGGTTTTCCTCCTCCGTCAGATAAACCAAAATAAGTTCACAAATCCAAAAAATTGTCAAGTCCAGTCCATAATAAATCCAAGGAAGGCATATAACGAAGTTCCAGAAACGCAGTATGACTTGCTAGCTGTTCAGTTTTGTCCGTCACAAAGCCTGAATGGCCACCACACCCCCTTTTATCCCCTGTGGGGTGTGGTCCAGTGACTCAGCTTAAACTCTGGCACGCCTCCTTCTCTGTTGCGCGCGCTTGTCTTTACGACGCTGTCGGGGATCCAGCCAAGACTTATCTCCATCGCTGTCTAACTGCAGCTACTCGGAAGTGCCTGGCTCCTGGCCTATCTCTTCTCCTTCGGAAGACACCTGAGGCATTGCCAGAGAGGAGGGTCCTGGAGAGGGAGGCCTTGCCAACTCCTCTCCTTCACTTTCGGAGTCTTCTCCCTCTGATCAGACAGGCTCGGGGGTCGGAGTCACAACAACAAGCAGGAAAAGGAAGAGTGAGATATATCCAGGGGTGAAATCTACTTACCTTCCCTACCGGTTCGGAAGTGCGTGCACTGCACGCGCATGTCACATGTGATTTTGGACCCCATGCGCAAAGCCTTCTGCGCATGTGCAGAGGGTAAAAAACAGGTAACGACTTCCGGGCGGGTGGACGGAGCCTTGCACTGCCGCCGCTACCAGTTCTCTGAACTACCTGCTGCCACCACTACCGGTTTGCCCAAACTGGTGCGAACCGGTAACATTTCACCCCTGGATATATCCAACAAAACATGGTTAATTAGGTGGTTTGACTTACAAGCCAACATTTCTAATGAAGCAATTAAAAGGGTTTTTAATGTAGATTAATCAAAATAAACTAATGCTAATGCTCAGGATCATTGGATAGTGAGATGGGCAACAAATACCTAAATACATGCTGTTTAAAACAAGAAACAATCTACATTTTGGTTCAGTGATCAGTGCAACAAACAAAAGTATGCTTCTGCCTTATTTATTATAGAGAATTAGAGTTGAATATGTCAGAAGAAAGAAAAGTTAGTGGGAATGGGATAGCTAAGGTAAAACAAGAAGGAAAGAAAGTCAAGAATAAATGGGTACTGAATGAATGTAGATTGATGTCAAAGTGAGTGACCAGAATGCTAGAAATATATTGAGGCACTTTAGTTATAGAGAGAGAATGAATTGCAAAACTTGTCCTCCTGGTCATTCACTGGCAGGATTTAAGTCCTAAGCCTTTTCTTCTCACTCTTTCATGTTAATAGACTTCTGGTCATTATTTTCCCAGCCTTGAGATTGGGAAGCACCTCAATCGTTACATAGCCAGTTTTGATTGGCTTGATCAGCACTGGTTGCCCCTTTTCCAGTTTACGCCCTTATATATATGAAGGAAGAGTGAATTAATTGAGAGGAAACGGAAGAAGGAAAAAGCCATGGCTAGACGGAGTCAATGAGATTCTCAAAAAGGAGGTAAGAAATTTAAAGAACAACTGACAGTATAGTAAATGATTTATAAGGAACAAAAAGTTGTGGAGATGATATCAGTGTATAATTTCCACTATTTTGTCTTTTGAATGATTACTCTGTTAAAATGAATTAGAATTTGTGTATTGATTGAAAGAAACAGATTAATTGAAATAAAAAAGTCACATACAGGTGGTCCTCTTTTAGTGACTGCCTTGTGTAACAATGATTTACAATTATGACACTAATGAAGAAATAACTTTGCAAGAAGTCCTTGCATTTATGACCCTCTCAGGTCTATAAAGCAAAGGATAATTGAGGTAAGACTATAAGCACAGTCATGGTTTCACTTAGTGCTTTGCTTAACAATCAAGTTGATGGTCCCATTTGTGGTTGATAAACAAGAACTACCTTTTTTTAGAAGAAATTTCATTTGCTGTGGCAGAAAATGATTTGTTGACCAAAACTACATTGCAGCTTTTCAAATTCAATTTAATAGAAGTCGAAGAGTGGGAAGATAAGCAATTGTTCCAGGAATGTGGCTTTAAATTTTAATTGATTTTCTAAAAGGAAATTTAGAAAAAATAATTCTTGACATTTATTTAAGAAAAAATAATTTTGGTTTTTCTATTAGTGTAATTGTTAAAGATAAAAAAAACATAGACTTTGAAAGATAAATGTTTAATTCTACATACCTATAGAAATATGTAATTATGAGGTACATGTGCAACAGGTTGTAGTGTAATATAAATACTGTTAGATAAATAAGTTAATATGTTTATTTCCCAGATAACTGATCATTTCCCTTTTTACATCTCCATTTAAACAACAACAAAAATACCTGTTTTTCCATCTGCTCTTTCTTTTCACTGCTTTGTCTACTCCCTTACTCATTTTAATGCTAATACCTGGAAACCTTTTTTTGCCACCATATATGGGAGCAGGGACAGGAAAAGAATGGATAATCACATCATAGAGGGCAGTGGTGAAATCCAATTTTTTTTACTACCGGTTCTGTGGGTGTGGCTTGGTGGGAGTGGCAGGGGAAGGATATTGCAAAATCTCCATTCCCACCCCACTCCAGCGGAAGGATACTGCAAAATCCCCATTCCCTCCCTATTCCTGGAGGAAGGATATTGCAAAAACTCTATTCCCCACCCCACTCTGGGGCCAGCCAGAGGTGGCATTTGCCTGTTCTCCGAACTGCTCAAAATTTCCACTACCGGTTCTCCAGAACCTGCTGGATTTCACCCCTGATAGAGGGAATTAATATTTCCATTCAGCTAGATATTTACAAGAATGCATGTGGAGATCATAAGTAACTCTAAGTCGCACCTCTCAATATTAGTGATAGTAATAGTCCTATATGAAAATAATTCCTGTATTCAAGTGGATACATTATACGCAGTCCAATTTATTATTTTGACTAGTTAATAATTGGCTGTAAAAATATACCTCAGATTGTGAAACAAAATTTTGATTAAAAATTTAACACGTTTCAGTCTTTTTCCTGAAATGATGTAGTCATCCCCACAGGACAGTCTTCAAAGGTATGCTACTATCTTGGTACGCAAGTCACAGAGGCATAAGCTTCCGTTATTTTTTTTGTTCATTTTTTCTTATAAACTATATATGTCATAGTGTAACATTTTCACCAATACTAAACAAGAGTTAAGGTTTTAATCATTGGAGGTTTGTTTAATGTTGGAATAAGTATCTGGACTGCAGGCATTTGTACAGACTGGACCTGGGTGGTTTTCATAGAAAAATAAATTAAATGCATTTGAGAGATCCAATGCTATTTGGATCTATTTTCACACTACAGGTAGTCCTTGACTTAACAACTATTCATTTAGCGTCCACTTGAAGTTACAGTGGCACTGAAAAAAGTGACTTATGACAATTTTTCACATTTACGATCGTTGCAGCATGCCCATGGTTACATGATCAAAATTTGTGAGTTTGGCAACTGGCATGTTTTTATGACATGAACACAGAATATAAAATGACAAACTTTTGTCAAATTAAACTTACTTTTAGATAGGTTGGTTGTAAGCTATCTTGAACAGCAGATTTAACAAAGTACTGTTTGTTCAGTAAATAATACTTGTCTCCTTGGCTAATGAGGAGTTACGGGAAAGAAGATAACATAGAAAAAGTTAGAAGAAGAAAAATAAGATTAAATAAGTCTTAGTACAAGAACTAATAAATATTGAATATATCCGCTTAGAAGCAGTATTTTTAAAGCATACCAAAAATTGGCATGACAGTTTTTCACACTTACAATCGTTGCATCATCCCCATGGTTACATGATCAAAATTTGTATCAAAAATTGGCATGAAGTTATTGAATTAAATAGAAAGTATCATATGGAATAAATATGATTTACTCAAAACATTCCTGTTTCAGCAGGCCGGCCTGGCCTAACTTTCCCTTTATATTGCTTTTGATTTTATTTTAAACTGGGATGTCTTGAATTATCTAGGACCAGAGTGTTTAGTATATTTTAATTGGTTTTTTTTAACGTTTGTATTACATGTATTTTTATCATTCGCTGTTCACCGCCCTGAGTCCCTCAGGAATAGGGCGGTATATAAATTAAATTAAATAAAATAAAATAAAATAAATAAATAAATAAATAAATAAATAAATAAATAAATAAATAAATAAATAAATAATTTTTTAAAAAAAGCATTTTGCCTTTTCAGTTTGAATACTTAGGTGGGTAAAGAAATATTACTACAAAACAAAACAATTATCAGAATAACTCAGTAATAATGGTTTAGATTTTATTGCTGATTATAAGTTTCCAAAATTGTTATTTGCCCAAGGCACCTTTACTGAATGCTGTGTACTTCTTACTTCTTTGATCTTATCCAGCAATGTGGGACTCAATAGTTAATTTTTGTCTTGAAACTATAACAGTAACTTCTAACCTGTATTTATAGTGTAATCATTAAGGCAGAGTCTCTTTGAAACATTTTTTCCCCGTTTCTTGTCAGCTACCAATGAACTCGTCTTCTGTCTCTTGACTGTTTATGTCAACTTTCCATTATTTTCCCAGCCTCCCCCAGTGTCTCACATCTAGTATGACTCTGCATATGTTGCTATAATGTTACGTTTTTATAATTCTACTGGCCTACCTTGTCTGGGCTTGGCAGCTAAACAGGATGTGGCCTGGTTGCTACTTAGATGAGAAATCCATCAGGAAATGCTAGTGCTGTAGGCTAGGCAGGGAAGTTGGAAGAAAACAGCATTGCAGAACAAGGCAGTGACAAACCACTTCTGTATTATTGCCAGGAAAACAACATGGACATGTCTATGCAATCATCAGGAACCAAATTTGACTCAAATAACTTTACCTTTTATGAATCAAAAAGATGCACAATTTAACAACCTGGAAGAAACCAATAGCAAATCAATTTTGTCTTTTTGCTCAGAAAACATATGGAATACCTATGAAGTTACCAAGACTTGAGCTGAACTCAAAGGAAACTTGATTTAACGGCAGCAGGTAATTTAGCTCTTACTACTGTACTCTCCTATTTCTGAATTTAAAAGGTTGGGAACTTAATTTGATAGGAGGCAATAAATAATATATGAACAATCTTCTCCTATTTATGACTGGAAGTATTTTCACTAAGAAATTAGTGACTTTAATTTGAAAACAGTTCCAGTCATACCTCTTATCATAGTGAAAATAATTTAACTTTCAAATTTATCATGTGTTCCATTATTTTAACCACCGATGCTCACTTATACAGGCCTGTCAGATTTCATCTTTGAAAGGCAAATATTTAAGTATTTCTACTTAATTTTCCCCCATTTCAGAAAGGACATGAAAGTTACATCATAAAAGATGTGGAGTTTAAGGTTTACAAAGTGTATCTCAGATGGATAATTAATTGCTTAATGTAAGAACTAGCAAGGCAATTATTCTAATTATAATGTAAGCTTTTCTTCGTTTAAACATCTTGTTAAATATTCAGTTCTCAATTAGTGTTTGTGTTTGGCTAATCGCAACATTCTAATTTTCACAAATGCACATCTGTAGATATATGAGTTTTAAGCCATTTTCTTTGAAATAACTATAATTTTTCAAGAGAATGCTATTTCATGTTTATAAAATCTGATGATTATATTTCACAACTGTGAAATGCTACTCTATAATGGTAGAAAGCTCACTCCATTCTACAATCTTAGCAAACCTTGGTAGTGAAGATTATTATTAACATCTCCATTGTTTTATTTTGATTTTAGTGCTGAGAGTTATTTGGACAAAGTGGAAATAAAGTTCATTATAATGGATGATAGGGAATCTCCTACAAATGATCTTCATTTAAATTTAGAAGATGTACTTCATACTGACATACATGAAGAAAGGATCAAAACTTGCTTGGCTTCTTCTCCAGATGAAAATGAAAATCAGTGTAACAGTAGGAAGCATAATACTGAGAAAAACTCTCATAATGCAATGGGAAGAGTTGAGCAGGACAGCATTAATAATAACAAGGACAGTGGAGACCCTACATCCTGCTTCCAAGAAAATGAAAGCAATAGGCCATGTAAAAGTTTGAAATCAGATATGCCACAGAAGCTTGGTCCTGAAAAAAAGAATCCAAGAAAAACAAAAAGTCCTAGCAGGAAAGGCAAGTGGTTTCCTAGATACACACTTATTGATGGTATAACTCTGCTCAATTTCCTTGAACTATTTTGTATTTGTACATTTTACTTACACTTGGCAAAAATGCTTCAAAATTTCTTTTAGAAATTTCTGTCTAAGCCCGTGATGGCAAACCTATGGCACGCATGAGCCCACTCTGTGGGTACATGTGCCATCACCAGTTGCTCTTCTGGTTTCCAGCACCGGCCAGCTAGTTTCCGCGAGTGCTGGAGGTCTGAAAATGGCCTGAAAATGGTCCAGAAAATGTCCAAAAAACAGGTCGTTTTTTGGGCCGTTTTCAGCAGGGTGGATTTGATTTAAATCGAGTTGATTTAAATCACGATTTAAATCACTAGTAAAAAGGCTTGATTTAAATCAACTCGATTTAAATCATAATTTTTAAAGAGCAACTGTCATCTCTGCTACGCCTTTGACCCACTGTTGACTCACCGATAGTCCCAGTGTTGCAGAATATATAGCCTCATACTACATAACTAAGCTTCATTTCATGCTGAATAAACTAAATTATTTATGTATCTTAAATAGAAAACTATCTTACGATAGATTTTTACCCCAAAAGCTTTTTATTAAAATAAATTCAATAAAAATCAAAAAAATCCGATTTAAATCAAAAAAATCTGATTTTTTTTTTATTTTTTTTAAAAAATCATTGATTTTTATCCACCCTGGTTTTCAGCAGTTTTGGCCTTTTTGGGCCAAAAACTGCCTGAAAAAGGCCTGAAAACCATCCTGAAACCAGCCAAAAAACAGGCATGTGCATGCTGGCCAGCTGGTCTTTGGGGTTTCTGGCACTCTGGCGCGCACATGCATGCACATGTGTTCCGGTTTGTGCACTCAATGCCGAAAACCTTCGCCATCATCGTCTAAGCTCATATAGAGGATTGACTAAAGCAACAACAACTTCAAAAACCAGATTTACAGCTCATCCTCCTGCCTCCCAAGCTCATTCCCACATATCATTACAAGCTACCACCCAAATTCAATACTCATTATGCATTCTCCTCTTCTTCCAATCAGATCCCACTCTCACTAAAATCTAATTACTGCCAAGGCAAAGGCATGCAGAACCCTCTCATCTCTCACGAGGAAGAGAACTACTTCACTATCACTCCACATACCCAATTCATCTTTATCAATAGAACCACCATGTTTATAATCTTAACACTTCTCAATCACTAGTCCTAAACTCAGTGGAATAAAAGGGCAAGTCCTCTTGTGGCTAAAGAGTGGGTTAAAGAATAGAACAGAAAGATAAGGAATAAAATTTCTCACAAAAGAGATATGTAGTGAGTTAGGTCTGCCAGGGTTCTTCTACCTTAGGGTTGGTGCTTTTTAACACATTTATAAATTATCTGGAACTGGATATGACTAGTGAAATAATCAGGTTTGCTGATGCCACTAAATTGTTCAGAATGGTAAAACAATAAAAGACTGTGAAGAGCTCCAAAGGGATTTCTGCAAATTGGGGGAGCAGGCATCAAAATAGCAAATGTCATTCAGCAAGAGCAAGTGTAAAGTGATGCTCATTTGTGTTAAGAATCCTAACTATTCCTAGAAACTAATGAGACCTGAGCTAACAGTGACAGATGAGGAAAGAGATCTCGAAGCAATGGTAAACAATCTAATGAAGGAGTTGACACAGTGTGTATCCACTGGGGGGGGGAAAGGGTCAGCAGTGTGTTAGGGATAATAAGAAATTGAAAATAGAGGTGCTTGTATCACAATACTAGGTCTGCTTGATCCCCACCTAGTGCTTAGCTCTCACCTGTGGCTCCAAGTAGCTGCATATATGCAGTGGCCACACCCTAGTAAACTGTCTCAGCAGATGAGCCAAACCAGGTGAAAGTAGCTAACAGGACTTCAACTCTTGGTGAGATAGAGCAAGTGAAGTTTGGCCCTAGCAGATTGATTGGAGGAGATTGATCAAGAGTCAAGGAGGCAAGTCCAGCAAGCATTGTGGAGCACAAGAGGCTTAGATGTCTTGGTCACCCACTGCAGCAGGCCAGGTGTCCAGCTGTAATGTTTCACTATGCCACTGGATTAAGATCTCTTCTCCAAAAGATTGGGAGTGCCCCTGTGCAACAGTTGTTCCACTTAGAACTCCATCACACATAGGTTTCTGTTGTGCAATTTATCTTCATCTGCAAATCATATCCGCCCAAACCTAATTCATTAGCACTTCCAGACTGGGGCTGCAGAGCCACCTTTGGGTCCGAGTGTAGTAATTCTTTAGCATTCAAGTAGAGCTGATATGCACAACAACATGTTTTCTTTTAATCTGAAGGACAATCATAATTACTTACATAATTGGGCTTTTTTGCCCCACACTCACCACTACAGTTGTTATCAACCATCTTCTGTGAGGCATAGAATCTGCAGGAAAAACTCAGATTTACTGCATGAACCGCATTGCAAAAAGAGACACGCCAAACACTCAGGAGGCAATGAGAAAGAAAGTTTTCATTTTCCGCTGTGATTTTTTTCTGTCATATCTACATTATTCCTGGGAAACTTTGACCATCTAGAATAAATTCAGGGGTTGAAAGGAGACAAAAGTTTCTGTCAGCACATCTATGTTTATACCATGTTTCCCTGAAAATAAGACCCTGTCTTACATTTTTTGAAACCCAAAATAAGCACTTGGCCTTATTTTCAGGGAGGTCTTATTATTTTGGGGCGCGTAGAGCAACACGGGGATCCTTTTGTCATTTTACCCGATTTCCAGCTCTGTCTCCCTAAACCTAACCAGAGGAAATGGCGGGGACCGGCTGCACATGCAGTTAAATATTTTCGGGGAGGGCTTATTTTCAGGGGAGGGCTTATTTTCGGGGAAACACAGTAAGAAATTTGAAATACTGTATATTTTTCTGACATTACATTTTCTTAAAAGAAAAAGCAATTATTTCTCTTAATATTTCCACAGTCAAACAAGACAAAGCTGACATTACAGCAGTATCTTATGTGGAAGGGGCAGATGGAAACAAGACAAATTCAAACCATCCTCTGAAAGAACCAGCTCAAACTTTACAATTCCTCTTCTCTCTTCTTCAAGGAGAATCTAAGCAAATGGATTCAAACGTGCTTCCCCTGTTCCTGCACCAGGTAGTAAGAAGATGTTGCTTACCTGTTTTTTCATATTGTTGATTTTGACAGTGTTTATCACATTGATTTCAAAATTTATAAATAAAATCTGTGCATGTAATTTTAAATATTGTCTTATTAGAATCTAAATGTATTGCTCAGAGCATTATGTTTATACTGAAGTTTTCAGTTTCATTCCCCATCACTTCTGTTAACAGAATCAAGTGGCAGATATCAGCTCTACCTGAATGCTAAAGAATTATTACACTTCCTAGCAGCTCCTATGTGCTTTCATTTGTGCTCTCTAGGCTCCCTGTCCTAATTGCTGCTTTAAAAAAAAGTTTTGTAATTAAATTAATAATAATAGCTGACATGCTGCAAAGAACCAAACTCTTGTATAATATTGATCTATAGTTAAGCTGCACAAAGATCCCATAGAGATAACAAAACATCCTAAGAGTTTAGTTCAAAGTGTGATAAATTGATCAGTACGGTGGCTTTTGTATGAGTGAGCTCCTTATACAATCTCACTGGTCCAAATATGTCTGTAGTTCAAAATAAAAAAGCAAAGTGTGCTGCATTAAAGGAAACAGCACTTGGTTAGGTGGGTGGTGATACATAAGGCAGCACTCTTCTGAATGTCCTTATTGACTATATCTGGCATCTGTATTGTTTTTTTAGTGTGCCAGGTATCTTAATAGTTTCGTTTCGTTTTTTTAAGCCTGTATAATTTTTTTAGTACATCATGAATTTTATGTTCCCTATAGGCAGGTATAAAATATAATAAAAATATATTAAAAGTTTTTTCCCCTTTTCTTTCTTTACAGATTGCTGAAACTTATTTTCAGGATGGAGAATGTATCTTTTTTTTAAAAAATGCAACATTGACTGTGGACTGATATCAAAATACAAACATAGATGTGGACTTTCAAGTTCAGTTCCGTAAAACCAAAATACTTCTTACACTTATTCTTATTTTGATTTATTAATGTTATTCGGGTCTTCTCCCACGTAAAATTTTACGTGGGAGAAGACCCAATAACCAAAGACCTACATATATATATAATAAAAGGATCAAATCTTTGAACATGAAACACTTTCTAAACATACATACTAATTTTCTGAAATATATATAGACGTGGTATTGAAGAAAGCACAGTGTAAAAATTCATTGTATGTTTAGAAAGTGTTTCATGTTCAAAGATTTGATCCTTTTATTGTGGTAGCAAGATTTTTTTTGCTGCACTTCTTATCATCCTTTCTAGACACATTACTGCAGAATACAATACTTTCTGTTAAATTTAAATTCACAGGCCGTATAATTAATCATTCCATATCCTGTTCTATATCTCAACACATATATGGGTTTTATATATATTCAAAGCCTTCATCCTGGAGATTTTTGTCAGGAAGCTTGCTCCATTGCACATGCTCAAAAGTTACACATGCTCACCATCCCCTCACTTTTTTGACTGTTATAGCAGAATGTTTTAAGAGTCTTCTCTGCACTTCTTGGAAGAGTAAAATTAAGGACTTTATTCATTCCTGTTGACTCTTTCAATTGAAAGTGGAACCAACTGTGATTCTTCATACCTAAAGGCTGTGACCTGAAATGACTTAATCAAAATTATGCTCATTTACAAAATGTTCCTTCTGCATTCAGGTACCTGATAGAAGAGCATTATGAATTATTGCAAGTTACAGTTACAGGAGCTAAATGATCCTGTGACTGTTCCAGACCATTGCTATATATGAAATAACAAAATCAGCAACCACCATGGCATTCTCATTCTGCAGAATTTGCCATAATAATAAGAGCCATGGTGGCGCAGTGCTTAGAATGCAGTACTGCAGGCTACTTCTGCTGACTGCCAGCTGCTGGCAGTTCAGCAGTTTGAATCTCACTGGCTCAAGGTTGACTCAGCCTTCCATCCTTCCGAGGTCGGTAAAATGAGGACCCAGATTGTTGGGGGCAATATGTTGATTCTGTAAAACTGCTTAGAAAGGGATATAGAGCACTGTGAAGTGGTATATAAGTCTAAGTGCTATTGCTATTGCTATAATCAATTTTATTATGACTAAGATTTTATTGTGCTTTTCAGGTGCCTAAACAGCCAGTACTATCACGATCATATGCATAGCCAAAGAAGAAGCAATTGTCAGTATTGCTGATCTAGGACTTGCAAACTGAGTGTTGCCTATCAGTTTCAAAGCCTAATCAGCAATATTGGAAAACTTGTCTGCGCCCACATCAAATTTTCCTCCTATCACAAAAGTAGTTTGAAAATGTATCTATGAGTGGCAGGCCGTGTCTGTATTTTCCTTTATTTTCCATTTAGATGAGAAAGCAATGACGTTCATTCGGCTTGAACAGTTGTATCACAAACAATTACTTGCAAATCTCTCTTCCCTTCAGCAGCAATGGGGTAAGTATGTCATATGGTGGAAACTTGTATGTCTGGTAAAACTTGAGAAATGTCTTCATTTCCTATTATAATGCATTGATTACAGGGAGGTTATGAGCCCAGCCAGATAATTGCCTACATTGTGTTCTATGACTAGGACTTCACCTAAATCTTATTAATGAATGAGAAATTCTGATTAAACAAACAATACTCAAAAATATACTGTGTCATGACTTTTTGAGCACATTGAACGAACATTTACTGGGATGGGAAGAATCCCATATAATTTTCATAAAAGGAGGCATCATTTTTTATTGTTCTGCTTTGATCATTTAAAGACCTACTATAATATTTGTGGGTTTTTTATTTTTTTAGAATTTATATTTCTGAAATATTAAATAGTTCATATTTTAACATACATGTGTGTTGTTAATAGAAACAAAATGGAAAGCAACAGAGTGCAGTGAGGTTCCAAATCTAAAGAATTCTTCTAAAGAACTGAGTAATGAAGAGCTAGACAAACTTGCTGAATTTTGCACATCTCATCAAGAGTAAGTGATGAACATTATTTGTATGTAATAAAATTATACAGTAAGGTAAAGGTAAAGGTTCCTCCCACACATATGTGCTAGTCGTTCCCAACTTCAGGGGGCGGTGCTCATCTCCATTTCAAAGCCGAAGAGCCAGCGCTGTCCAAAGACGTCTCCGTGGTCATGTGGCCAGCATGACTAAATGCCAAAGGCGCCTGGAACGCTGTTACCTTCCCACCAAAGGTGGTCCCTATTTTTCTACTTGCATTTTTTACATGCTTTTGAACTGCTAGGTTATAACAGTAACAGAGTTGGAAGGGACCTTGGAGGTCATCTAGTCCAACCTCCTGCTGGCAGAAGCTGGGACAAGTAACAGGAGCTCACCCCATTACGTGGCACTAGGGATTCGAACCTCTGAACTGTCGCCCTTTCAATTGATTCAATTCAGTGTCTTAGCCACTGAGCCACCGCATCCCTTAAAATTATACAGTATTAGTCAACATTTTTTCACAGTTAGTTCTACATGTGATAGTTCTTCTACATCCAAAAGTTGGATATGTCCAGTGAACTCTTTTTTTTTAATTGAAAAAGTTTTTCAAATACAAATTTTTCTCCCTTTTCCCCCCCTCCTCCCTAACCCCCCCTCACCCTCCCCTCCCCCCATGGCTTCTTCAAAATAAAATCATTGATATCAACTTAAATAATACTTTACCATCCTTTTACACCACCCCCCACATGCTAACCATTTCTTTCTAACATTGTTATTATATCCCCCTTATACTATACATTTCAAAGCAACCTTCAGCTATAAAACTATATAATAAATCCTAATTTGACATTTATTCAATGTGAACTCTTAATTTGGATATTTTTCGCCCTTGGAGAAGTAGCACTTCCTTGTAATAATATATATTGGTATTAAAGTTATACAGTGTATAGAAAATAGCTTGCCATTTAGTGATACTGTCCAAATGTGTCCAGGACGATAATAAAATTAATTTTCAGATTAAATACCTTTTTTTATTTTGCTTGTCCTGTATTTGCAGACCATTGTTCTATTAAATAAATAAAGATAAAGTCATTAAGTCTTCAAATCAAGTCAAGTCACTTCCTGGTTGTTACGTTATTAGAACCATGTGGTTTTCCTGACAATTGTAGAGAAGTAGTTTGCTACTGCCTTTTTTGACTCTGACTTAGATTTTCTTTAACTTTCTGGTATACTCTACAGCAGCGATCACCAACTGGTGGTCTGCGGACCACTGGTGGTCCATGAGAAAATTTTGGTGGCCCGCAGAAAAATTATTTGCATTTTTTATATTGCACTAAATACTATTTATCTTTTTAAAAAATTCATATTAGTGAATTAAAATATTAGGATTTAAAATTATGAATTTAGTGGTCCCTGAGGTCCGAAAAGTTGGTGGCCCCTACTCTACAAAACTGATTATAAGATGGCAAAGCATGAGATAGGGCTGTTCAGAGCAGGCAGAACCTTTCTGAAGGTTTTTCTGAAGCATCGTGAAAATGATCTATACATTTTAGAGAACAGAGTGAGCAGCTTTCTTGTGAGGTTTTAGAAGGCCTCAGAAGTCTTTCAAAGCATTATGAGAACATCCTGTGCTATTTGGAGAACAGCATGAGCAGCCTTGGGCAGAAGGGTTGGTGTAGCCAGGAGCTGCCTCAAATAAGCCCAGACCAAGTGTACTTTGAATTTTGATATGTGTCTACAAGGATACTATAACAGTCATGACTTTGGGGATTGGGCATAAATGCCATTCATTCAGCACTGCTATAATTTCTAATGGATGTGAAACCAAAGGACTATCTGTATACTGATAGTAGTTTTCAAGGCTAGAAATGCTGGCATCCTTATAAAAGACACTGAACATTGGATTACAATTTTGTTAAAATATAAGCAGAGCTCTTGGATTATAAAATCATCAATTGGAAGGGATTTTGGACCTCATCTACTGTACTTCAATCTTTTTTCTTAGGATTAAAGTTAATTTTTTTGCAGCTTCTTCTTCTGTGGCTAGATCAAACTTTAGACTGCCAGAATGAAGCCACTTTCTTGGCTTCGTCATTGGCCAAAAATAAGTCATTATTGGTACATATTTTTGGTAGTAGCTGATATGCTAGTGGATGGGCCGAGCTCTGTATCTTTCCACATTCACACAGTATGTTGTTATCCACTAAGATCCTCCAATTGAGCATATTGGTTTTACATTTAGGTACTCCAGCCCTCAATCTCTTTTGCAAGGAAAGAAGGAATTAGATATATTGATCTTAATTTCTTAGAAGAAGGCAAGTTTAAAAACAAACAAACAAGGAGTCGATTTAAATTGTGATAAGATTCAGCAACACGATTCTATTTAACATTCTTCTGGTTTTTATTTTTCAAATCTGAGGATTCAATAGATAACTCAAGCCATGCAACATATTTGAAATTCCTTGCCATACTTGGGCCAATGTAGGAGCAGTGTTTTATAAACATTCTGGAATAGTGATGAGATAGTTAAATTACAGAGCCCTGGGTTCAGTTATCCTATCAGTATGTAACTCACTGTGTAATCCTTCACCATATCTCTCTGCTGATCCTGTTTCACTGACTTGCTTGAAAGAACTGCAGTTTGAGCTCCTTAAAGGAAGAGGAAACATACAAAGATAAGATATCAGAGTAAATGTGTAGGGTGGTGGCTAGAAGAAACTGTATTTTGTTGCACACAAGTCTGATAATACAGCACTGGATTGCATTTTATATCACCTTGCCCATGTTTCCATGAAGTCAACAGGTGTATGATATTTGTCATTTATTGGCCATATAATTTTAATTTGTTTATAAAAACGTGACTGATATAAAATACAAGAAGGAGCTATAGGAAATGTGGGTGCAAAATTTTCTCCTGATCAAGATGCCAAATAGTCTTGCTGTTTGCAAGTACATTTAGTGTCTAAATGTACACTTAGATACTGTACATTTAGTCCTTGTTTAACAACCACAATTGGGGTTGGGATTGGGATAGCAATCACTGAGTGAAACTGTCATTAAATGTGATACCACGTAATCACTTTATGTTCTGTCCCCAACCCCACGCACACACACCAACAGACGTTCAGGAGTTAAAGACCAAACCAGCCGGCAAAATCCTTTTCCTTATGATAACGGAACTTGGCAACAACCTAGTGGCTGCCTGCCAAGAGTTTATTATTTACAAAGAGGAGAGATAACTTCTCCCCACTTCTGATACATCAAAGGAAAGCAGCTCAATAATTACGGAATACTCCAGCAAAGTCTTAAAGCAAAAGTCCGGCAATGCAGAATGGCGTGGAAGCTTTCAGCTTTGTTCATCACAAGGTTTGACTGGCCATCACGCTCCCTTTTATATCCTGTGGGGTGTGGTCCAGTGACTCCGCCTAATCTCGGGCACGCCCTTTCTTCTGTTGCGCGCGCTTATCTCTGCGACGCTGGCGTGGGTCCAGCCAAGACTCATTACCCTCATCACTGTCCATCTGTGGCTGCGTGGATGTACTTGGCCCTGGCCCTATCTCTTGCCCTTCGGCGGACACCAAAGGCATTGCCAGAGAGGAGGGTCCTGGAGAGGGAGGCCTTGCCAACTCCTCCCCTTCACTCTCAGAGTCCTCTCCTGACGATGACACAGGCTCCGGTAACGGAGCCACAACACTTTACTCAACAACTGCAGTCTTGGCACTCCCAAATGCAGTTGTTAAATTATCTTGCAGGTTGTTAAGCAAATGGCATCCTAGGTAAGATCTGCCAGATTACTCGAGAAAAGGCCCCACCCACCTTGATGGGCTGCACCAGAACACTACTTATCATGACAGGCAGAAGAAGGCGTTGCTGGGAGCAACGTGTTGGGTTTCTGGCTGTATGTGTTTGATCCTCTTGCTTCCTGCTTGACTTTGTGCCTTGAACTTCTCTTGCCAAGTGAGCTTTTGTGTGTGTATTTCAGCTTCACCTAGTGGATTTAAGTTTGTTTGATGGACTTATTTGTTGGAGCAACTTTCCATTGTTTTATGGATTATTGGCAATTGCCTTGTGGACTAATCTTGGCCTGCTTGTGGCTGGATTTATCTGGGACAGTTCTGAGGCTGGGTAAAAGGAATTGCTGGGGAACAGAATACAGAATAACAGAGTTGGAAGGGACCTTGGAGGGCTTCTAATTCAACCCCCTGCCTAGGCAGGAACCCTTGCACCACTTCAGACAAATGATTATCCAACATCTTCTTAAAAACTTCCAGTGTTGGAGCATTCACAACTTCTGGAGGCAAGTTGTTCCACTGATTAATTGTTCTAAACATTAATAGAACATTAATAAACTCTCTAAACCATACTTCTGTGTGTGTGTGAGAGAGAGAGTGAGTAGGGCAGCACACCAGGGCCTCCCCCATCCTAAAGGACCTTTCAGTTCTTTACCTTACCACATTGTCTCTCCACTCTGGGGCTACAAATCCTGCTTGGATTTCAAAATGGACCTTTTTCGGTCAGCGCCTATAGACTAGAGAGCTTCCTCTCGTTTCTTGGGGCTGGTTGCAAACAACCCATTCTGCAACTATTCTGTGCCAAAATCCTGCTTGAATTTTGGGACTGTTTTCAGCCACTTCCCAGAAATGAGAGGGAGTCCTTTTGGCAGCTAGCAGTGGTTTGGCCATTGATTTTCTGAGAAAAGGAAGTTTTCAAATGGCAGTCACATGATCGCAGGGAGCTTGGCAACCAGCCGTAAGTGTAAATGGGTTGCCAAATGTCCAAATCACAGTCACATGGTCATGGGGGCATTGCCACAGCCATAATTTGGGTCAAAAGTCCCTTCGTTCAGCATCCTTGGTAATTTCGAATGGCCACTGAATGAACTGTCATTAAGCCAGTAGTATATTCTCTCTGTGCAGTTTCCCAACAGTAAATCAGAATTCAGAGGTTTTGGCTAATTTTTCTTGGTTGATTTCAGTTTAGGGCAATTTTTGGAAAGCTGGAATTTTTAAATAAACACAGGCAGTAAGGGCACTTCAAGATCTTATATTCATTTCACAATTTTCATTGCCTTCTGGGCCGTCAAGTGACAATTTATACAGTAATGTCATTAATATTGGTATGCCCTGGCTCTGTGCTTTAAAACTGGTGGTATAGATAGTATTTCAGTCTTGTAAAGCCCTGTGCTAATATTAGAACATGGATAAAACAGATCTGATTCGTTCTCTAGTTTTGATGACGTTTGTTATGAAGAATATTTTGGTGAGACCTGCTGTTTATTTTTAATTTTCTTATGTTTTTGGGTTACAGGCCACTTGTCTCCAGAAGCAAGGTAAGCTATGATTTTTTTTTTTCTTGGCATAGTTTTGCAATTAAATGATTGGGTCGTCTTTAAAAGAATTTACTTCCCATAACATGTGCAACATAAACATAAAAACAAAGATTTTATAATGTAAATGTTATTTTGCTTTTCAGCTCATAAATAAAGAAATACCCTTCAGATGTGAACGGTTCATACGTTTAATGGCATCTGAAGATTTAAAAGAACAAATTACTTCTATATGGGATTCAGGTATTTGTCCTATAAATTACTCTAGCTTAAATTAAATAAAAACGTAATTATTTGAAAATTATTCATTTGGAAGAATAATCAACCTTTTAAAATAAAAAAAAATGTAATTATATCTTGACGTCTTTTTTTTGTAGCTGAAAAGGCTATATGGGCAATGGCTTTAAAGAGCCCTCTTTATTTTCCAATATTAAATATTACAGGAGAAAGATACACAGTTATTAATGAAACTGGGCAGGAAATTGAAAAAGATGAAAGTTATTATTGAGTGATAGCATGAAAAAGTGTCTTCTGAATATATTTTTGTGAAGTTTATGTGTCTCTTCATGGTAACAGTCTCCTATAAATGGCATTAGTAATTAAGTTGTATAAATTATAGGAGGCGGTCTTGGCAGATGTAACCAGAGATAGGTTACACATTGTCTCTGAACTAATTTTATGCTGCTACAACCACAGTTGCAACAATAACAAAAATAAAACAGTGGAACATTTCCAACTATTTTGAGGTGGGAAACACATGAAAACCCCTGAAATAGATTTAACATAATTTTAAAAAATAATAAATGCTCCCACCAAAACAGGAAAACAAAATAGAAAACTCAGGCCACGAGTATGACATAGGTTCACCTACATCAGGGGTCCTCAAACTTGGCAGCTTTAAGACTTGTGGACTTCAACTCCCAGAATTCTGGGAGTTGAAGTCCACAAGTCTTAAAGCTGCCAAGTTTGAAGACCTCTGGCCTACATTATCAGTCCAGCCATTATACCTCTTGTTTTTCTTCAAATGTACAATTATTGTATTGTTGGTTCGATTTTATATACCAATTGTACAATACAATTCCTGGCATTAAAAAGTTGTCCTATCCAAATATAGATAGTGCATCCATTGCAATAATAACTTTGTCATTGGAAATCGGTAAGTGGAGCCGAGTAGAGAATGCAGTTAGACTTTTTAGATTAATGCATGACTGTAGCATGGTCATGTCAGTCACAAAAGTGGTGAGTAGAGTTTCAGATCTCTCCTTACATAATCTGATTTTTAAACCAATTGTATTTGTTAGTTGAAAATTAAAAGATCTTTTTGTTTTCTTCATCACATTATAGTCATACCTTCTAAAAAATGATCTAATATTTATAGATGCTTTTTTATGTAGTTTGCAGCACAGTTTTTATGTAGTTTACAGCACAGTTTTTCCAAATCTAATGTCTACTTTGAGCAGAGTATTTAACCTCTGAGCTTTTATGGTTATGCTTTACTATTGGACTGTTGTTTCTTTAATAGCTATCAGTGTATTTTTTCACTAATAATAAACTTGAGTTTTAAAATGAGTATGTGAGCTGATGGAAATTTTATATTTTAATTCTAAACACATCCTTCAGTACACAGCACCATATTTGTCCTAAAATATATAGTATATAAATACTTGGTTAGATTATGGAGAAATTGTATCTCCTACAATAGCATTGTATAGCTTTTTACATAGTTCCCTCAAAATTTAGTAGTGGAATGTTATTAGGTTTCTCATGTTTATTATTCTTAATGCCTTTAAAACATTGTCTTGAAATGTATATAAAGATTATCATTTTTTACTGAAACACAAAGAACAGCTGTAAAATTCAGCCTATTTTTAGAGAGGAAATTTGGATAGGAGACTTCAAATTAAAATTAAAATATCATATTCAAATCTATCACATATCATCCATAGCATACTTACACACCTCAGTTAGGATGCTACAAAAATAGTTCCTTTTTGTGTTTTTCTGTCAATAACTTCAAGGAGAAGATCTCTCAGAACAGGAATGGGGAATCTCTGCTCCTTGGACTAAGTTATCTATGTCATTGTGAAAATCCTTCCCATTGTTGTTTTCTCCTCTCTTTGATAGCCTCCTAATTTAGTCATTTAAGGACAAAAACAAGTCAAGCCTGGATTTACCTCTATTACAGAAGTTGCCATTGAGTTCTTGCTGATTTTTCTGCCATGACCCCTTTATTCACGTTGGAAAAATATTCTGCAAACATTAAGAAATTTATAGCATATTTTCAGTTCTTTGTTTTTAAGTGCATGTTAAGAAAATACACTTATAACTACTACGGTGAACTTATTTTTACATTATACACTACAAGCTCATATCCATGTGTATTTCTAGACACAAACATTCCTTGATTTAATTCATATATGGGCAAGGATTTGTAGTTAATCAGAAGTTGCATCTGCTCTAGTATCCTAAATTGATACACTGGATTAATTTGCCTAGCTTTGCCGAGTTTAATATTCTTTTGCTATTAAAATAATCATACAAGATTATACCACTATATACAGTATTCTCTCCTTCAGCTAGTTGGGAGATATCCTGTGATAACTGGCATATGATTTTTGACTTCTTTTGTGCTGCCTCTGTTTTTACTGCACAGGCATCCTAATGAGTTTTCTACATATTTCGTTTATAAGCAACGTAAACAGTGATTCAAACATTGGATTCAAACTCTACATACCAACATTGCACTTCAGGCACAGAAGTTTGCATAAACATTAAGATAACACTTCATTCAAAGTTAGGCTCAGTTATTTTAATGGGATCTGGCTATTTTAAATCTTGGTATTAAAATTAATGGATCAGAGCCATTGTTGCCAAGGATAATTTGTTCAAGCATTACTGACAGTGTTGTCAGAGGTTTTATTGTTGCTTTTTTTCCTCCTCAGTGTTTTTGTGCTGAATCACCTCTAAAAGCTTCAACTCTTTTTCTGTTTCATTTAGATACTCAGAACCGGCCAAGTATTGAAGCAAAAAAAAAGAACCATCACAGAGAAAGAGATAGGGATGAAAGTTTCCAGTCTGAAAGCTGTTGTCTGATTAAGGAAAAAGAAAGACTTCAGCTATCTGCGAGGAAACATCATCTCAAGGAGGAGCTCTGCTGTACTGAACTCACACTGAATCAGCCATTTGTTTTATCCACAGAGACCCTGGACACGCCTTTCTCTCAGTGTTTATCTTTGAGGGATGCTGGTGAAAATGACAGCCTGCAGCGAAGGAAAGAACAGTTCTCTCAGGATGGAGCAAAAATAGAAGCAGCAGCTGAGAAGCCTGCAGCAACGTGTTTTAGTGAACCAATGGTAGATGCATTAGTTTGGACAGATGCGGATTATATACCTCCTGATCTTATAGCCACAGATGAAAACATTCCATCTGAAAGAAACTTACTGAGGACAAAAAGCTGTTCTAGCTCTGTGGTGATTGCCGGTAGCCAGTTGGAAAGCAACCTAAATCAGCCACAGCAGCAACAGCCTGATTATGAAAATAACAGAAAATCTGTGCAAAACCAACCATCAGACATTAGTGGGAATGTACAGTTTGACACTGAGATGTCCAAACAGCCAAGAGTTGTATATGAATGGATACAGGAAGAAACAACAGTACTGGAAGAAAAAGGTGAAAGTGAGGCACCAGAAGGCTTCTTTGAACAGTTTTTAAATGGTACCATAAAAGTTAGAGAGGGGGCTCTTAAATTTCTAGAAGCCCAAGAGAACTCTGAAATTCTTCCACATATTCCACTTGAACAAGCACTTTATTCTTCATCGGAAGATTATTCACCAGATGAAAGCTTTTCTTCACTTGACGAACTCGCAAAACGAATACAGATTGCAGAGGTAAATACTGAAAAAAAAAACTTTTTTTTCATGTTTTCATGATTCATGATGGCACTATATGTATTTATTTTCTTTAGCTTGTAAAACAGCTGAAGAGAAAGTTTATGATACTTGCATGACTTTCCCAGCGTTAAATATGCACTTTGGAAAAAATAGATTTTTCAATGGATAAAAATGAACTTCTGGATTTACCTGTTAAAATGAGCTGAGATGAGAAGTAGGGAACTATGCTGTGTAATTTTGAAGATGGAAATTGTATTAATTATTTCTATAACTGCTGTAAAGATCTGAAGTCACTTCTTAATTTTTTTCCCCGTTTTTCTCTCACTTTCTTTTGTTTTCAATACTTCTTTTTTATCTTTCTACTTTTTCAAGTTTATCTTTTAACTTTGTAAAATATTTCTTTAATATAAATTATATTTTAAAAAGGGAAAAATAGATTCCCACCTAGAAAACAGACATGTTAGCATACATTATTTTTCTATTTCTGATCACAAACATTCTGAGATATTCCAGATCCATGTTTCACTTCTATTGCCATTCTTTATTGTTCCTGTTAACCTCTAAAAATTATTTTGTTTTATTATAACTTCTTGGTGCAGCTGCTAGGCTTGATAAATTTCTTATATTGCTTTTCAAAGAATTAGATATTAAGACAGAACATGCTATTCTTTCATTGCTGACTGATTTTATTGCAGTCACTTCATGCTTTTGGAAATATTAACTGTATCTTCTTATGAAGTCAGCCATAGAAAATTACAGTTTAGGGTTGATGCATTGATCTGTAAAAATTAGAAAGAAAAACATCAGTTTATCTTCAAAAGGATTTTGATAGAAATTTAGCTGTTTTTCTACTACAACAACAATAATAAAGCTTTATTTCATTTGACTTATTCATTGGACTTTTCCCTAGGGTCACTGGTTTGTCTGTTTACTTATTGCAATTGTTCTTAACACCACTTAAATCAATTCCTATCTTCCTAAAATAAATGAATGTAAGCAGAATTTAGAATGAAGAACTTGTTGTTAAGTCTTTTTTTAAACTTTAACCCTGTTTTTCTTGTAAAGGTTAACTTGTAGCTATGAGAGTGTGTATTTCAAAGTGTTGAAAGGACTTGTTATTATTAACAGATGGATGGGTCCTAGCACTGTGTGAGAGAGGTTAATGAATATATATGAATGTATGTATATATATAATAAAGTACATAGATGTCCTCAAATCTTAGTTGGGGAAGAAGAATACCAGATAATATTTCCAACCACTTGGTAGAATGTGCATTGTAATTGCTAAAGTTTCAGTAAAACTAAGATGGCTTATTCTGAATTTTAAAACTAAGATTCTATTTTTTAAAAAAATCTAGCAAATGTTATTATTTCCTTTAAAAAAAATGAAGAAGGCCCTATCAGTCTTCTGAAAAGTTTTTTTAAATGGTATATAAATTGTATATAAAACTTTCACTATTCTTCTACTTCTTCAATGCTGTTTTTCACATAAATAATGCTTTTGAGAAACTTTAACTTGCTAAAACCATGTTTTAACAATTCTAACCACTTTACAATCTATTTACTTGTGTGTTTTTCTCACTTTCTCATCTTGTGTTTACTGTAAGTGTAAGAGTTGATGATACAATGCTCTTATGGGAAATCTTATGTAATTCTTAGCTCTGTGTTGCTGTTCTGTGAGCACTAAATATATCACAGAGAGACATTGGTCTTTAAAGAGGGCACAGTATGTATCTTGCATCATTCAACAGCAATCTCTGCAGGCCAAATATGGAATAATATGATCTGTCTCTAGAGGGAGCTTGCTCCTCCAGCTCTGTCAGCTGGAAAACGAACTTTAAAGAGATGTAAAATATGGGAAAGCAAAGGGGATGGGATGGAGTTTTTGAATTTTCATTAGAGTAGAACTATAGTGGTTTACTGTGCAAGATTAAATGGGTGTGAATATTGGATAATATAAAAATTTATGTTGATTTCCTAAAATTGAGGACTTAGTATTATGGGACACTTGCTAAGCTGTACTACAATAAACAAGTCCATTGCTGATGAACAGAGCCACTGCTGATCTAGATCTCTTCCTTATCTTCATTATTGTTGGCTGGTTCTTTCTCCAGACATACAGATGGTCCTCGATTTACAACAGTTCATTTAGTGACCGTTTGAAGTTACAACAGCACTGAAAAAATGACTTATTGTTGTGGCCTGTCAGCGGCCTGTGCAGATTTGTAGCTGATTCCGACAATGAGGAGGCTGGTGTGAGTCAGACAGTGAGGAGGCTGGAGAAGATGTGGTGCCAGAGGCAGGGATCCAGTCAGGGCCTTCAGAACATCCAGAAGCTCCTTTAAGTGATGAGGACAAAGAGGAGGAGCCTCTTCTCAATGCATGGGCGCGCAGAGCTGCCAAAAGGCAGGAGTGGCTCCTCAGGAGGAGGTCTCCTCGAGAGTAAGGCTTGGGGCTAATTGGCCACTCCCTTAGCCTATTTAAGGAGGAACGCCGCTTGCAGCAAGCTGCAGGGAACAACTTTAGTTCAATCTCCTTCGCATCTGGATTCTCTGCAAAATTGTTTCTGGGCTTTCTGCCAACTCTAGTAAGACTGTGATTACCTTATCTTAGAATTCTGATAGGCTGTTAAGACAGTATTAACAGCCTTTGGTTGATAAAGACTAAGTTATTTGAGTAAAATAAGCTTTGTATAGAGTTTGTGTGTGCTGCGTTCTTTGGGGTCCATAGCTGGGGCAGAACACTTATAACCATTTTTCACAGTTATGACCTTTGAAGCATCCCCATGAGCATGCGATCAAAATTCAGATACTTAGCAATTGATTCATACTTATGATCATTGCTGTGTCCCAAGGTCATATGATCCCCTTTTGCAACCTTCTGACTAGCAAAGTCAAGGGGGAAGCCAGATTCACTTAACAACCAGGTTACTAACTTATCAATTGCAGTGATTCACTTAACATTTGTGACAAGCAAGGTCGTAAAATGGGACAAAACTCACTTAACCAATGTGTTACTTAACAACAGAAATTTTGGGCTCAATTCTGGTTATAAGTTGAGGACTACCTGCATCTGTCCTGACAAAAAGGAGTAAATAGTTTCCATTTATTTTGCCCTTTCTTCTAAGCAACGCTGTGCATTCCCCACTAGAGGGAGACAGATCATGGAGAAATGTATGATCTCTGTTTCAAAAAGGAGAGTTGAATTTTAATATTACAATCAGAAATGGCAATAAAAATTCTACTGACATGTTGATAGGAATCTGATCTTTGATCTACGCCTTGGTGTCTGGGTTGTTTTACTTAATGTATCTTGAGTTGTGCATAAAGGACTGAAATACTTTCTATTACAATTATAATAAAATGTGGCACAATATTTCAATTGGCTATCTATGAACATGGATTCATGTCTATGTTTTGCATAAAAACACATCTTGGCATAAAGAGAAGCAGCAGAATGGATACCTCAATTCATAGCCATGCATTAAAAACGTATTTCAGAGAGATAGCCTAAGCCAATGTCTAGTTATAGCCAGCAATATACAAAGTATATTGTATTTGTATACAGTATACAAAGCTTTTGTATGCCCTTCCTCAATCCTCCTACCAAAATGTCTTTAATATTATAGTACATATGTTACTATACAGGGGTGGGTTCTAAAATTTTTTACTACTGGTTCTATGGGCGTGGCTTATTTTGTGGGTGTGGTTTGATGGTCATGTGACAATTCTTTAGGATTTAGCAGAGGTACTGGTCTACCAGGCTTTTAACTACTTGCAGAGCTGTACCGGTCTACCCATTTGTTTTTGGAGGCACCGGTCTACTCATTCGTTTTTGCAGGCACCGGCCTACCCATTTGTTTTTGGAGGCACCGGTTTACCCATTTGTATTTGGAGGAACCAGTCTACCACCACACTGCCTTTTAACACTGATCAGCTGTAGGGCGGTCCTTTGAAGCCCTGCGGCAAGAGTTTAAACAGTTTTTTTCCTTCTAGCCGATCAGCTGGGACTCGGGAGGCAGCGAATAGATATGGGGGTGAGGCCAAATAAAAGGTAAGAATAACGTGGGGGGCGGGAGGGCCCAGCTCCCAAACAAAGAGAACCGGTTCAGTGACGTCATATCGTCACCGCTACTGGCTCAGCCAAACCGGGAGGAACCCATCACTGTTACTATACCACCAAAAGTCAGCATTTTGGAGAAGTCGCTTCCATCTATTTGATGCATTATAAATCAGGATTTACAGCTGCCAGAATTCAGCAGTGTGTTTACAGTTGCATTAAACTTGCCCAGCATTTTCTGAGAGAGTTATTTTCTTGCTTCCTTTGTATTATTATGGTTTGTCACATAGTGTTCCAGATGTTCAGACTGGATTTGGCATCTTTATCCACCCATCAAGTCCTTCCCAAAGACCTGGGATAGGTAGATGTGGATGTTTGATGGTGTTAAAGACATTGTTTTCAGATGTAAGCTGTTCTAAGTAACGCTGCCTTTTGCGATTGTCTGGTGGTGATTTTGTCGCTCAGAGGGACTTACAGTAATGGAAGGATAAAGAATAAAAACAACACTGAAGTCAATACTTTTAAAGTCAGAATTAAAATCAGTATAATTAAAATCAGTTAATAGGTAAAAGCTTGGGTGTCTTTTAGTTGTTTCTTGTGATGCCCTATTTCTAAGAGGTCTTTGTACATCCTTTCTGCAATGGAGTACTCCACCTCCAGGGGACATTGTGTATTCTGAAAACTGAACACTCCAGGGAACCTGCAGAGGCATTAAAAATGGTGGAAAAGAAAGGGATTCGCAAAGTGCTACTTATAAGTGACTATGTCATAATCAATTTGAAAAAGAAGTTTCTATTTTTTAGTTCTGCTGAAGGCGATTACTATACCGGTAGTATATTTCAATACATTAATAATCTTTAAGAAGTTTAGAAAGGAAAGTAACTGTGGGTTGAATATATGTAATTGCTTTATATTTTATTCTGGAATTCTTTGTTTTTCAACTATGTGAATTAAAATTATAAGTTCAGCTGTTATTGATGTGACTTGCATATCAGTATAGCTGAATGAGAATTTTTTTTTTTTTTGATAGATTGGGCATGCCACACTCACCTTTAGGATTGTAACCACTCCATAACCTTTAATGAGTTTTTGACCTTGAGAAAATGTTCATACCTGACTATTTCAATTCTTACTATTATCTATGGCATTGCTGCATGTGCATTTCACATTTCATATCAAAATATGTGTATGATCATTGCCACTATTTAAGAGTGATGGGAGCTGAAATTTAATTTTCAGCTTAATGGACGCCATATAGCTGCTTGGTTGGAATGTATGTGCATTGCAAAGTCCTGAAAAACAATAGCAATAGCACTTAGACCTATATACCACTTCACAGTTCTCTATAGCCTTCTCTAAGCTGTTTACAGAGTTACAGAGATATTGCCCCTAGCAATCTGGATCCTCATTTTACTGACCTTGGAAGGATGGAAAGCTGAGTCAACCTTGAGCCAGTCATGATCAGACTGCTGGCAGTTGGCAGAATTAGCCTGCAATACTGCATCCTTTTTATATATAACAGTTCAGTGCAGATTGCAGTTCACTTATTATAGATTGTATTGCAATATAATTTAATTCAAAAAGCATTGATCAAAACTATCTTCTTTTTTATTTGACAATATAAAAGTACAATAACTGAAATATGGCCATATCCATAGATTGGCTGCCTTGAAAAATTAAATAATTCATAGAGTAGTAATGGCTCTACTAATATAGCTGAAATGATCCTTTGCAGATAGAAGCTACTAAGAACTCCACTTTAAGTACCTCTGCTTTTAGCAAATTACTTTATTATTGATTTTATATTTTAAGAGATTTTATGTTTTAAGATGCTTATTTGTGGAATTCAGACTACAGTTTGGAGTAAAATATAAACTTTATAGCTGCACTGCAGAAATGTATCTTATAATTCTGTGTTTGGTTTCATCATTATACCAGATTTATTCTCAATTGCACGTCCAACATCCAAATAAGGAAATACTTGAGCTCCTTTTATCCATGATAGCATCTAGCTTCTATCCGAATGGAACCAATGGAGAACATTATGTTACAAGATATTAATAGTGCCTTTGGTATTTGATATTTAACTGTTTTAAAGTTAAATATCTTATAAAACAATTATATTTGCAACTAATAATCTTCAATCATGATGAAGATTAAAACCAAGAGTTAAAATATCTCAAAGGTAATGTGTAAGACCCTGCAATATATAAGTACACCATGTATACGTAGCAAATGAAACAAAGTCTTAAAACTGTGTTTTTATAACAGTCTACTTTATCATTCTTGTTAGACTGTTCCTGCAGAGGGCCTTGTGTCTATATTGAAAAAAAGAGACGACAGTGAAGAAAATACATTGGCTCAAATTCAGCTGAGACAGTCAAAAAGAAGAGTGAGATTCCAAGAAATGGAAGAAACATTAGAACAAGGTACTTTCTCCTCATTACCTTTTTTTTTTTCTTTAATTTGATTTATATGCCGCCCTTCTCCGGAGACTCAGGGCGGCTTACAATGCGTTAAGCAATAGCCTTCATACTTTTATATATTTATACAAAGTCAGCTTATTGCCCCCACAAACTGGGTCCTCATTTAACCTACCTTAGAAAGGATGTAAGGCTGAATCAACCTTGAGCCTGGTAAGATTCGAACCTGCAGAAATTGCAGGCAGCTGTGTTAAAAACAGGGTGCATTAAACCACTGTACTACCAAGGCTTTAATTCCAGAATTGCATACTCTCATGAAATATGAAACTATAAATATTCAAGTTACCTATATGTGCCATATCTGCTTATATTTGAAGAGTCGTGAATGGAGAGGCAGGTTGCTCTCAACTATAGGTAATATACTTTCATTCAAACATTGTGTTGCACTGTTTTGTGGGAGATGAGTATCCCATGAGCCAACTCCCTTTTTGAGATGGTGGCTACATTTGAAATATTGAGCATATGTTATGCCCACTTTCACAAAATGTCTGCAATGTAAGGGGCCAGATAAAGCTTTGGCTTAGCTCAAGTGGAGACTCTTAGATTTTGACATCCAAAAGGATAGGTCTTTCAGTATCATGAGCTCATGAGTGCTCATTTTCTTATATCTTGATATTCTTATCTTATCATTTATGCACCATATAGAAGAGGATTTACACTATAGTGATTTGATGCCCTACCCTCATTGGTTGCTTCAGGTAAAGATAACATTCCTTATCAGCATCACCTTTGCATATGCTGGGACACATGTATGAGTTTGTGACCCAAGAATTACTAGACTGTTCCGGTATGTCACATGTGGTCCTTTGATCTAGCTGAATCATTTATTAGTAAGCTTTTCCACCTGTTGTAACCAGTATTTATAAATTATCTGCTGCAAAATCAGCATTCTAAAACATCTTAGAAAGTTACAGAATTTTTAGCCATATCCATGACTATTAGAAATCAGTGGATTTGTTATACAACCAACTCCAGGTTTTATCCTTTCCATATACTTAACAGTTGTTGAGTGCTTGTTCCAGCATTTTCCACAAATCTAATTTACCACTAGAATCGCATCCTCCACAGCTTTTTTTATTTTCTACCAAGTTTGATTTACACATCTCTTAATTGGCTTTTGTTATTCTCTTTAATTATTGCATAATATCATTGATATATACTGTGTTTGAGCCTTGTGCTTTGATATGGCCTATAGGCTAATCAATAAAAAGATATATACTATATTATCTTGGTTTATGAATAAGGCAGGCAGGCAGACAAGGGAGGAGAGGGGGAAGGGAAGGAAAGGAAAGGAAAGGAAAGGAAAGGAAAGGAAAGGAAAGGAAAGGAAAGGAAAGGAAAGGAATTCTATGCTTAAAACAATAACAGACCTACAGTATGCTTGACTACTCAGCAATATGTGTTTTCAATAAACTTAACTGGCAATAAATTATTGCCAGTTAAGATCATACTTACTTTGTAGGGGACAGATAGAAAATATCTATATTTATATAAAATAGAAGGCAAAATCAAAGTCAAACCTGAGACCCTATTAGTGTGGGTGATTATATTGATTTTGAGGTGCTGCCATTATTCTCAGCTCCTATTTTTGGCTGGGTGTGTTATTTATGTTTTTAATTATTAGTCATATTTTTATTTTGTTTTATTATCCACCCAGAATCATGTATATAAGATGGGTGGCCATATAAATTTATTAAATAAATGAATAACATAAAATGTTCTTATGCAGTATTTCTACTGCAGCTGGTGGGGATGTTATCTTATTTTGAAATATTACAGACTCCCTCATAAATTCAATCCCACAGCAGTGTATACCTTTACTATTAAAAAGGTCAATAAATTAAAAAGCCCATTAATAGAATCAAAAATATTTGTGTGAGTTAATATGTTTGGAAAAAGCTAGCATAAAAATACATTGGTTTTATTTTTCCATCCATGAATAAATGGCATAAAATTACATGGGCATTGTTCACTTAAAAATGGTATTTGGGATGTCACCAAGCAGTGCAATTGGAAAGTGTGACATTGTGAGCACACTAAATAGCGCCAGTAGTTCTTACACCTTTGGTTGCCATTGTTAAGCAATTCCATACCGTTATTAAAAGAGCCATGGTGGCGCAGTGGCTTGAATGCAGTATTACAGGCTAATTCTGCTGACTGCCAGGAATTTGATCCTCAGCTCAAGGTTGACTCAGCCTTCCATTCTTCTGAGGTCAGTAAAATGAGGACCCAGATTGTTGGGGGCAATATACAGACTCTGTAAACCACTTAGAGTTGTAAAGCATTGTGAAGCGGTATATAAATCTAAGTGCTATTGCTAAGTGCTATTAAGTGGATTAAGCTACTAGCAATCTTCTACTGACTTCTCCACTGACTTTGCTTGTCAGAAGTTGGTAGCCACGGTCACAAATGGCAATCACATGATTGCGGGATGCTGCAAAATTTTAATTGCAAGCAGGTCCTGAAGCAGCTAGATCAAGATTACATGACCCTATGGACTCTGCAAAGGCTGGAACTCTGAGACCCAGTCATAAGTACCACTCATTCACTACCAAATAGTCATGGAATGAAAGGTTGTTAAGCAAAGACTACTTATAGTAGCAAATTATGACTACAAATAATTATTTTATTGTGCACATTTTCTTCTGCAAAAGCAAAAGAAGGAAGCTTATTGCCGAAATCTTTCTTTGGGCCAATATTGATATTTGTCTTTAGCTTTGCTCTGTCTTGGTAGACGAAGTTGCTGGTTCTGGCCATTTATTTTACTATTTCAGTGTTGAGGAATGTATACAATACAGGTAAGTAAAGTATTTCAGTTATCTGTCATTCTATTCACTCTGTGTCATCCATCTTCTTTTTACAGAGGACGTTGGAGCTGGCTCCTGCATTTTGCTGATCTTACTGTGCGTAGCAACTGTCTTCCTTAGTATTGGAGGAACGGCATTATACTGTACACTTGGCAACACAGAATCTGCAGTCTGTTCTGACTTTGCTGCCAATGTGGATTTTTACCACAGCCAGATACAGAAGGGTATAGAAGAACTTAAACACTGGATACCTTTATATTAAAAGAAGAAATATGTACAGATAGTAATATTTTACTGTTGTGAGAAGAAAGAAAAATAGTTCAAGCTTCGAATAATTTGGCACTTTCAGAAGAAGTAACACGACAGAGGAAGCATCTGTGTTGTACATAGGCGTTAATGTCCAGTAATTGGAGTAATCACCTTTCATGAGGCAGCATAAGAGACTGTCATAATGTTCTCCTTTTGAAATGCTCAGAACAATCTTCTGCTTACCAACTTAGAAAAAAAAAAGACATTTATCTTTCCTAAAATTTCCAATCCTCATACAGTCATATGCAATCTCTGTAAATTTTAATACAAAACAACTGGTTTTCCTTACATCATAATGCAAAGATATTGTCTCCAGTTATCATGCAATAAGTTCATATTTAATGGAAACAAACCTTATTTGGGAATCATGTATTTTATGTTTTTAATTATTTCAGTGAATTGTAATAATTTGGATGTGGTAGTGGTACAAACAGAAGCCTTCTCCAAATGGAGCCTTCTCCATTTAGATGTTATTTAATTGTGCAGCATTTTAAAATGTAGCAGTTGTAATAAGTGATGCATTCATTATTTTCCTATACAGTCTTGGCAAAACACGCAGAGAGAGTTTTAGTAATAGATTCCTTAAAATGGATTTATAAAACAGGTTCTCTATATAAAACCAAATATAAAATATGGCTCATTTCAATGCCAGTAATAGCCATTCAGGGTTAGTTGGAATATGGTAGCATCCAGATTGAATTAATAAATAAATAAATTATGATTCACATTTTTTTAAAAAAAGGGTTCACTTTGCACATTTATTTTTTTAGATCCATTTTTATGGTATTGTGAGTGTTCATCTAACTGTAAAGTGGAACACAACAAATATATTTACAAGCACTGACATAAAACGTCTGAACTTGACAGAGACATTTTTTTCTCTTTGACTGTGATTCTAGTAACAAAAGTGGGTTTCTTCTCTATTACAAACCAAAATGGGCCTTGGACAATTTTGGACAATGTTAAATCCTCTTTTGGTTTTATTAAAACTACTGGTTTCTATTTCTCCAAATTATAAAAAAAAAAGCAAACTGAAAAACTACCTTAGAATGAAGGTATCCAACATGTATTGTACTTTCTTTATTTAAATATTGTGAGCTTCTCTGAATCACTGAAAGTCAGGTAGCAGATGAAAGTTTAATTTATTTTGCTTAGTTGCACAATCAGCCAGATATTTAGACTGGATTTGGCTTTTTTTTTTTATCTTTACTCCTCCTAAGAACCTGGGAGAGGCAGATATTGATTAATATTATTATTAAGGTATCATCACATGATATATTATAAACTGTCCGAAGTAAAGCTGCCTTTTGCAACTGACCGGTGTGATTTTTGTCAATGCTGATGTTGTTGAGTGGTGCTTCAGAAACTTTGGGATGGCACTCAAAGCTCCTGCCTAGCGTTGCTTTCTTTCATCATTGTTATTCTGCTTCTATTTGCAGGCTTTCCTGATTTGTGATTTTTTTTCTGGTTCTTTCTCTTCTATGCTGCTGTCTCCAGGTGTCTACTGCAGTGTCTACTTTTGTCTTTCCTATCGACAGTTGTTAAGTCTGGGGTGTTATCAAGCAGATGTTTGATTGCCTGAATCCCAAGTTCTTGCTTACAGGCAAGTGGTATTTCTTGCAGATACTCAATGCACCATTTTTACTTTGTCATATTGTTGTTTGCAATCAGTTTGCAATATTCTTGCAATAGGAGGACCACTGTTTCTTCAGCTGCTTTGCAGGAAAGGCATTTGCAGTCTGTTGCTGTCTGACTTTATTTGCATTTGTTCTTAAGGTGTGGTCTTATGCAGCCATAATTAGTTCCTCTATTTCTTTCTTCAACTTTCCTGCTCTTAGCCACTGCTAAGTCTTGTTATCTGATCTGCCTCCTAGGCAGCTAGGCTACAGGTAGTCCTCAACGTACAACCACAACTGAGCCCAACATTTATGTTGCTAAGTGAGAAATTTGTTAAGTGAGTTTTGCCCCATTTTATGACTTTTCTTGCCACATTTGTTAAATGAATCACTGCAGTTGTTAAATTAGTAACCCGGTTGTTAAGTGAATCTGGTTTTCCTATTGATTTTGTTTGTCAGAAGGTGGCAAAAGGGGATCACATGACCCAGGGACACTGCAACTGTCATAAATATGAATCAGTTGTCAAGCATCTGAATGTAAATCATTTGACTAAGGGGATGCTGGAATTGTCATAAGTCTGAAAAATGGTCATAAGTCACTTTATTCAGTGCTGTTGTAACATTGAACGGTCACCAAGTGAACTGACTACCTGTACTGGCCATATAGTACTTTGTCTTGCCATGTCTCATTCTTTTCTAGTCTATTCTAGTCTATTCTTTGGCCTTTCTTACGGACAGTTTGGTAGCTTTGATATTCAGTAAGCCTTCATAGTGTACTAGCATCTTCTTCACTGGCCTTCGGATATTCTTCCAAAGCCTTTTTTCCTTCTTCAATTATCTGGTGTATCCATGCCACCTATGCTCCTTGGTAAATAGATTCTGTCAATGTCACTGCATTGGGGAAGGGCATGATTCATTGTCATTTTTCTGGTCTTTCTATCCAGGGTTTCTACCTCATTTTAAATCCAGTCCATTCATCCATTGTAATCTAATCCACTGTATTTCTAATGATTAGAGTTATCCAGGTGTTAATCACCTTGATGGTATTTCTGCCATTTTGTTTGGATTTTAAAATTTTCTTCACTCTTCTGATGTCTTTACTACTAACCTTCTTTTTGATTTCAGTGTGCTTGCTGTTGTTAGCCTGAAAGATACCCAGATTATTATTATTTATAATAATCTTCATCCAGATTCCTAATATTATTTCCATAGGACATCTTAATTCCTTCAGTCTTCACTGTTTTTCCCCATTGATCATAAGGGTGGCATATTGGTCCAGTCTAAACTCCATTGCAATATCTTGACTTTATATTTGGATAATGTTGAACATTGATTCCATTTCTGATTGTATTTTTCCTTAGATTGTCCATGTAAGGGAGGTGGGAGAGCCTCATAGATGTTTTTGATGTTTGATAGCCATGGCCTGACTTGCTACATGCTACAAAGCTACTCCACTAATTACTCTTACAATGTAAATATGCTAATAATATCACTTATGTATGAAAACTACATAAATTTGCTAACCTTTCAGTATGGTTATCTGCTATCATTATCCATAGAATTAACAACAAAGTTGCTGTACAAACTAGGTAATATATAGGCACAAATCATGCAGCAGAAATGGTAATATTGAGAAAGTAATGGAACACTTATAAAACTTCAGTTTCATTGAGTATTGTTTTAGTATTTTCAGCTAAACAATTAGCCGGGTTTTGTTATGAAGTAATATTTACAGCTAATCAGAAGTTCTGTTTGTTGTGGTTTGAATTTCCTCAATCTATTTCATTGTTTTTTTCAGGTATGTATTCATGGGCCAATCATTTTGTTTTCTATCAATAAACTTAGAAGTAATAAAGAATGTTCCTCACATTAAATAAAATATACCCCTTTACAATTATTTGCCATGATTTAAGTAGTTAGTCCCTAATGTTAAGGCTGCCATGGCAAAATATGCTATACGTAGAGATCTAGGCAACATGATCTGATAAAAAAATCATTGCTCTTGTTAGAGTCTAGATTATTGGAGTCCAGAACCTTACAGATTGTCACAAGAATGAATTTAAGGAACAACGAAATAAAAGCACCTGAGGGTAGAACAAGAAGCAATGGGTGGAAACTAATCAAGGAGAGAAGCAACTTAGAACTAAGGAGAAATTTCCTGACAGTTAGAACAATTAATCAGTAGCACAACTTGCCTCCAGAAGTTGTCAATGCTCCAACACTGGAAGTTTTTAAGAAGAGGTTGGCTAACCATTTGTCTGAAGTGGTATAGGGTTTCCTGCCTAAGCAGGGGGTTGGACTAGAAGACCTCCAAGGTCCCTTCCAACTCTGTTATTCCAAATAGGAAGATGCATTTCAATCTGGAATTGGCAGTTTATTAAGAACCTTGTAGCAATAAAAGCTTTTTTATATTCCTACCGGTTTGTGTGAGCACTTCAAAGTAGACCAGATTAGGAAACCAGAATTACAAATACTAGTACTACTTTAATATATATAATTAATATATATATATATTAATATAACGGAATCCATATGTGCTTCCCCCCCTCCCTTCTTTTATCCTTATGAGAATTAGGGAGCGTCATATCTGAGGTGCTTTCTCAAATGCCATTTCTAACCTAGATTGAGATTTCTTTTATCTGCCTGCTGGTTTGTCCTCCTGTTCCCCAAGATTATTCCTTCTGCCAATTACAGTTTCAAATCTTAGAACCGTTAAAATTGGCAGAACATCTTGGGGCCATTAAGATATAATTTATAAGAAATTATATTAATCAGATCTGACTTCAGGTAGTCTTGTGTTAGCAGCCACAGCTAGCACCAGGAATTCTGCCACTACTCATATGATTGCTAAGTGAAAATAATCTGTCCGTGACTTACAACTTTATTTCCATGTTTTCCATTAACTCTACTTGTCTCAAACTGGTAGGGAAGCACGAAAATGGTAATCATGTGACAATGGGATGCTGCAACAGTCATAAAAATGCACCAGTTGTAAAGTGCCTGAATGTTGGTCATGTGACCATTGGACACTTAACGACACAAAGGTCGTAAGTGCATTTTCACCATAGCTTCAAATGATTGCTAAGTGAGGCAGTCAGTAACTGAGGACTACTTGTAAATTTTGATCTTTTTTCAGATTATCGTGCCGTATAATAAATCTAAAAATTGTTACATGATTGCCTTCCAACCCTAAAATCATACTCCAGAAATCCAGTCTCTCTAAGGATTGTATAAATCAGCAGAAACCTTTCAGTGAATGAGAGAAAGTAATGATCATGCTTTCTTTGGTGCTTTGCAGTTCTAATTAGCCAAAGATTATCCTTTAATAAATGTATAATTTAATATTAATGGTTTTGTGAAGCCAGGCTTTGACTATATATATATTGAGTAAGCTTTATTTAAACCCAATGAAAGAAGGAGAAAATTATGTGAAAGTTAGGCAGGAACATATTAATATAAAAATTAAGAGTACTAAAAGTCCTCCATATGTTCTGACTCGTGATATAATTAGTAAAAGGCCACCTAAAGTTACCTTTATGTTTATCAAGATATTTACGTAAATGAAGTTGGTGAGAATGAGAGATGCTTGTCTTTGTTAATTGCTGTTTGTCCCGCACATTTTATTAATAGAGCCAAGAGCACCTTCCAAAGCCACCAATGAACATATTAGTGCAGGGGTGTCAAAGTCACGGGCCGGATGTGTCACACATGTCACGTGATGACGTGACGCCGCAAGTTTGACACCCCTGAATTAGTGAGACAGAATTAGAAAATAGTCAAAAGTAACATCTCTGTTCTTAAAACCTATTTGTTCATAGCAAATAAAAAAGCTTTTCTCCAGTCTTCCAGCTTCTACAGCAGTAAACATGAATATAGCCTTGTTAGCATAACTAGTGGATAAATTGGGTAATATTTATTTGGATTTTGTTTGTTGCCTGTTTTGTAAATAGAGATCATTATAGCAAGGGTCCGGGCCTTTTGGTCCTATATCTACTGTATTTATACATTTGAATAATTTAGCAAGGAGTGACTGCCATCCTTTTACAAAGGCTTTAATATCTTAGGTCAGCACTAACATTTGCAAGAATGCATAACATCCAACAACTATTTTGATATTGATCATTTTTATGGTAACAATTATTACCTGGAGCTTCTGCATTTCATATGTTCCTCTGACTTCACTGCTTTCAGTGTTCCTCACTATAAATTTACATATGCATATATACTGTATATGCTCATCTCAAGGTAACATTGCATGCATCAAGATAACATTGCATGCATTATTACATCATGTAATAATAAATGTGTTAAATATTAAAAAGGGATTGAACAAATGAAAAATGAAAAAATAAATAAATAAACAGAAATAGCATCAGCTGAACTTTATTGGCATGCTGTCCTGCTTATTTCTTCATTTTTAGAGCTATGGACTCTAAATTACCTACTTTCAATCAATATTTTTCACTGTGGAAACTGCTGGTAAACCTTCTGTGTTTGGTTGAAAAACTGAGGCATGTCCTAAAAGACATACTTAGTTGAACAGGGTATAGCTTACTTGCCATCACTGTGTGTGAAATCGTGTGCCTTAAATTTTACCTGTATGAACCCTGGTTCTGTAATAGAGAAAATCATGGTATAAACAACTGTGTTTTGGGCAATCTGTCTCCATAATTCACAAAGAATTTAGTTGTGCATTTCAGGGCTACTAAAGAAGATATGTAAACTTTACTGAGGATGATGCGGATATAATGTTGATTCAGTAAGGGATAGAACTGTCTTTGAAAGTAGAATTTGCTTTGTAGGATTTATCTAAAAAAGTTTATGAAGTGGCGTGATCGGCACTAAAAGTCTGTCTTCATGACGTACGCTATTTTGAACTTCTTAATGGAAAAAAGTAATCACCTAATGTTACTGGGCATTGTTTAAACCTCAGATGCAGTTAAATAGCTTCTTGAACATGACCACTGAACATCATGTTTGTTATGGGTTTTTTTCTTATCTTTTGCTATCCTCTACCTCCCCTTTCTTTCAGCACTATACCTGATTATTCTATACAATTCAAAACATAATTGATTACTCCCAAACACAATCCTCACCATAGTGATCAGTGCCAACATTCAGTAATTTGAAGCATCTCTGTCTCTTTAAAGCAATTGCATCTTTTCCTTGGATCATATATTTTCCTTCCACTTTCATAGCATAATCCCTGGAAAAGACATAGCTGCTTTCAAGAAGTTATCTCATTTCGATTCCTTCATAATCTGTCAGAATTATAAAATCTATCAAATAGGTCTGTCAAACTCCTTTTACTTTCATTAAAATACTATATAAAGACAAGTTCACATAGCATTTAACAATTTTTGTGATTACATATACAGGTATTCATAAATACACGAGGATTCTTTTCCTTTTTCAAGAAAGAACAAAGACTTATAAAATAAATATACATTTTTTTTCAACAAACCTGAAATAAGACTTTTTTGCTCTGAGGTATTTTTTGTTAGGGCTATAATTGATTAGATGATAGGGAAATTAAGTTAAGGGTACTATATCTGTTTAGGGAGTAGGCTTCACAAGTTGTTTCAAATCTATTAATCACAAATGGTACATGCTACATAAATACTGTATTTAGGCTTTTGTTGTGCAAACAACTAATGGCAAGTGAAACAGTGACAGAAATATTCCAGAGTATGGACGTAAAAAGCATCATTTATTTTTTTTACTTTTTAAAGAGTATGTGAATTATTATTAGAGTTATTCATTTTTATTTTTTCCTTTCCATTTGTAGCTCAGCCTTCTCTCTGTGATAAATAATAAATAGAATAGGCAGCATCACATTCTGTTTAATTTACACATCACACAAATATGTAATTTCATTGCGTCTCCTTTCCTTTCGTACCATTCCTGTTCGCTGAAAAGTTTTTAGAAAGATAGTTTGAATTTTGACATCTGAGTGACTAATCTTGTATATTTGTGTTGACACACACTGCCTACAGTGTTCCTGTAGATTTTAGTTATACTATGTTTTATTATACCTTGAAATAAGGTTAGAATCAAAATAATTCCTTGGCTGTACTGTACACAAAAGCTTCCAGCATTCTTTAGAGTTGCCCTATATGTGTCTATATACTACTAAAATTCTTGTGTCCTTTTGATTGTTTGTAATCTTCAGTTGAGCAGAACAGTGCATCATAGGGCAACAATTTTTGAGTCAACATACCTCAGATACTTCCAGAATGCATCCAAAATCGGGGAACCATAACTCCCAAATTTTGGCAACGTTGTGGTTGTTTCAGTGCTGCCGTGCTACTGTGCCGCCACTTTGCCATGGTCAGCCACAGTCATGTGATTGTCATTTCCAACACTTCCTGCCAGCGTTCTTCAAGAAAAGGTAATGGGAAAGCCATCAGGAAGTCGGAAGTCGTTCCAGCTCCCACAGGCTTTGCTTTGTTTTTTGCGTGCCCATTGCCATTCTGTTTCTCTGTTTAGGTAAGGTTATCTAATTGATTACTATTTTCTGCTGTAGAGATCCTCCATTGTCGGAAATATAATTCTAATAAAAAGAATGTTCTAATGATAAAGCATCCAAAACCCCTCTCCTTTCATAGTGACCTGGATCCTGTTCTATGGATTCAGGTAACTTAAGATGGAGAACCTGTCATTTTCTGGGGTCCCCGAACTACAGCTTCTAGTGTTCTTACGATTGGCTGTGTTGGCTGGTGTTGCTACAAGTTCAAATTCAGCAACTTCTGGAGGGCTATGGATTTCCCCTTTCCTAGTATACTGGCAGTGCAAACTTTACACTGGGTAATTAATTGACAATTTGATATGTTGTTTGTAGTTTTTTTTTAAGTTTTAATTTTGTTGAAACATGTTTTCTATGTCTGTTCCAAAGGCCTTTTGTGTTATAATATAGCATAGCTTGAACTCGTCTAAAAAGAGGGAGTTTTAAAATGTTACTGGCTGGTTCAGTATACCACTTTAGTCTCTCCTTTAATTAGTTGTCTGTAGCAACATATTCTTATTCTTTTATTCTATAATTATGTAATACAGTGTTGATGAGCATGCCTTCTATAGCTATTATGTATATGTTTTGAGACTTTGTAATTTTCAGTTTGCTATTCGGTTAGATGATAATATTTAATGCAACTGTGGATTTCTGCTCTGCTCAAGTGATTGTGCATCTGATCACCAAAAATATAGAGAATTTATAACTTTCATATGTTTATTTTAAAAATACAACATGTACAGTTATCAAGAAATCTGAGATGTAGAATTTATGGCAGAAGTGTTTTAGTGCGCCTTTAAAAGAGAGATTTAATATAGTTTTTAAAAGATCTTACTTTGCACTAGGGTTGCCAAATGCCCCATTTTATTTCCAGTTATGGCAAATTCCTTAGAATATAATGAATTTCCCTTACTTTGAAATGGCCTGGCTTCATTTTTTGGTTTCAGTTCTATTGGTACATACTTATTTATAATTTATTTAATCATGGTTTATTCACCCCTACATTAAGAACTCAGACAATAAGCTTGGCTAAAATATAGCTGACTGCATTATCGTGTAGAACGTTGTGTAAAAGTAGCTTAATTTATCTTAAAATGAGTCACAATGTGACTCATTTTAACCATATAAATATTTATTTAACCATATAAATATTCCTCTGCTTACTTTGGTTAAGACAAAGAGCAAATATAAGAAGAGAGGTTTTGAGGTGGTTCAGTGTTCATTGCTGAACACTTTAATCTCCTTTACCTGTATTATTACAAAATAAATCTAAAAAATAAAACTTTAGATATATTGCACCATCTTTTCTAGTAATCACACGATCCAGAACTATAGCTAGATATTCCAATCTGTTCTAAATCTTGTTTAGCCAATTTATATGTTTTGTAATGAATATCTGAAGTGATGACAACAGTAAATTTGTTTTTTATTTGAAAAAGCTTTATAAATTATTGTTTCAACCAGCACTTCAGATAACTACAAAACTGAGATACATAGGAAAAATCATTCTTTTTATAATCACAATTCATGAGTGGAAAATGCTGTTCCCCTTACATGACTGAGTATTGAAGGTACAGTTAATTGATAGAGAATTAGAATTAGTGAAATACAATTACATTATTATAGACTAGCTATTTATGTATGGTATGGCAATTTTTAATACATTTATTTCTAAAAGAATTATACATTGATCTTTTTTTAGGGAAGTTCACCAGAAAAAAAGATGTCTGCAATAGCATAATAAAATTCCACTCTTTTTATACATCAGTAAAAGGGCAGGGTCAAAATCACACAGTTACATATATCACCTTAACTTTTTTGAGATTTCCCTGCATATTTTGACTTTATTTATCATTAGGTGGATACCTATACAGGTAGTCCTCAACTTACACCCACAATTGAGCTCAAAATTTCTGTTGCTAGGTGAGACAGTTGTTAGGTGAATTTTGCCCTATTTTACGTTCTTTCTTGCCACGGCTGTTAAGTAAATCACTGCAGTTAAGTTAGTAACACGATTGTTAAGTGAATCTTGCTTCCCCATTGACTTTGCTTGTCAGAAGGTTGCAAAAGGTGATCACATGACCCTGGGACACTGCAACTGTCATAAATACATGCCAGTTGCCAAGTGTCTGAATTTTGTTCACATGACCATGGGGCTGCTGCAACAATTCTAAGTGTGTAAAGTGGTCATATAAGTCACTTTTTTCAGTGCCTTTATAACTTCAAACTGTCACTAAATGAACTGTTGTAACTCGAGGACTACCTGTATTTAGCCACTGAAAAATGTTCCTCAGATTAAGAAAATATGATGTTCGTAAACCACTGTTTTATGGAAGCATGGCTTAAATTCAAGAATATCTGTATTAGCTCTAATCTATTTAAGGTGAGAAATTCCTATGTGTGATTTCTAGCTGTAAACAATACAAATAAAGTGCCATTTCAAAATGCATTAAATCTGAGCAAATTGTAGGCTACCACCTAGTTTTATGGCTATGATTGTTCAACTCAGGCTGAGGTGAGATATTTTGGGGGGTTAATAACTTTAAATTACATGCTAGTAACAGCCTATGAATTCAGACAAAATACAAAATCTGTAAAATTTTTAAAAATGAATATACTGAAAGAGTGTTGTCAATTTCATTCCTGCTCATTTTGTATTGCCAGCAGTTTTCTTACAGGATTTTCTTGGATGTCATGCTGGAGTCAGCATGAAGAGATAAGAATTATCTGTAATGGGAAAATTATTCACCTCCAAGCTCTGCAGAGTTCTGGTATTTCCAGCTGAATGGTATCTTCAGAACAGTTTCTCCTGCACTGCATCTGAGAAAGAAAGTATACCAGCCCAGCTACTAAAGAGAGAAAATATTCTGAAAACATCTCACATTCTAAATACAATATAAAGAATACATATCAAAATGAACTAAACACAAAGGGGCTGCTGAAGACATCATTCTTCAACAAGAACTTCAAGGCTTTCTGAAAGCTGAGCAGGATCAGGTCCAACCTAAGGTTGGGCAGTTTTTAATTCCAGAGGGCAGACATACTATATAAAAACAAACTTTCCAAGTCTCACTTAGAGGACAATCCCTAATTGACAGGACCCAGATCCTGTCCCTCTACCCAGACCTAATTTGATGGATACAAACAATGGGAGTAAGTCAGTCCTATGCTATCTAAGGCAGGGGCCGGCAATCTTAAACACTCAAAGAGCCACAAAGGTCCTAACCGGAAGCCCCCATTCAATTCTGGAGCTGACCAGAAGTCCGGCTTCCCCATCATAGTCTCCTCCTAGTGCTGCGTCCTTTTCCCTCTGCTGACCGGAAGTCCGGTTCCCCCATCATAGTCTCCTCCTAGCGCTGCATCCTTTTTCCTCTACCAGTCAGACCAGCAACAGGGAGCCACAGCAGAGGGATGAAAGAGCCACATGCAGCTCCAGAGCCGCGGGTTGCTGATCCCTGATCTAGGGCAATATAGGAAATAGCCAGTATGTGAATTGTACTCAGTGGCAAATTAGGAGTCAGTGGAGCTGGTGAAGCAAAGGTGTGACATGGGTCTAATGAGGCATACCCATAAATACCTCCACTGTCACATACTGGACCAATTGAAACTTCTGGATATACTTCCACAGCAGCCCCTTGTAAACCTCACTGCAGTAATACACTCAGAAGATGGTCAAAGCATGAATGACCACTGCCTCCTGATCCAGGAAAGTATGCAACTGATGCATAACAAAGTTGTTGTGGAAAACCATCCTTAGTCATGCCGGTCACCTACTGTGGCTGGAGCCATGAGTCCAGAAGGACCCCAAATTGCACACTACTGTAGTTCTCTCTGGAATAGGGCCATCTCATCCCAGAACTAAGGATGGGAAATCACCAGATGCAGGACACTCCAATATCCAAAGGCACTCCATCTTGTTAGGGTTGTTGAAGCATATTTATTCCCAGCTAGACCCCACTGCCTTCAGGCACTGGGACAGAACTTCCAAAACATCATTTGGCCAGCCAGGGCAGAGATATACAGCTGAGTATCATCAGAATATTGATAATACTTCACCCAATGCCATAAAATTATCTCACACAGTGACTTCACATAGATGTTAAACAGGAGTGGAAAGCAGGGGTGGGTTCTAACCGGCTTTACTACCGGTTCTTTTTGTGTGCGCGCTTTGCGCACAATTGCCTCTTCGGTCACACGCTTTGTGCGTGATCGCCGTGCGCATGCTCACTTTGCTCGCCTGCGCGCCAAACTTGCGCTTTGCGCAAGCGCGTTGCAAATCTGCCCAGCTGAGGTGTGGCAATCCGCTCTGCCGCACCTCTCAGCTGGGCAAAAAAAGAAGAAATATAAGGTCGGCATAACGCCGGGGCGGGCGGGAGGGCCCTGCTCCCGAAGACAGAGAACTGGTTCGGTGACGTCATATCGTCACCGCTACCGGCTCTCAAGAACCGGTGTGAACCGGGAGCAACCCACCACTGGTGGAAAGAGACATGAGCCCCAAGGTACTCCACACAAGAAGGGCCCTGGAGCAGACCTTTTCTCTCCATTGACTGTTTCCTCAAGCCATTTGGTTCTACTTAAGGAGTGCACATAAATCAGCAAAAAGAAAGGAGAAAAGAAATGCCGATTAGTGCTGGCATTTCCCACTTTTTAAGGATTGATGAAACAATGATTTTTTTTGATGTTGTAAAACATTACCCCAAAGTTTTATTACTCCATAATATATCATCATCAGGTTCCAGCCCAACCCGTTGGCCCCCTTACCACCTTTACAAGGGATCAAAATACTGTAAGTACAAAGCCAGCAAACATGTAATGCAAAAGATTTTGCAACACAAAGGCAATAACCTGTTGGAGCAAAGATTTTCAGCATGCCTTTGCCTGAAGTACAAATAGTCCAAAGTTAATGATGTTGGTTAACCCAACAATATTTCTTGCAGCCTTTTGTGTCTAAAGACTGTCAAAGGAACATACCATCCCAAAATAATACTTAGCAGCAGATATAAAGTTAATGCACTGATGTGTTAATATACATCAACCCACTCGTTTCTCATGCCTATTGCAATTTAGTACTGACATTACAATATTAGTTTCAATATTAAGACTGAAAACTGTTGCAGTTAATATCTTACAGTGCTCTTAAGTCCAGTTAATCTTGACTTTATCAGACATGGATGCAATCTAAATCTTAAATTACATACACAGCGAAATCATTTCAGGTCAAGACTGAAGAATATTAAAATATGATTGATCTGAATCTTGATTTCAGAATATGTGAAAGGTAGACTCAATGAGTTGGCAATAAATTTATAGCTATTCTATAGCCTCTGGCCTTGACTCTGGCAATTGAAAAAGCATTACGTATTACATGGAAATTGGAATCTATTGCTAATATTTATTTATTTATTTAATTAATTTAATTTATATACCGCCCTTCTCCCGAAGGACTCAGGGCGGTGAACAGCCATAATAAAACAGTGTACAAAATAGAATTTAAAAGCAGATTAAAATAATTAAATCATAGGCCGAATTTAAAACTCTCATTTAAAACCAATTTTAAAACCCCATTAAAACCAAATTAAAACCATTTATCCCATCAGAGCGGCTTGCTGGAATAACAGGGTCTTCATTGCACGACGAAAGGCGCAGAGGTCGGGGATCCTTCGTATGTCCGGGGGCAATTCATTCCAGGGGGCAGGGGCCCCCACAGAGAAGGCTCTCCCCCTGGGGGTCACCAGTCTACATTGTTTGGCTGATGGCACCCTGAGGAGGCCCTCTCTGTGTGAGCGTACCGGTCGGTGGGAGGCAATCGGTGGCAGAATGCAGTCTTGTAGATAGCCAGGTCCTAAGCCATGGAGCGCTTTAAAGGTGGTAACCAACATCTTGAAGCGCACCCGGAAGACCACCGGGAGCCAGTGCAGCTCGCGCAAGAGAGGTGTTACATGGGAGCGACGGGTCGCCCCCATTATTACTCATGCGGCCGCATTCTGAACCAGTTGGAGCCTCCGGGTGTTCCTCAAGGGGAGCCCCATGTAGAGAGTGTTACAATAGTCCAGACGGGAAGTGATGAGGGCGTGAGTGACTGTGCACAAGGCATCCCAATCCAGAAAGGGGCGCAACTGGGAAATCAGGTGAATCTGATAAAAAGCCCCCCTGGCCATGGCCATCATATGATCATCCAAAGACAGCCATGAGTCCAGGAGGATGCCCAAGTTGCGAGCCCTCTCTGAGGGGGGTAAGATCTCATCCCCAATAGTCAGCAATGGTGTAAGCTGGCTATATCGGGACGCTGGAAACCACAGCCACTCAGTCTTGGAGGGGTTGAGTCTGAGCCTGTTCCTCCCCATTCAGATCCGCACGGCCTCCAGGCAATGGGACATCACGTCAAGGGCATCATTGGGGTGGCCTGGGGTTGAAATGTACAACTGCGTGTCATCGGCATACAGTTGACACTTCACCCCAAAGCCACAGATCATCTCGCCCAGCGGCTTCACATAAATGTTAAACAGGAGGGGCGAGAGAACCGATCCCTGCAGCACCCCACAAGTGAGGGACCTCGAGGCCGACCTCTGCCCTCCCATCAACACAGACTGCATACGGTCAGAGAGAAAGGAGGAGAACCACCGTAAAACAGTGCCCCCCCACTCCCAACCCCTCTAGCTGACACAGCATGATACCATGATCGATGGTATCAAAAGCCGCTGAGAGGTCTAGGAGGACCAGGACAGAGGAGCAAACCCTGTCCCGAGCCCTACAGAGATCATCAACCAATGCGATCAATGCCGTTTCCATGCTGTAACCCGCCCTGAAGCCTGACTGGCATGGATCTAGATAGACAGCTTCATCCAGGAATCGAGGAAGTTGTCTTGCCACCACACTCTCGACAACCTTCGCCGTGAAGCAAAGGTTGGAGACAGGACAATAATTAGCTAAAACAGCCGGGTCCAGGGAAGGCTTCTTGAAGAGGGGCCTCACCACCGCCTCTTTCAGGGCAGCTGGGAAGACACCCTCACCCAGCGAAGCGTTGGTAATCGCTGAAACCAGCCTCGTGTAACTTCCCAGGAGGCTAGTACCAACCAGGAGGGACACGGGTCCAGTAAACATGTGGTAGCGTTAAGCCTCCCCAAAATCCTGTCCATGTCCTCAGGAGTCACAGGGTCAAACTCCTCCCAGATAACAGTCTCAAGACTCACCTCTGTCATCCCATCCGAAACTATCCAATCAGAGTCCAGGCCGTGCCGAATCTGAGCGATTTTATCATGCAGAGCGATTTTATCATAGCTCTCTGCTCTCTATGATTATGACCATACTGCCACTATTTCCTATGTAAAAGAGTTTAAAAGAGTGCAATTTTCTTTGGAAAGAGATACCACCAATTCCAGTTACTAACAGGGCTTTGGATAAAATCATTTACTGTACAACCCAAAGAAATGGAGATGATAGATAGATAGATAGATAGATAGATAGATAGATAGATAGATAGATAGATAGATAGATAATCCTTTCCAATTAACACTGTAATGTAGATTGTAATGTAATGTAGACAGGAATACAGACAGGTATTCCTGTCTGTCATAAAGAACTGGTTTGAGAAGCAATCTACATTTTGCTCACATTGGCAATACTAAACTACATAGACAGAGATTTAATTTCAGCTGAACGGTAAAAAATAAAGTTGAATCTTCCCAATTAATTGGGTGCAAGATAATATCTTCTACAGCAGCTTAAGCAAAGCCTACCAGAGTGACATACAAACATAGTCCTTTTCCTGCCATTAGGTAGCTATTGGCTAAGACAGCTGCTCCTTTCAGCCTAAAGGTATGGATGGATGATAGAGAAGTAACTGCATCAGCCCAAATTCCCAGCTATATTACAGGAATTCCAGATTTGGTAACTGCAGTCTGCTCAAGTTCAGCTTGTTCTTCTTGGTTTTTTCTCTATAAAATAAATACAATGGAAGTTAGCAATTAGGAGAGTGAATGGGAAAGGTTTTAGTTGTACATGATCTGTCCCCGTCCACACACACACACAAACATAGCCAGCCGAGGGTTAAGGAAGCACTTGGCACACACCCAGGTCTTTATCTCCAACTTGGCAGCGATATACACACCGTCTGCCAAGTGCTTTTATTTCCACAGAAACAGAAAGATAATATACTCAGCGTACAAGAGTCCAACAGAAATAATATTCCTCTCAGCAGTTTCGGACGAGGCTTTAGTGACTATCCAAGGTTTATTTTTGTTCGTCACAGGGATCACTGGCTACCACCCTCTATTATATAGTCTCTGGGGTGTGGTCCAGTGACTCAGTTCTAATCCCTAGCACGCCTCCTGAGCTGCTGCAATCGTTTATCATGCCTTCGGAGGCGTGCATCCAGGAATAACGTCTCTCCCTCACTCTCATCCGAGACACCTGTCTCCCGGCTAATCTCCTCTCCCTAATCTCCTCTCCCTCGGCCGGCTCCTGAGACAGTGCCAGAGGGGAGGGGCCTGGAGAGGGAGGCCTGGCTGACTCCTCTTCCTCATGCTTGGAGCTTTCTTCCTCCGATGGGCCCCGAGGGCGGGGCCACAATACTACAACACTTCAGAGATTCATATGTTTGCTGAGTAGTCAAGAAAAAAAGAGGGAGAGAAAATGCCAAGTTTCACTTGAAAACATTTTAAAAATTTTCTAAATTTATTTATTTATTTATTTATTAGTTCGATTTATATATGCCGCCCTTCTCAGGAGACTCAGGGCGGCTTACAATGCATTAAGCAATAGCCTTCATACTTTTGTATATACCTGCTTAGTAGGGCTTTTTGGCCCTCCCTGAGCGGTGTTCTATTTTATACAAAGTCAGCTTATTGCCCCCACAAACTGGGTCCTCATTTTACCTACCTCAAAAGGATGGAAGGCTGAGTCAACCTTGAGCCTGGTGAGAATTGAACTCGCAGTAATTGTAGGCAGCTGGCAGCTAAGTATTACTTTAACAGCAGAAGTTTAGTCCACTGCGCCACCAAGGCTCTTGGTGAAATTATACTGAGAAAAGCTTTCAGATGATGTCCTTAGAAATACAAAGACTGAAATTCATGATTTCAGTTGTATACAATTGGATTTTGAGGAAAACAATTTTAATATTGTTTCTTCAACTCATAGAAGACAGCAACCAAGCAAATATTAAAAAAGAAGCTTAGATTCTGAGACTTCCAAAAAGTTGAAGGAGAGGGAAAGAGGCAAAAATCCAACAGTGATATGATATAACTGAAATTGTAAAAGATGTTAAACAGAAAATGTGTATTCCTTTCTCCCTGTTAAAATGCTCTACATGTTGAATGACACCAAATATTATATATGGACACTAAAGTTGAACAGAGGATTATTTTTTCTGGTTGGTTAGTTAGTTGGGTGGGTGGGTGGGTGTGTCTAACAGACAGGATGAGAAAATTCTGGAAAAAAGTAAGGAATGTGACTTCTGGTTCATTGCAACTGCCTAATAACCTTCCAATTCAACACCCACATAAGAGGGAGAGGAATGAGTAGCCAGCCACCTCCCATCTTGCACAGACACAGAGCTGACCCTAAGATTGGCCAGAGCAAAAGAGTTACCTTACTATGAAACAGACCTTGTAGAACTGCAATGAACTTTTGCTTACTTAATTTATGGATTTATTTTCATTTTAGATTGCAAGCACAAATGCTTATGGAATTTTCTATTGCAGAAGATAAAATATTGTCACTAATGAAGGCCAGGATAATGTTGCAGGATCCAATCTGGATTGGTCACTGGAACCAGATATTAGTTTTCCAAGCTTTTAGACTCATGCTGGATCCCATCCTCAGGGAACTTCTCTCTCACCAGAATGTTCTCTCCCACACATTCTGGTGATAGAGGAGTTCTCCGAGGATAGGCTCCAGCATGAGTTTGATAGCCTGAAAGACTAAATCTCTTAATTCTGTATGACTGACTCAAATTGGATCCTATAAAATATTTTGGTCCACCTTAGGTTCTGGAGACAGTTCTATTTGGCATTTTACCTGAGCTTTGTAAAAAGGTTTACTCTAGAAAGGAGTTGAAGATTGAGCTCCAGGTCTGCTTTCCAAATTACTATATATATAGAATTTGGTAATTAACTCTACTTTTTCCTCCATAATAATCCCCATTCCTTTTGTCTAGGAATTCTATATTATAAATCTACAAGCTGTAGAGTATTGTACGTTATTTGTAATTTGTATTAATTGCTATGAAACACACCAGTTGAAAAACACAGCAAATACCTTGTGGGATGATTTTGGACTTGTCATTCCCATTCCAAGACATCAACTACTATATTGCTCAATCAATAGGTGAATATTATCTTTAAAATACCTTGAATAAAGTGACTTTGAATACCTGATTCAGGGCTTCCTTAAAACTCCATAACAGGAATAGAACTTGATTGGATGGGAAGGGATGGTTCAACAGTACATTTGAGCTGAGCAGATTGTTGATCAGGGTTATGTAATCCCAAGGCTACTCCTCCATGTACTCGATTGTCCACGAGAGAGAACTTGTAATGAAATAAGAGGGCAAACTCCACTTCAACACTTTTAATATCTAAGCCACCTTTCACCTCCTTGAGCAGCAGAATGGCAATGGGATATATTCAAAGTCTGAATGGTTGTTGAATAAACCAAGGACTAGTTGCATTTGCTATCAGGAAGTCATCCCCTTCAAAGCATGTTAGATATGTGACAGAGACTTTGCACATGTCAACAGTGTGAGAAATACACATGTATTCCTATTCGGTTTCCCGTTTCTTAACCACCTGTTAGCCTGTCTTCTGTTATATCCCATGAAAGCTAAGTATGTCAGGAGTTGTGGTGAGAGACTTTCTGAAAACACCAGAAATTCATCTTCAAGGACTCTTGGGGGAATACTGTCTGGACCTAGGGATTTAATTGTATGTAAACATACAAGATTGAGCATCAAAAGTAAATAAAACAGTCCCATTAATGGAAGACCTTTTATATCTTATGTAGCTCAATGCAATTATTAATAAATCATTCTCTAGCATGCTTTCACAATTATTGTAAGTACCCTTTGAATAAACAGAGGTTTTGCACCCTAAAATAACTCGCTCTTTGGGGAGCCTATCCCTTAAAAATGAAATTACTTCCAAAGAAATTATATTTTAGCTTGCAGCCTTGCACTAATTGCTGCTGTCAGCAAAAAGACAAAGCTTTTTTATGTTTGCAAAACAAGTTCTTCAGCAGTTACATGAAAGAGGCTGATATTCTATTATTCGCAAGCCAATGCTGACAGCAGCAGCCCAGAATATGCTCTTTCAAGGCTCAGAAGAAAACATGTCATAACACATTTCTATGCAGGGGTTTTCCCCCAACAGCTTTGACTTCTTCACTGTTATATGCCACCGTACCAATGTTCTCAGTAATCCCCCTTTCCAGGTGCTCAATAAATCAATGAAGATTTTACAGTTAGCCAATGTAAAAAGCTGCAGGTAAACAATGTCCTGTCCATTTGCTGTCTGCAGTAAGGAAACAAAACACATGTCAGCCAGCATAGACATTGCAAAGCTGCCCTTCATAGTAGGGTTGTCTGATGAAAGTGGTTAACCCTTAGTATATAGTAGTTGTTAATACAAAAAATAAAACTTAGGCTTTTTCTGTGTCCGAGTTTGTTAGCTGATTAGAAAAAGTGACAGGCAAAATTTAGGCAGAGCTGTTCAGACCAGACAGAGAGCAAGACCGAATAAGATAACAAACACAGAAGCTGCTCTTTGCTACCTCCATTTGAGCTATGCACCTAAACGGACCTTGACTGGTGCAATAGACACACCTTTGCCCCCCTCTGAAGCATCCCTAGTAAAGAAGAGCAGTACGATTTCTGTCCTTATGAGTGGTGTAACCCTGTAATCAACGTTGTGATTATTGTTCAGCAATTAACAATGATAAATCTGGAAAGATCAGCCTTACTTGATAGCTGTAGATATCTGGAAAAATAGTGTATAACAGCTAAGCAGTTGTGACTTTTGAATCTTGTGTTGTAATCCAAGTTGAATGAAGTTGAAAATATATCAGAGTCATGCAGGAAGATGAATCACACATAAGATTTTTATTTAATATTTATCTTCTCTTCCTTCCCTTTTAAAAAAATTATGGGCAACAAATGCTAACCATTGAATTTCTACATGGATGGAGAAATTCTACAAAGTTTTGGATGGAGAGTTGTTCCCACCACCACTCCTATTGTGCTATTTATGACTTGCACTAAATCAGGGTATCAAACTCAAGGCCCGCAAGCCGAATCTGGCCCGCGGGGTGCTTAGATCTGGCCCGCAGGGCCACCCTGGAAACAGCGAAGGACTGGCCCATGGTGTGTCTGCCAGCGAAAAACGGAGCCGCGCACAGCCCTCCCGAGCTCCGTTTTCAACTACAACAGCCTCCTGCAATCCTCTGCCAGTGAAAACAGAGCTCAGGAGCGCCACACATGGCCCTCCTGAGCTTCATTTTCGCTGGCAAAGCGCTCAGACCACCACAGGTGCCTCCAACATGAGTGACGTCAAGCTGGCCACACCTATCTTAGCCATGCCCATCTGGCCCCTCAGGGTCAAACTCCATGAAATCGAGTTTAACACCCCTGCATTAAACTGTTCAAAGCCATGGAAGTGCAGCATTTACAGTTTAATATTGTATCCAGCTGTTTCTGGAGATGGCCGACCAGAGACTGGAAAATGAAAGGGCTTGCCTGAATCAGTTGAAATTATCACTAGATGCCTTTTTGAGCCTACCTGCTACTTCTCAACAGATTTTGCACTTGATGTCATGAGCGACAAAGTGTGAGAAACTATATATCCACTGGCAACTGTCGAAAGCTTTTGGGTTAAGTGAGAATTTGGAAAACCGTACAACCAGAAATAAACCTGTCACACAAGTTGGGCATGAAATAAAGCAATACAGAAAAACACAAACCACATGAAAAACATATTGCCACACTGCTCCAGGCAGAAGACATAATCTTTGAACTAATTTATTCTCTTCTGAAGATGTGAATTTTGCAAATTTCTTTGAGTCTACTCTTATTTACAGTAAAACTATATATCTATTCTATTCCATTTCCCTGTATGTAAAAGCAGCATTTTCTTTTTATTCTGCTTTCTTCAAGGTAAACCCCTAAACATATAAAAACTCTCTTAGGTGATAAAGGTAGACAGAATAAAAATTGGCAGTGGAGTAGACAGCAAAGTTTAACAGAATAAAAGAGTTGGAAGGGCTCTTGTAGGTCATCTAGTCCCACCCCCTCACCCCCAAGCAGGAGATCCTGCCTACACCATTTCTGGCAGATGGCACTCCAGTCTCTTCTTGACAGCTTCCAGTGATGAAGCTTCCATAACGTCTGAAGGCAAGCTGTCCATGGGTTGACCATTCTCACCGTCAAAAAGTTTCTCCTTATTTCTAGGCCGAACCTCTCTTTGAACAGTTTCCATCCATTATTCCTCGTCTGGCCTTCAGATGTTTTGGAAAATAGGTTGATTTCCTCTGTGACAGCTCCTCAAATATTAGAAGACTGCTATCACGTCTCCCCCTGGTCCTTCTCTTCTCTTCACTAGACTAGCCGTGCCCAGTTCCTGCAACCGTTCTTCCTGTGTTTTTAGCTTCCAGTTCTTGCTACAAATTCCAAAAGGCACAAATGCAGAAAGGCTCAAAGTGTGACAGGGGCGAGAAGTGCAATTTGACAGGCGAGCTGCGATTTGGCCAGCTCCGGCAGCAACCAGCTTCGGCAGTCTCTCCTAAGAGCCTTGGTGGCGCAGTGGACTAAGTGCTGTTAAAGTAGCACTTAGTTGCCAGCTGCCTGCAATTACTGCAAGTTCAAATCTCACCAGGCTCAAGGTTGACTCAGCCTTCCATCCTTTCAAGGTAGGTAAAACGAGGACCCGGATTGTGGGGGGCAATAAGCTGACTTTGTATAAAAAAGAACACCGCTTAGGGGGGTCCGAAAGCCCTACTATAAGCAGGTATATACAAAGTATGAAGGCTATTGCTTAATGCATTGTAAGCCGCCCTGAGTCTCCAGAGAAGGGCGGCATATAAATCGAACTAATAAATAAATAATAAATAAATAAAAGGAGCAGCAAACGACCAGTCGCTTTTTCCCCCTCGACAGAGGAACTTCGCCCGATTATTCTATTTCAGAGGTCTTCAAAACTTGGCAGCTTTAAGACTTGTGGACTTCAACTCCCAGAATTCTCCAGCCAGCATTGCTGGCTGGAGAATTCTGGGAGTTGAAGTCCACAAGTCTTAAAGCTGCCAAGTTTTGAAGACCTCTGTTCTATTTGATAGGTTGAAACAACGGGGCACCGGGACGAGCAAGAGCGAGCGAGAGCTCAGGGGAGGAGGAGGAGGAGGAGTCGACAGTCTTGGCGGCTTCGAGAACGACAAGCTACGCACGGCGAGGCAAGCGGGCGCGAGCCTTGTCACGGGACCTGTCCAGGCCCGAGGCTGTGGGCGGGGCCAACGCCCGCCGCCGCCCCCGCCTCCTTCGCCGTTTCGTTCTGCAGCGGTCGAGGTGAAGGTGGGCTGTCGCTCTGCGCCTCGTCCCTCTCTCTCTCTCTCTCTCTCTCTCTCTCTCTCTCTCTCTCTCCTCTCCTCGGCGCTCGCTCGCTGGTCGACCGAGAGTTTTGGCTTCTCGTTCCCATGGCTACCGAGCGGCCTTTCCAGCTGGTGGTGTTCGGGGCCTCGGGCTTCACGGGGCAGTACGTGGTCCAGGAGGTGGCGCGAGTAGCTGCCGAGGATGAGCTGCGAGGCTCCTTGCGCTGGGCCGTGGCCGGCCGGTCTCGGGAGAAGCTGCAGGAGGTGGTCGAGAAGGCGGCCGCCAAGTTGGGTAAGAGAAAGGTGGGCAGGCAGGTCGCGTGGCGGAGTTCGAGCCTTCCTGTCGGCTCCGTCCCACAAACTCTGCAGTAAAGCAACTTAAAAGATCCGCTCAGTTTCCTTGGCTGCAGTCGGAAAATCAATAACGTTGACCTTTATATTGTCGTCCTGGGTGGGTGGGTGGGGAGGGAAGGAAAAATAGGTTTTCTCTAGCCTGGCCCTCTTCAGATGCCTTGGGCTGCCCTTCCCAACGTTTCAGTTAGCACAGGTGTGCCATTTGGGCGGGGCACATCTGGAAGGAGAACAAACGGACCTTGCCTCATGTAATTGATTCCCTTTCTCACATGAGATAAAGCCTGGAGGCATTGCTTAAGAAAGTTAAAAACAGTGGTGGGTTTCAAATTTTTTTACTACTGGTTCTGTGGGTGTGGCTTGGTGGGCGCTTGGTGGGCGTGGCAGGGGAAGGATACTGTAAAATCTCCATTCCCACCTCGCTCCAGGGGAAGGATACTGCAAAATCCCCATTTCCTCCCGATCAGTGGGACTTGGGAGGCAGAGAATAGATGGGGGCAGGGCCAGTCAGAATTTTTACTACCGGTTCTCCAAACTACTCAAAAGTTCTGCTAGCGGTTCTCCAGAACTGGTCAGAACCTGCTGAAACCCACCTCTGGTTAAAAGAGTTGCTGATCTGGATCGAAGTTTCATCTGATCAAATTGCTTGTCTCTCACAGCGCCAAGGAGCAAGAGCAGAGATGGTATTCAGCAGGTTCTGACCAGTTCTGGAGAACTGGTAGCGGAAATTTTGAGTAGTTCGGAGAACCGGTCAATACCACCTCTGGCTGGCCCCGCCCCCATCTATTCTCTGCTTCCCGAGTCCCAGCTGATCCGGAGGAAATGGGGATTTTGCAGTAACCTTCCCCTGGATGGGAATGGAGATTTTACAGTATCCTTCCCTTGCCACACCCACCAAGCCACACCCAGAGAACTGGTAGTAAAAAAAATTGAAACCCACCACTGAACAATAGCAATAGCGCTTGGACTTCTATACCGCTTACAGTGTTTTACAGCCCCTCTCTAAACTATTTGCAATACACTCCCTTTCTATGATTTTAAATGACAGGGCAATTATGGCCTAATAGGAGAATAAACAAATACCACTGGTTCTGATAGAGAAGGGACTTAATGCATCTCCTTGGACTCAGCTTTCCAGGGTCGGTAAAATGAGGACCCAAATTGTTGGGAGCAATGTGCTAACAGAGAGGAGGGTTAGCACATTGCCCCAACAATCTGGGTCCTCATTTTACAGACCTTGAAAGGATGGAAGGCTGAGTCCAAGTAAATGCATTAAATCCCTTCTCTATCACAGCCGGTATTTGTTTATTCTCCTATTAGGCCTTAATTGCCCTGTCATTTAAAATCATAGAAAGGGAGTGTCATTGTATTGCAGCTCATTGACCAAGAGCATATCTCTGTGCCCCCCTTCCTGTTTGGGGCCAAGGAAAGTGAGATAAAATTATGCATCAATCTGCATTGACTTAGGTGTAGCCAGAGAAGTTATTATTTTGCAGTTTTATACTGCAATTTTATAATAATAACACTTTTAGGATGGCTTGCTTTACAGCCTTTTTCCCAACGCTACAAGATCTTTGGAAGTCACCAAGTTTGTTTCCAGAACTAGATTTGTTCAGTGAAAAGAAACATTTTTGCATTTTTGTCCTTGTGCATTATATCTCTTTTATATAATATTTACTTTTTTTTTTCTAGTGAGCTTTTGTAACAAGTGACTTATTTTCCCACATTTTTACTTGCTTATGTAGAGAAACCATATTTGGGAGATGGTGATGCAATTTATATAGAAGAAATATAATTTGTTTACTGAAAGCAATTGGAAAGCTAAATGTAAAAAATAGCATCAATAAATAGTGATTGAATAAATGATGGATTGAATAAAAATAATCAAAGAGGTTTTCAGAATAACATGTCAATGTTAAATTTTCAGGGAAAGCAGAACTGAAGTCAGAAATTGGCATAATGCTATGTGATGTCAGCGATCCATCTTCTCTTGCTTCTATGGCTAAACAAACGAATATTGTTCTAAACTGTGTAGGCCCAGTAAGTGCTTTCTTCTATTTTTTTTTCATGAATAAATAAAAAGTGTGCTTGTCCTGAAGCAATTATTAAAACATACCATTGTTGTAAGATATTGCCAGAAATCTATATGATTTTTATATTTTATAATTACATTTTTTGTTATTTCTTTAGGAAGATTTTTATCTCTTAAAACAAAATGTTTCCTAGTTAAATGCAAATTAAAGAGAAAATCCTATTTCCTAACACTGAAACTGAAATTCATAATATTAATTTGTTAATCACTCTTCTATAGTATTAAACAAATTTTTTAAAAAACTTGTGCTATACCTGGTACCAGAAACAAATGGAAGTGAATAAACTATTAACATCAAAGTAGTTTTATATACCTTATTTTATGCTAAAAAATGTAATTATCAAGCAAATTTAAATTATTAAAGTATTGTATTAAATGTGTTTAAGTATTGAATCTAGAGAAAGTATCTTCATATTTACAAACTAGGAAATTATCAAGAGAAATGAAACATTCTGAGGCTGTTTTACAATAAACTACAAAAATACTAGACTGGATAGCATTTTATCATTGGTACATTACTTCATCCTTGATTGCCAAAATGAAACCGTAATTCAATAATAAGGCAACAATTTTGAAACAAAGGATCTCAAATGGGCTAATTTAAGGAATGTATCCAAATCTGGAACCCATGATTTCTGTGGAACTGAAATTTGGCAAATTTTATAAAACTTTTTATGACATAAAAGATACCGTGAAGCATTTTATGTCAGGCTAAGCCCAAGAATAACATGGAATAATAATTCAGTTAGAGTTCAGTTCTTTATTTGTTTATACATAGTAGGCAGAATCTTACCAGGCTAAATCCTTCCTACTACCAGCCTACAGATATACTCTGGGAGATTCTAGGGAGTGGCCATCTTGTTTTTTTCTCTGTCTTCTATCTAGCTCTGAGCTGGGCTGCCTCTTGTCTCCCTCCCTCCCTCTCACATCCCTCCTGGAATGTGTGTCCTCCTTCCTGGGAAACTGCCATTTCACTGTGGTCCATAACCCCAACTTTCCCCTCTGTGTGGGCATCGTCTCAGATTTTACGATATAAAATGTCACAAAACATTGCTTGTGGTCAGTTACTGTGTTTTACTGTGCTATACAGTCCAACTTGAGCTATTTTCAAGGCAGATGTATCTCTGAATATCACCCTGAATTTTTAAGAACTTTTCCAGTGAAGGCAGCACATTAGATACTCTTCCATTGTTGAAGGCAGTGAGGAATCTGGTAAGGAAATATCTCTGAAATGATCACCCAAGGGGTCGCAGATCACGTAGTATAGAAATAAAATTGAATGAGATTTCAGCAGTTAAAGAAAACATATAAATAATAAATCAGAAGAGTGATTTAGATAATTTTCCTAACCTGATATACAAAAGAGATCTGTTAAAACTTCAATGGTTCTATAATGAGGCAAAGGAAAAAGGAAAAGAAAGAATTCTATTAAAATTTTCAAAGTCAGAAAGAACAAAAAGAAACCCAAGTTCTAGGCCTTTATTTGATGGGACCAAAGATTAAGATCATATAGGGAATAAGGGAATAAGGGAAAAGAATATAAAGTTGATTTATTTGATCAAAGATAAAGAGATGTGTTGTTATCTTCAATAATAATTGACTTTTTCTAATTAAGGTTGAATGATGACGTTTTAAGTATCTTTTCAGATATGATGTGAGATATGAGAATAAATTTTGTAAATCTGTTGATTAATTTTAATATAGTTATCTGTTTTTTTCTGATAACATTTAATGGATTTTGATTGACTATAATTGCATGATAAGGTTTTGGTGATTTCTTATAGGTATCCAAACTTATTCAAAAGTTTGGGATATAGAAGGAAAAGAAAGGATTATAAAGTAGGTTTTTGGATTACGTTTATAATAGATACATTCATATTTCTGATAACCCTTAATGGATCTTTGCTGATTAGAATTGAATTATAAGGTTTTAAGACTTGCTTACAAATAAGGAATTAGATAGGATGAAGATTCTTTGTTGCTTTTTAAAATAAGGTGATCAGTTATTAAAAAAATTATACTTGTGACAAAGGAGAGGTTTTTTTTTCTTTACTACACAAATATTTTTATACAAGTTACATTTTTCTTTTTGTTTTAATTTTTTATAATTTTTATTCAGGTTTATATGTATAACTTGAATTCCTAAATTATTATAAAATAAACCCAAATATTTTTATTCACATTGAATTTAATGTATTAGCTAAAACATAACTATATCATAACTTCATTAAGATTCCTTTATTCCTTTATTCTTATTTTTTAAATGGAAAGAAAACTTCAAACAAGGTTTATTAAATTATCCCAGATTAATATAATTTATTAGTCTTTTTTCATTCTTAACAGTACCGTTTTTTTGGAGAGCCTGTGGTAAAAGCTTGTGTTGAGAATGGGACAAACTGTATTGACATTAGTGGAGAACCGCAGGTATGTACAATTAAGAAAATAAACCAGATTTTGAGGAATAATATTTGGATTATGTCACAATCCCAACTCTTTTTACTTGTATTCCTTATCTTAGTGTAGGATAATTATTTACTTCACATATCAAACTTTGTATTGGTGCTCAGCATACTATGTGATGCAGCATCCATGTGTGCTGGGAACTGCAGGGTTTTTTTTGGGTGTCTGTGGTTTTCTCTCTATTCCCACAAAAATCTCCTTACTCATCTCTCATTTCCATAAATTAGCAGTGTGTAGTGTACTGCAGTGTAGACAGGAACTGTGTTTAGGTTACTAAAAGTATTTTTATTTATAATTGTATTTTTATTTATAATTACATTTTTATACTACCTTTCCTCTGGGAGTCAAAGAAAATACACAATTGGGGTTTTCCTTCCTATCGTTGTCACCATTTTATGAGATAGGTTGGGCTGAGAGATGGTGAATGGGTTTGCACCTGGGCTTTCTTAGTCCAGTTCCCAACAATTTAACACACCATACTAGCTTTTTTAGGTGAAATTGTAAAATTCTATAAATCTGTGCTGAATATTAAACATAATCATTTTTAAATTTAACTGTAAAATACTGAATTGTTTTGATGGTTAATAACATTTAATAAACAAACATTTATAACACTGCAAGATGGCACGATAGCCAAGAAAACAGTTTTAAAAATGTTAAGGGGGGGAAAAAAGTTTTTTGTTTGAATGTTAGAAATGCATTGCTTGTTTCTTTATATAATATTGTGTTTCTATTTTAGTTTCTGGAAGGAATGTATCTACATTATAATAGCAAAGCTGAAGAAAAAGGAGTATATATTGTTGGAAGCTGTGGTTTTGATTCTATTCCAGCAGATATGGGAGTATTATTCACCAAAAACAGCTTAAAAGGTGATTTTTATGTTTGATTGTTCCTTTGATAAATGCTAGGGGAAATATGGTAGCTACTTTATTTTTATGTTTAAAGATATTAGATTAGTTCATGGTAAAATGATAGCCTGTATTCTACAAATAATCTGTTCATTAATTATTTAAACATGTCCCACCCTCCTCTACCACTTTAGCTCACATTCTTTTAGATAAGCTTTCATTGATCAAATAAAAACAAAACAGTTCCTACCCTGCTTGTGAACAAAACCATATAACAAAATAAAAGGGGGAAGAGAGGAGGAAAAAAAGGCATCAGTTCTGAAATTTAAATAATGATAAAAATAAATAATAACAGTTTAGAGAGTGGAAATGTCTGGTGGAAGATTTGACCGAATATCTGGCAGTCTTACTTCCCACATATCTCTTGTTGAAATCTAGCTGTGAAACCTTTGAAACCTAGCTATTCAGGGAGAGACCTCCCCCAATTTTAATCTTTCAACAAAGTCAATGGAATGCCTCTATTTCTGATTTCTTTGGCAGTAATTACACTGTTTACAATGTACGCCATTATGTCTCATTCATTCTTAAACACTGCGCTTAAAGTGATTTATTTACTTCATTTGTACTCTTTTTATTCTGACAAGTACTTGATATACATAACAAAATATGAAAGTAGAATATAAAAAGCTAATTAAACTCCTGATAAGATATTTCTTTACATATTTTGTAAATATCAAGAGAGGGGGCCAAATATAACTCTTGAAGGAGTCTTTACTACAGCCCTGGAAGCTACATGGCAGTGGAGACAGTGTCAAAATATTAATAGGAAAAGCCTTTAACAGTTTCATAAAAAGAGAGGCAGTTGCGTACATAGCTCTAAGACTTACCAGCACCTTCAATTGTACTGCATTTGTAATTAGTAGATAACAGGTATTTCCTAAATATATCCATCATTTGGTTCCTCTACCTTACACAAACTTACCACATTTTGAATCAGTTGCATTTTTAATATAATTTTCAGGCAGAGATTCAGTTGTGATTCCACACAGTTGAATTGTATTGTTCTCCTCAAGATAGGGTGTAATCAAGATGTGGATAAACATCAAATCTATCCAGCTCAGGAAAGATATCAACTGGCAGACTAGGCATAATAAAGAAAATTAACTCCTTTCTACAGCTGTTTGCACATCCAGTGATGTTTGAAAATCAAAGAACACTTCTAGACTATGAACCTGCTTTTGGGGAGAATGGAATCCCATCCACAATTGGCTAAACCTCAGTTCCCAATTCAGGTTTCTATTTCCAATAGCAGTTCTGTTATTTTTTCCTTCATTTTCAATTTGTTTTTCCTCATTTAATTTAATTTAATTTAATTTAATTTAATTTAATTTAATTTCCAATTTATATACTGCTCTTCTCCCTGAGGACTCAGGGCGGTGTACAGCCAAGATAAAAAACATAGAATACAAATATTAAATACAAATATTAAAAAAACATTTAAAAATATATATAAATTTTGGCCCGAAAGTTAAGAAATCACAGACTGATTAAAAGAATTTAAAAATTTCTTCTTAAGCCAACCCGGCTTGCTGGAAAAGATGGGTTTTAAGGGAACGACGGAAGGCATTGAGGTCATGGGATTCTCCTTATCTCCGGGGGCGACTGATTCCAGAGGGTGGGAGCCCCCACAGAGAAGGCCCTCCCCCTGGGGGTCACCAGCCTACATTGTTTGGCTGATGGCACCCTGAGGAGGCCCTCTCTGTGGGAGCGCACGGGTCGATGGGAGGTCGTCGGTAGCAGCAGGCGGTCTCGCAGATAGCTAGGCCCTATGCCATGGAGCACTTTAAAGGTGATAACCAACACCTTGAAGCGCACCCGGAAGACCACTGGGAGCCAGTGTATTCCATTATCAAATTTAGACTTTGTTCAAGGGTACCAATTCTTCCTTAAAATTGATGGTTAAAAGCAACCTTCTGCCGCATAGCTCCCAGCGACCGGTAAGATCCCATAGAGTTGGTCTCCTCCGGGTCCCGTCAGCTAAACAATGCCGGCTGGCGGGCCCGCAAGGGAGGGCCTTCTCTGTAGCTGCCCCAGCTCTCTGGAACCAGTTACCTCCTGAGGTCCGGACCATCCCCACCCTATTGGCCTTCCGAAAAGCGGTGAAGACCTGGCTTTTCCGGCAGGCCTGGGGCCGTTGATCTCGCTCTTATGATCTGGCGAGATCCGGCCAATGGCGTAAATGAGTTTTTAATGTTTTTAATTTTTCAATGTTTTTTTATAATTATTTTTTAAAATATATTGTGAGCTGCCCTGAGTCTTCAGAGAGGGGCGGCATATAAATTTAATTAATTAAATTAAATTAAATTAAATTAAATTAAATAGGGTTTCAAAAGTTGGATTATCTTCCTCAGGTTCACATAGTGTTGAACAACATAACAGACAATATGAAAGTACCATGAGGGATAACACAGGTCAGTGGCCTAGGTATTGAAGAATAGTCTCCATTAGCTCCCTTATGTGGCAAAACAGAGAGGTGCACATCTTCTTCTAAAAAACATATCTCATAGACTTGATTCCACTAGAAAGTTTAGAAAGATACTATGGATTCTATACAATTTCCAATACATAGACAAACACCAGAAAGGCAGACCTTGTATTCCTTGATTAACTAGAACAGTAAGTGTTGTGGGAAGATCAAACAGATCGTCTATTCTCTTGAATTTTTCAGTGAGCTGCTCAGATGAAACCAGGGTCTATTACACCCTTCTTCACTCATGGTCAAGAACCTGAAGTAAATCTGATTTGCAACCTGTTCAGTCTTGGAGCACTTCACAGTTGAAGTTGTATATTTTAATGTGTTGAGTAGAAAGTGAAATCCTGGTTTCTGTACTAAAAGAAACAAGTGAAATGAACATGTTTCCTTTCTTCCTCTTTACAGAATAGCTTATGTGTGCCTCAAGTAAATTGGAAGTCGTGTTGAATGTGTAAAAAACTTACAAATACTATATGTCAATTATCCAACAGTAATAAATATTAATAAATTGATAGTTTTTTAGAATATTAACTGATCCTTACTAGATCAGATAATTATTAACTTCTTTCTTTAAAGGTACCTTAACTGCAATTGAAAGTTTTTTGACTGTAAACTCGGGACCAGAGGTTGGTTAATTTCTTAATTAACATGGACAACTGCTAAATTATAAAAACTGTAGCATGAAGCTGAATATGACCATTAATATATTTTAACTATTGGCAGATTCTCACTTACTTGTTTCATTTACCTTCTGCCTCAATCTAATAAAACTGAGCAGTTCACACCAAGATATAATACTGATACATTTACAGTACATTAGATATAAAAACAAAAACAGTACCAGCAATCAGCAAAATAGCAAAAAATACCTTTTAATGCTTATTCTGGTCTAATTGTTTGTTTTCATGCATTTTCTGCTATGGCTACATTGTTAACAAATAATATATGATATTGAGTACATTTTATATTTATTTGTTTATTTCTTTGCTGCTCTACTACTCTATTCCAAATGGCTGTAGCAATATAAACAGCTCCTTAAAATTTGTTATGATATATTAGTTAAAATATTACATTGGCAGAAAAACTTGTTAACATTTATCTACATAAAACAGTTAACAATGAAAACAAATGCAATATAGTACTTCTCTATCCAGGAAAACATATCCCTCAATAGAATTTTTTTCCCAACTATCCATAAAGGAAGAATTTTGAAAAAGGAAGGAAAACTAGGCACTTAATTCAGAGGAATCTCTTAATACTATTTTCACCAGTTCTCTCAATTTCTGACCTTGTTGCTCACTGAATAAATCTAATGCCCGTGTACCCAAATTATGGATTATGTAGCCCTTTCTCATGCCTGTTCCTGTAACAAAATTGTTGAGCAAAAAGAAAATAAAAATGGCCAAATATAAGCACATAGCTTTTTGATATACATTAATATAATATCTCAGTCAATTTTGCTATATAATTTCTATATACTGCATATGCTTTCATGGTTGGGTTAATAATGTAGATGTGCCAAAAGTAGAATGTCATTCCAATATAGTATATTGAACTATAATGTCATTTTAACAGGGTGCCTGTATTCATGATGGAACCTGGAAATCAGCTGTATATGGCTTGGCAGATCAAGACAAGTTGAAGAAAATTAGAAAACAAATTGGACATAAACCACTTCCAGTATTTGGAGCAAAACTCAAAAGAAGGTATAGAAAATATATGTCTTTTAGTGTTTTTAAGTTTAAGCCTTTCCTTAAATGAAATGTGGTATTGGAATTTATCACTAAAAACAATTCTAGGTCAATTGTTCTAGAATGGAGGCACCTATATTTTACAGCCCCAGATAGTGATTTTCCACTATTCCCCAAAATTGCAAATCTATTTTGCAATTATACTTACCCAAAATAGAAAAACAAGCTGAAGATGTTAATCTCAAACCCAGTAATATCATTGCACTCATCCCCTATCACCCTTGGAAAAAAAACACTGCCTATCACTACTGTAAATATACTTATGTTTTAAAAGTGCAGATCCAAGTTATATTTGTTATGCTTCATCTTCTCTTCATCTTTTTTAGAGGTACAGTATTTTACAGTAATGAATTCAAACAGTATTCCATTCCATTCATGGGATCCGATGCCTCTGTAGTAAAGCGAACTCAGCGGTATTTGCATTCACATTTGCAGGAAACACCTGTAAGTTTATTTAACATGTTATAACATTCGTTTTGTTTCTTTTTAACAAAGGTATACAAGCTTCTATCTTTCATGTAAGCGATCCATCAGTGATGTTTTTACTTTTTAATAATAAACCCTTGTCGGTATCTTGTTAACTTTTCAAAATCTGTATATAGGGATTCACCATCTAAATTATTCTTCAGAAGACGCAAAATCCACCTGCTCCTCTTTAGCCCATTACTTTCAGGCACAAGTCCTTGTTTGTATGACCATGTTCAAGCAAATAATAATTGCTCAACTCCAGACTTATACTTCAAATTATTTCTTAATGGCAAATAGGAGGAAGATATTAATTGTTTCTTTTGTAAAAATGTTATGTTATTCCGTTGGAATCCTTAATTTCCTTCTAATATTTTGTCTATAGACTGACCATCCTTTAATCCCAAGGATTTCAGAATACATTTCCTTTATAGTGCCTTTAGAAAAGTACATTACTGTGCCTTCTTACTATTTTGACCACAGATATGTTGCTAATACTGTGTATGTGACAATGTAGACCCAGTATTGGAAGTGTTTTCTTTAATGCCTGCTACCTGCAGTTGTTCTTACAATGTCCTGATTAAGGATAAGAAGTGTATTTCCTAGATAACTTTTTAATAATTTTGCTTGGCTTGTTTCTGAATAAATTCTTGCTCTTGATTTATTTTTTTTACTCAGAATTAACTTAAATGTTTCATGGAAATGGATACTAAACTTGATATGATTTGTCTCTCCTATACAGGTGCAGTATGCTGCTTACACCACCGTGGGTGGTCTCACTTCTGTCATAAAGCTAATGTTTGCTGGTCTTTTATTTTTAATGCTTGTGAAATTCAACTTTGGAAGAAAGCTCCTGCTAAAAGTAGGATTTCTTTTAAATAGCTTTGAAATTTGACAAATTTTGTCAATTGTTCAATTATTCTGAAACTTACTATGAAACTGCTTTCTTCAGTATCCTGAATTCTTTTCTGGAGGACATTTTACAAAAGAAGGGCCAACAGAAAAACAGGTAATTTTTTACTTTTGTTCTTACACACTAATATATTTTGTAATTATTGTTTTCTGCATATCACTCACTGAATCACCATCTATACTTAATGCAGTAAAAGAGGTCGCATCTTTATTATTCTATTTTTATTCTGATATCTTAACATGAGACTGTTATACCTACTGGATCAAACATATGTTGTGCTCTATAGCCTATATTAGAAAAATGTTTTAATCCAATACATGAGTTATACATTTTACTTCTAAAAATGCAGACTAAATATCTCAAGGTTCTGTAAACAAATTGAGTGAACAATGGCAAATATTCCATTTGGGAATGCTAGGATACATTAATAGTGTTGAAGTACAATAGGCAAACTTCACTTGTTTCACCATTTTACTCAGATTTTCATTGGATATGTTCAGGTTTGCTGTATGGCATCAGAAAGCACATCTGAATGTTGATTAAAAAAGGCAATATGTAATCTTGTAAACATAAACCTTTTTTATATGTTATATTATTTGCATATATAGCATCTCAGGATTTCAGTCTGTGCAAAAATTCTTTGGCTGATCAGTAAGAATTAAATCATAGTACTATTTTCTCTTAGCATAGTATGAATATCTTTGAATCTAGTTTGCTATGTTAGAAATACTAACCCATAACTAAGTTTTTCTCTTATCTTAAGGTTACGTAAACATTGTTCTTTCAAATCAGGTTGGAGATAAAAATCATGGTTAAATAATTTGATTTCATTTCCAAAATGGGTATAAATTAGGATGCAGGGTAATTGTATATAGTATATGTATGCTTGATGTACACTGAGGTACTGTCTGGTGATAAATAATGTTTATTTCTTATCTTTTGAATGACAGATGGAAGGATCATCTTTTGAAATGACTTTTCTTGGAGAGGGATATAGCACAGGACAAACTCCACAGGAGGGCAAACCTGATGTTAAAATCTGCACCCAAGTGAAGGGACCAGGTAGAACAGTAATATTGGAGCAAAATTAATTGTATTATTAATTATGTACAACAATACTTTATTTAATATAAAACATGATTCATATAGCATTAAATATACAAGTAGCAGTTCCACATGGTTGTGTGCATAGCGATGTCTGCAAGGTAAGTCAGACTGACAAAAGCAGTGTCATGGCATTGCAGTGTACAGCGTGCCCTTTTTTTATATGCATTGTGATTGTAGATATGACCCAAAGAGGGTGGAGTTTGTGATACAATAGCCTAATACTTTCATTATGGATGAATGTAGCAGGATTCTGTGGTTGCTGTGTGTGAAGGAGTTCTCTCAGATAAAACATGTTACAAGTAAATAAGAATAAGAAAGCTCTGCACATCACATAAAAAGATCATTGCATTTTTTCCAGCAGTAGATAATGAAAATAATCTTTTGTGTTCCTCTTCGCTATTCCAAAATAACTGCAGTGAAGTGATATTAAAACAATCTTTTTATATGAACAAGATTTCAGAGAAATAACAAACAAGTGAGGTATGAAGTTCAATTCAGACAGTTCACCAAAACTTGTTTAAAAATTTGTGAGCAAAGCCATTCGCATCCTTGTTTTGTGTAATTGCTTTGTTTGTAAAAAAGGTAGAAAGTAAAAAAGTTTTTTTAAAAAACTGTTCTCCTATCAAGTTTGATGAGAACCAATTGCAATTTGATTTTTCCTTACTGCCAGATATTCTTTCAGTGACTTCTAATTAATCAGTAGTATGATCATGATGTAATAAGAGGCAAGGAATGATGGAATTCAGAAATCAGAGAACTGGTTTTTATATGCTTATGATGAACCTAGGTTTATTGTTTCAATAGTGGCAAAAATTTCTCCCTAAGTTTAGCCTGGAGATAAAATATTCATTAAAATCTTGATGCCACTACCCCAAAATGATGAATGTATAGTTCTTATATTGTTTTTCCCCTAATATGTATAGATGTAAGAAGTGTGTTGAGGGTTAAATTTCCCTCTGCATAGTAGGCAACGGACCGGACAGCAAAGAGATACGTTGCTGGTTAAACACACAGATACTTACAGACTCTCAACGGTGAAAAAAAAAAACATTCTTTACTCTTAATGAAAAAACAAACTTGGTTTCTCAAAACAATGATAACACGTCTTCGAATAATCACTCTCCAACACAAAACATAGTTTGCTTACAGTTCTATTCAGTCACACACAGTCTCTCTTCAGGAGATCAATCATCAAATAGCAGGAGCACGAGCTCCCGGGCTTCCTGTCTACTTTTATGGCTGCCTGATAATAGCACAGCCAGTCATTCTTCTTATATCATTTAAAGTCACAAACATAGTTTTTCTATATATTACCTACCCAACCGTAGGATAAATATCCAACAAAGTGGCATTTTTTAAAAATTCTGTCTTCCATTTACTTAAAGGATCATTTGGTTATAAACAATTACATGTTATTTAACAGGTAATTTAGGATATTGATTGTATTTAGAGGTACATCAACAAAATTCCTCCTGAATGCTTATTTAGAGAATGATTGTCACCAGGATTACCAGTATTTCTATTTTCATACACAGTATACACAAACATGCTATTGCTTTTTTCTTTTGTTATTGAGTCCAACGGTTAATTGTGAGTGTGGTGGCGCAGTGGTTAGAATGCAGTATTGCAGGTTATTTCTGCTGATTGCCAACTGCTAGCAGTTTGGCAGTTTTAGTCTCATCAACTCAAGGTTGACTCAGCCTTCCATCCTTCCAAGGTGGGTAAAATGAGGACCCAAATCGTTGAGGGTAATATGCTGACTTTGTTAACCACTTAGAAAGGGCTGTAAAGCACCGTGAAGCGGTATATCAGTCTAAGTGTTATTGCTATTGCTTCTCTTGACTTCCCTTCTCTGTTCAAGTTCTTGTAAATTCTTCCTGTCCTTATTGGCATTCAGATAAATCAACTTCTGTATCTACTGTATTTCTACTTGATCACAAGTTTCATTTTCCATCTTCTTCATCTCAAAATGTTCTGAAGTGATGAATGTAATGATATCTCTTTCTCTTTACAGAGGCTGGTTATGTTGCTACACCTATAGCAATGGTACAGGCTGCTGTGGCACTTCTTAAGGATAAGAATTCTCTTCCCCAAAAGTGAGTCTATCTTATTTTGCATCCTATAGTTACTAGATGAAAATAAGCACCAGAGAAATTCCACAATTGCTGGTGTAAGTTTTTTCAAAGAGGTTGAGTAAAATATACAGATAATCCTCTACTTACGACCACAATTGAGCCAACTTATCTGTTGTTAAGTGAGACATTTGTTAAGTGAGTTTTGCTCCATTTTACGACCTTTATTTGCCACAATTGTTAAATGAATCACTGCAGTTAATATGTTAGTGACATGGTTGTTAAATGAATCTGGCTTCCCCATTGATTTTGTTTGTCAAAAGATTGCAAAAGGTGATCACATGTGACCTTGGGACACAGCAATGGTCATAAGTATGAACCAGTTGCCAAGCATCTGAATTTTGATCACATGATCATGGGGATGCTGCAAAGGTCATAACTGAAAAACGGTCATAAGTCACTTTTTTCAGTGCTATTGTATCTTTGAACAGTCACTAAATGAATTAATGTAAGTAGAGGACTACCTGTATTTAAGGATAAGAAACTAAATGGCAAAATGCTATTGGCTGAACATACAGTTCCATGCTATAGTAACTCCCATTTTATAAACCCTCATTATCCACATATTTTGAGCTATTTATAGAAAGCTGGCAGTGAGGAATAAACATTGGAAACACTACAGGCAGTCCTCGACCTACGACCACATTGAGTCCAATTTTTTGTTGTTGCTATGCAAGGCAATTGTTAAGTGAGTCACACCCCATTTTCTGACTTTTTTGCCGTGATTGTTAAGCAAATCACTGCTGTTAAATGAATCATATATTCGTTAAGCAAATCTGGTTTCTCCATTGATTTAGTTTGTCAGAAACTCCCTAGGAAGGTTGTAAATGACAATCTCAGGTCCTGGGATATTTTAACTATCGTAAATACGTGGCATTTGCCAAGCGCCTGAATTTTGATCATATGATTTGAGGGGGCACTGCAGTGGTCACAAGTGTGAGAACTGGTCATAACTCACTTTTTTCACTGTATGGTAACTTCAGTCACTAAGCGAATGGTTGTAAATTAAGGACTATCTTTATAAGGAGTTCGATTAATCTTATCCTAATGCTTAGCTATATGATATTTGGACAAGGAAAACTAGGTTTTTACAGGATCGCTAAGTACAGTTCTAGTTACAAGTGGTAAAATAATCTGAATAAAAACTCTAAACTGTTTTGTATGCCATCTAAACTTGGTTTGTGAATAAGAGAATATCATATTACTCTATGAATAGTTATTAATAGATGGAAAAGAAGGTTTACTAATTTCTTTAAACCTGCTTATCCTGTTTATGATTTGAGCTGCAGTGGTATGTACCTGGATAGGTCAGTAAATTTACAATTATGTAATCATGTTTAAGGTTGCGCTGTCTATTGCATTAGTTACTCCATAGTTATTTCATGCATCCAATTTATAAAATCACTGTTATGTTTTTTTCCCTTTTTTTAAAATTACAAACTGTGTGCATTAAGCTAAATGATTTTTGGATTATGTCAGAAGAAAACCCCATCTTTAACCCCCAAATTACATTAATATTTGCATTAATGTGGTTTGTTGTAAAAAAAAAAAAAGGCTTGCTTGTATCTGTATGTTGTTAACCACAAATGTGACTTGTTTTACAGAGGTGGTGTCTATTCTCCTGGGGCTGTGTTCTATAATACAAAACTTATTGAGAGACTGAACAAGCATGGAATTGAATTCTCTGTCATAAGCAAGCCTGAAGTCTGAAATCTGACCAGCAACCATTTGTGTGTGCGCGCGAGCATGCACATTCAAAATGAAATAATAATAAAGTTGATAAACTTAATATGTATAGTGTAAAGATACTGTTGCTTGAATGGTTCATATGCGAGTTAGAAAGATGAATTTATTAATATTGGAAACAGGTAACTGCCATTAATTAATTAGCAGTGGTTAATCTAATAGAATGACTCATAGAGCCCTCTTGCTTTTTAGAAACAAACCCAATTTCTATGAGACATTAAATCTAACTCTGATCATTTCATTTTTAATCAGAACAATGTATAATATTTTCCTATTTGATTTTTGAAAGATTGCAGATTAAATTGTGGAAACTGTGTCATCTGATCAAATATTGAAGGTGGGAATAAATTCCATTGACATCTTGTTGACTAATGAAATAAAGTAATTGTCCTTAGTTTAGGTCTTATTGAGTCCAATCATTTGGTATTTTTCTATATTTTATTGTTTGCTATAGCATTATGAAAGCATTTAACCTGTTAAATTAAACTTCATATCTTAAGTATCCATTCCAGCTGAAACATACCTGAGTATCTGACGTTTTTAAGAACTTAATCTCATACTTAGTTGCTGTTATTTTCTTTGTTATTTTTCAATGCAATAAAAGGTTTGAAAATCTGTTTTCGGTTTCATAAATGTTTAAAGCATAATTAAGCTATAGTGTAAGAATTGGCACGATCCAATAGGTTAAGAATATGGTATATTTCATTCTGCTATTTTAGATAGTATGATGGAAAATGGAATACCATCTCTAATTTCTTTATTAGCTCAAATTAAAAGCAAGATTATGAATCCTTATGTTTAATGCTGAAGGCCTTTTTTTTTTACATCCCGAACAGAAATGAGATGTTCTGGAGCTGCTTATGTTTATTCATAATTTATGAGGCAATGAGCTCATCAACAACACAAACTACATGGATATATAGAAATCTAAACTTTTATTATGACTTGTGGTACTGATAAAGAGAATGAAGACTGTTGGAAGTCTCATTCCATCCAATAAAAAGAGAAAGCTGAAACGAGCAAAAAACCTTACTCAGTTTAGGAACTATTTGAAGAGAAAACCACATCCCCACCAATACTGGCAGGGCAAGCTATGGAATATAAACTGAACAAACCCCACACTCAGTATGCACTGATGACGTCATATAGTTGGGTAATGAAATGTCTGCAGGCAGACAACCAAGCTCAGAGAGCATCAAGAACTCTGTAAGTCTCATTGTTTGGAAAAGAAAGTTCATAATTAGCAACAACAAATTTTCTCGTTACTCTGTTATTGGGAAGAGTTGAAGATGACACACAGTACTATCCCTATTGCGATGAATATTAAATTCTGGTATACTACTTTCTATGTTGTAAACAAGGTTTAAAGGAAGAAAATTTTCAAAAAACTAATGTAGAAATTGTGAAGAAATTAGAAGGCAGTTGACATAATGATATATGTAAATACTGACTTAATTTCCAACTTACTAATATTTTACTTGGTAAACCACATTCACTTAATGCCTTGCTGTAACCTAGCCTCTCGTTTCTTCTTAACTATTAAGGCAACATCATATTTCAGTTTACTTATACTTGACTCAAGTTGTTCTCCAAAATCCTTCAACAAGTGTGATTGTCTCTCAGTAAAAAGTCGAAGTAGTTGAATGTTATCTTCATCCTAAAAATAAAACAAATAGCATTCTTTCCTGCAATATTGTATAGTAAAAACGTTTAAATAATAGTGCGGTTCATTATGCCTATCAAGGAAATAGGAACTTTGATACGAAAACAGCAAATGAGCAGCCTATAGAACAAAGCGATTTCAACAAGGTACTTTAAATAATTACTGTATACGTTAATTCGTATTTATCACATTATTCCCCAACAATTTTGATTTAGAAATAAACTACTCAGACGTTGTGGAAATGATACCCAGAAAACAACACAAACAGTTTAGAACTAAGGAAGACATCCATGTCTTCCCAAGAGAATTATAATGTGTACCGGGGCTCTGTAGTGCTGTAGTTTTAAGAACTGTCCTCTGATCACATTCATTTTCTGGTAGAAGGATTTGAGAGCTTTAGCAAATTCAGCATCACAGCTGACCCGAGAACTGCACACTGTGCGACTATCTCTCGATGCTGCTGAAATTATCTTATTAACTTGCAGCTTTGAAGGAGATTTTAAGATCTTACCTATAAGAAGAAGATTTAAAAATCAGTATCAATGGGTTCAGAATAGGAATGCATTGTACAGAAAGGGACCCACCATAAAATGTTAAAGAGTGTTGCTTGTTTGGAGCTCTACTTGCAATCATTCCTAGTATCAGGAAATTTGGGATACATTTGTTAACAAAATACAGGTAGTCCTCCACTTAAAACTGTTCATTTAGTGACTTCAAAATTATAGCACCACTGAAAAAAGTGACTTGTGACCGTTTTTCACACTTACAACTATTGCAACATTCCCATGGCCATGTGATCAAAATTCAGACACATGTCAATTGACTCACATTTATGACGGTTACAGTGTCCCAGAGTCATGTGATCACCTGCAATTTTCTGACAAGCAAAGTCAGTGGGAAAGCCAGATTCATTTTGGGCTCGATTGTGGTCATAAGTCAAGACTACCTTTAAAGCTCTTGTCTGTATCCTAATTTTGTTGTGATATTTATAATCATGCATCATAGCTTAGAAAATTGTGATGATGTACTTAAGTTGTTTGACTGACACTGATAAAACCTAGATTCAAATCCATTCTCAGCCACAGAATCCCATTGGGTGACTTGAGGCCAATAAATCCAACCTTCATCACAGGGTTGTGGTGGGGGAAAATACAAGGAAGATTTATGTAGTGTATTTATGTACACTGCTTTTGCTCTTGAATGACGGTTGGAAAACAGATGTCATAAATAAATGATCTTCAGAATACCATCCCACTACAAAGTCAAAAATGAATATTTCACTTGAAACTAGTTGGCGCGTTCCATCCGGGTCTCACATTAATAAATAATTATTTTAAAAGTTACCATTCTCAGCAATTCCAGATGGGTTTAAGGAATGTATAACATTGTACTTCATCAACAACTGGAGCACTATCAGCCTGTGGTAACAGCTGGCTTATCAATTTCAAAATCAAAGTAAAGAAAAGTAAAGAATTACATTATTTTTTTATACTTACTGAAATGGGTTTCTGCCTCATATTCTTTCAGTTTAGCCTTCAGATGTTCGTTTTCCTCTGTCAGAGCTCTATTAATATCTCTAAATAAGTCAGTCTCTTCTTCTAGTTTTAACATCTTGTGGTAAAGTTCAGCGATATGGCTCTCTGTATCCTAAATAAAATATATTATTTATGATTTAGGATGTGTACATACAATTATTAAGATGGAAATTGCTATTAATAATGCAAGCTTTTTCATTGAATTAAAATGGTTATTGGCAATTTAAAAGCAAAGTCCAGAGCTCAGTGCAGAATGTTTGAACTGAAGTCACAGAATAAATACTTTAAGCAATATGCTGAACTAAGAGGACAGGGGCACTGGAGAGAAATAAAATGTGCTGATAATTTATAAATCATAAAGTACATAAGATCTCCCTTTGATGGGAGATTAATATGATTAATGGTTACTGATTAATATATTGCTGGAAAAGCCTTCATTCATTTAGGAATCGCTTCCTCAAGAACAAAACAAAACAGCTCTCCCATCAGCAAGAAACAATTACACTGATGACTGCAAATATACACATCAGAGAGACAAAGACTTAATTGCCATTAAATCAATGCCAATTCACCACATAGGTTGACCTTCTCCAGAAGGCTCTTCAGAACCTCCGGCCTATTGCTGTTATATGATAATATCTTAAAAGGATGGTCTAATGAGATACGGTATCACTAAATAAATCATTTTTCCTTATTATAATAACGGGACTCGCTCTCAAAACAGCAGTTCAGAGGGGAAGCTGATCCAGATACGAATACTGCATGGACTAAAGACTAAAATCCCATTATACAGTCCTAGGTTGGATAGCTGCTCACTTCTGAAAAACAATTCCACAGTTGAGAACTGTGTGTATAATCTGTTTAAAATATGCCAAGTTAGGAGCTTGACTGTAAGCCACCCAGAGTTATCCTGTGCAAAGATAAGCAGCAATGAATTTAATTAATTAATAGCAAGAGTAAGTACATGAAAATTTCCAGAAACCATCTGGAAAGTTCAGGCCACAAGCTAGAGCTGGGAAGTATTCTTAATCTGTTTCTCCTTTATCAATCATTCTCATATTTCTGTTTTCCTAACAGAAGAGGTAGCCTTTTTCTGGTTCCCTACTTGTTCCTTTCTGCTGGTTTCTTTGGGATTTAGGGCAGAACTCGTGATGTATTTAATTCATCCCTTTCTTCTAGCATATCAATGGGATTTTTTCCCTTCCTTTTAGTCCTGATCCCTTTATCATCTATAGCAGGGGTGTCAAATTTAAGGCCCAGAAGCCAGATCCAGCCTGCGGGGTACTTAGATCTGGCCCACAGGGCCGCTCTGGAAACAGCGAAGGACCAGCCTGCGTTGCTTCTGCCAGCAAAAATGGGCTCCCCAGCTCCCACGTGCAGCCCTCCTGAGCTCTGTTTTCACTGGCAGAGGGTTGCAGGAGGCTGTGGCAGCCGAAAACGGAGCTCAAGAGCCTATTTTCACTGGCAGAGCACTCGGGCCACCACAGGTGCCCCCCCCAGGAGTGACATTGAGCTGGTCACATGCACCAGGGCCCCCAAGGTCAAACACAACCCTGATGCAGCTCTCAATGAAATCGAGTTTGACACCCCTGATCTATAATAATCGTAGCAACAGTTTGATATTGGTTGCTCTTCCAAAGCTCTGGGACAGATCAGTTGCCAATTTATGGCACATTGGGAAATCTGTTTCTATTATGTTGCAAGGGAGCTGTGATTCTATTCCTACAATAGTGCTTTTCCCCCATAAACATTTGTGCAAGATTGAATGTCTGTCTTGAAGATATCCCAAATGAAGTGAGAGTGCAATGGCATCAAACTATACTCTTCAGTAAATCTCCCATTAACTCTTGCCACAACTATCTCCTCCAACCTTTGAAGATTCTGAGCAGTGGGTCAAGAAAGTAGGATCTTTCTGTCTGGATGATCCAATTCCAGCCTTATCACACTTTTAACATATTATCTCGCCAGTACCACTGTCCCACTCCAGTATAACTTTCTACTTCTTTCTCTATTCGCTTAACCTTTTCCAATTGTGGCCTTTTCCCAACAACCCTCTAGGATCCTCTCCCCAGACTCCCTCCTGCCTCTGTTTCATAATCCTTCTGTATTCAAAAGCAGGCCAAGTACATAAAAGCATTCATTATTTGAGCCGTATGGAAATGAAGAATAAACTACTTTTAACTGCTGGTCACGCACTCACCAGATCACCTCGTGTTAAAATCCCCGCTTTTGGATTATCGATAATATATGAGCCTTCACTAATGACAGCCATCCCTTTCTCAGTCGGACACAGTTCTGCACATCCTTCTGCAGGACCAAGAAAATACTGTTACTTAAGAAGCATGCATTATTTTCTAGCTGACAACAGGATCAATTTATGTCAATATCGTTTATTTTTCTATCAGTAATCCTGAGTAAC